AGTGGTTAAGGAGGGATGACGGGAGAAGGTCTTTGAGGAAAGGTTCCAAAAGTCAGAGAGGAACGGAATGAAACGGTCCGGATGAATGTAAGGTATTGGTTACCTCTTCGATCTTCGATCCCTGGTGGTTAGATAGTCGGCTTGTCTTCCTCTCACCCGACAAGGGGGGTCGCCGAGAAAGAAGGTTTTTGACGGGGGTGGGGAGGGGGGGTGGTGGTTGGGCGCAAACCGCGGCAGTTGGGGGTGGGATCAATTGGCAGGAGAGGATGAATATTCCAGAGAACAGTGAATGGTAAGGAAGTGAAGATGGAGGGAGCCAACAGAGGGGGAAGAGGGAGGATGTAGAGAGGGGGGGGGGGGGGGGGAAAAGGGAAAGGGAGATTAATTATTTCGTTAGTTTGCTTGTTCCTTCGGCTCTGGGGAAGAAAAAAGGGAAAGCCAGTGGAGCATACTAACAAGTATTTCTTATGGATAGAATTATTAATATTAATATTAGTATGAGTATTAATACTAGTAATACTGATTTTGAGATCCTGCAGTATTTTATCCAGCTTGATGCAAGGGATTATTTTCAGTGAGTATCTGTCCTCTGTCCTCTTGGTACATGTCCATTTACCCCCAAGTTACCCCTGGCCCAATGGACCTCGCCACCGCGAACCTCCCCTTTCCCTTTCCCATGGATTCGGGAACCCTCTCTCTCTCTCCTCGTACGAGTGCTCGTACTTTGTCTGTACCCCTGTTGGATCCACATTATGATACACTTCTGGGATCTTGGACTTTGTGCTTGCGCAACTTGCCGAACTACGTCAGGGCCAGAGCCAGGGCCAACGGTGCCACGCCGTCTGATTAAAAAAAATGCCAGTTACACGGACTCGTTTGCCAACCCACCATCGAAGCGGTACCTGCATCCGACCCCAAAAATAATAATCCTCTTTTTTTTTTCTTCTTATTTTATTAAATGATTAAATGGCTAAACTGGGGCCCTACCGCACTGACTTCCAAGGTGGGGATGGCCTTGGGGGGAGAGAGAGGGGCCAAGGGTACATCGCTGGTCCACGAGACCTCCATGTGGACGACATTCTCAACGTTGGAGCTGTACGGGGTTTCAGATTGATTCAACTCGGGATGAAATGTTGGCCAGCAATACAATTCTATTTCCAACAAATTTGGAGACTCATGGAGAACAGGAAGGTCCTTCCATGGGATCCTATATCCCAGGTCGAGGGTGAATACCCTCATGAATATCTGCTTATCGCAATTCAATCCACCATGCGCCATCATCATCATCATCCACTACATCCACCACATCCACCAAATTCAAAATCCAAAAAAAGAGACGAGCAACTCCACTTCACTTCTATCTGCACCAAAGGCAACACTTGGCTGCCGCAGGTGCATCACTCGTTCGACACTATCAACGGATGTCTCAGACGCAAGGCTCCTAGCGGCATCTCAGCCGGATTGGCAGTCCGGGTCCATCATCCGACATCGTGCGGTCCGCGTGGATGAAAAGACCATTTTGCTGCCTCGTTTCCTTCATTCCAGTGGATTGGAGTCAGGAGTACAAGTACCAAAAGAATGCCTCATTTTCCTACGCATCCTGGGTAGCGTGACCTCCGATGATGTGCACGAGTTCGAGTACGGAGTGCTCATACGAGTAGGGTATTCCCTCCAGGATGTCCACTCCCTACCCTGCGCATTGGCTAAATCGGGGCCTCTCGTTGTCCCGAGCTTGACACTACGCCCTAAAGATTCTTTGCTTTTGGGATTAGTTTGTGGGGGTGCACCGCGCAATGTCTTTGCTTTTGCCTTTTTATCTTTGCTTTTTTTTCATAGTCGCCTTTGCCCCTCAACTAAAGTTACGCTTTCATTCCTGGTCAGTGCTTTGCTTCTCAGGGGTAAAACGCGCGAGAGTGGATCCCCCCTGAGTGGAACCAGCGGGAGACCTCGAGAGTTCCCTCTCCGCAGCCGTGAACTCTAGCAAAGACCCATCGACAACTTGCATACGAGTATCCTACGAGTATCCTTCGAGTACTGACCCCCTGATCGCAAGGCCATTCAAGTTCTGCTGTCTGCTGTACGAGTACGCCAGACCTGAGACATATTCCGGGGTGGCGGGAGGGAATGCTACCGTGTACGATGACACTAACACATAGCTCAACGCTAATCTGACATGAATAGATGAGGTCTACCACACTTTCATCCTCAAACTGTCACAGATCAAGACAATCCCTCTTCCTGTCCGACCTAAACACGCCCCGGCGATCAACCACACGGGCCACCTGCATCCCATCCCGCTCGTCATGAAACAGCGCTAAGCTCCGTCGCAGATCAGTCGCAGCTCAGCTGTGACCCCCCCTATTTCAACTTGCCATTGCTTTTCTTCGAGGCTCCCGCACACTAGCCACCATTAGGCATGGTACGGAGTACGGAGTTGTACAAAGGATATGTCACCGCTTCGTGGATGTCAACGGGATCGGCAATTATGCATGTAGTATCCGTAACTCTGTACTCCGTACGGAGTATCTTGCCCAGCTTTTTCTATGCGGCACCTACATACCGGTACAGTTCGGAGGAGCAGGATCCCCTCCCCCACAACCACCAAGTGGAGATCATCACAGTACTCTGCCATTTCGGGACTCGCGAGCTGATGAAGAAGATCCTATGGAGGTGTAAACTCCCTCCGTCGAACCTTACATTCTCTTTGGCAGGGAATGGCCCATGCGGCATGATGTCGACTGTCGGCTGACTTGATTGCATTCGGTCAGTGCAGGCACGACCTCGACGTCGAAGCTGCCATCGAACTCTGGACCGCTAACAGATACGAGGCGCATTTTGTTTGCCATGTGACGTTGGTCGCGATTAAAATCCTAGTCTCGTCCAGGCCTTGCAGTAGTCCGTTTCCTGCCCATGGCCCTGGATCTACGGGCGTTCCAGCATCAACGTGATTGGATTTGAGAACCCCAGATAATAAGAGTACAGAATATCTGGTTTCCGACATATGTAGGCCGTGACCACTCTGTACAATGGCAAGATTGTCAGGGTTTCCCCTGGCGACAGATATGCAACAATGGTGAAAGATGAGGTTCCAGCTCGCTGCTGTAAAACCATTTCGGGCCGCTGGTTGCCTTGCCGGCCTTTCCGGGCAATCATTCCCATCTCAATGAATCCTTCGAGGTCTTATCTTTTACTTGATCCAGAGGCTTGCCGCGAAGTCTATCAAGCAGTAAGCTTTGCGTGGCTGGCAACCAATGGGATGCTACCTCGGATAGGGGCCTGGGTTACGCTATCTCTCCCGTTGATGGAAATCTGCGGCGTTGCATACCCACTGCCGGCAGATGGAATATTGATTTGGAATTGGAAAGTGGGCCTTCATTATTTCATACAGCATAGTGGAACACATTGCCAAGTTCATGTCCACAGATTGATCTTCAAGACATTCAGGCTTTTTGTATATACGTTTCATGGAGGGTAACACCATATCAATCAGTATGTTCTCCAGACTGCATTTGAGGCATTTTATGAGAAATAAGTCTATCAGACATTGAGAATTCATCGGTATTGGTATGTTCTCCAGACTGCAAATGACGCATTGGATGAGACTCGTGTACGTTAAATTCAACGCAAAAAAGTCTGGATGTTCTAGCGACCAGACTGTGGAAATAAACTTGAACTTAATCACTCATTTTTTAAAATACATATGTGGTTATGTATGTGTAGCTTGCACGAAGTAACTGCTTCAATATGAGGTACATGCATGATGTAGGTAGCTGCAAAGGTATAGTCCAAATGCGCTGTGTCTCCTCAATTATCCTTCTTCTCTTCCACCGTGACCTCTTCTTCCTCGGCCCCTTCAGCTGAAACCCCATCACCCTCCTCTTGACCATCACCCTCCTGAGTCTGCGGAAGCCCCCAAAAGCGAGCGATCATTCCCCCCAAAAACCGCTGATCGACCCATTTCATCAGCCCATATAATATCCACCCCCAGCCCCACAGCGAAACGCCCATCATACTGGCAACCAGCAGGACCGGTCCCAGGATCAACAAGGACAAAACTGCCCAGAGCAGCAAAGACACGGCAGCGAAGATGAAAACGCCCACGAGGAACACTAGTAGTGGAACCCCACAGCAGATGGCCTGACAGACAAGGAATGTTGAAGCGATCGGTCGGCTCAACGCAGCTTCATACATCTGCGCCTGCTTAGGCGGCGGGAAATATCTATCCACAAGCCATTTCACGATCCATTCAAATGTATCAACACTTTGCGGGAAAAGACCATATAGCCACTGACTGAAGGATCCCCAGATAGCTGAAAACTGGATTTCGGGCTGTGGCTTATCGTCGTTTTTGGGGGCATCGTCCGAGGGGAATTGACCTGGAAGAACAGGCTCCGTCAGAGGTTGCGTGGTTTTATTGACCTGCTTTACTGGGTCCTTCGCGACCCCTTGGACATTCTCGGTCGCCGTTGACTGAACTGTATCGACCGGTAGGCCCTTGCCGAGACCGCTGGTGACGGGGTTGAGAGACATCAAGAATTCGATTGGCCGGGAGGGACCTTGGAATAATGGGGTTTTTGTAAGAGCCCAGGGCAATAATCAAATTATTTCGATAGCAGTTCTTCTGCAAATTCCTTTTTCTTCAGCGAGGTCAATCAAGGACATTGGATCTATATCAATCTGATCGCGATGGGGACATGACGTAGGGGGCGCCGCGCAAACTTGATAAAATAGATTAATTCTGAGGTTCAGTCGTATGTGCAACGAACCAGCATCAGGAAATAGAGGCAAATAGAAATTCAGTGCGAAATCAGTATGACTTCAGTGTCCACGGTAGCACAGGTCATCTCCCAGCTGTCAAAGTCTATCTATCAACCAACTACTAGTACTAGTACTAGTAAGCTCAAGCGTCTACTACTACCATGCAATATGTACTATAACCACTACTAGTAATTGCCCTCCGTTCAACTACGTAGGTATATTTGATCTTATTTCTCGATGCTCTAAGGTTTTTCTTGGCCAACAAAGAGCAACATATCATCAGGTAATCCCTTTCCTGTGCATGGGGCTTCCAAAAAGATTAACGTGAGAAAATGAGCAATATCTCCGTAGTCCACCCTACCACTGGCTTGATGGGTTGTCACTCTCAAATCGACATAGGACCACTTGAGAAGAGAAGAATAAGTTAGTTAGATGCGAAAAAAAAGTTAAAGGGAGAATGGTACGAACATCACCACTATCATCAACGTGATAGAATAAAAATTCTTTGTGATCCGTCAAGAGGCCACAAAGCCCACATTTCGCCTCTCCGCGACGCTTTCGCTCGGAGTAAACCATCGCTGCAAAAATGTCAGCAGAAGTAGAAAGTTTCCATAGCCCACCTGGGCAATACTCACCCATATTGCCTAGAACCTCTGCTTCGCAGCATGGGCATAATCTCAGTTTCTGGCTACATTCAAAGTCGCACTTATATGTTTCAAAAACCACGAGTTGAACAGCAGCTTCCTCCTCACTGCCATACCAGAGACTATGGTCTGGGGCCCTTAAGACAGAGGACTCCTTGCCTTGGTATTGGACGGCGTTGTTTGAGAATGGAGTCCGAGATTTGATTTCAAGACGGTCAGAATATCCCCGACACCTGTTGAAATGTTTTACTCTGATCGCATAATGAAGAAGTAGTCCTAGACGGGTCGCCCCGTCTTCTTCATTTCTGCCAATATGAGCAAAGCGTGTCCCTGCGACAAAGTTAGCTTCATGCAAGTAGCAGAGTACCACATGTCCAATCTTACTTAACCAGTGAGGTACAGTAGGATTGTTGGCAAACGACTCTTGCCACGACTTGGATAATGGTTTGAACGTATCAAAATCGAGGTCGGGGAACATTTGCTTGACTTGGCCAAAAGGGGTCGCCTTCGCGTTTATATGGGTTTCGACCTTCTGGCAGACATCGCGGAACTCTGCTTGAAACTGTCGTCGATTAATATTGTGGTGTCCCAGAGAGATGGCTGCTACCGTGATGCGATCGAGCTGATGTTGAATAATCTCGTCAGAGATTGGATTTGGGGGACTGATTTGAACGCGCATAATGGCGACTGGTGAAGGTGAAAGCGAGAGTGAAATATAGTTTGAATCTTTTTCCCTGAAATACAAAATATCTCAGGGTATTCAATACCTCCGCCGTATCCCCAATGGGAAGGCACCGAAGTGGGTGATCCGTGGATGAGCTCGTCTACCGTCATCGACTCGACTCGATCGAAGCCCGAATTAAGTATATAAATTGCCTATTACAGACTGCAACAATATGGAATGCAGGATGGCATCAAGTCTACCTACTAGGCACCCTAGGTAGTATCCAGCTTCACTCTACTATTGAGTTTGTTTTGTATCGGTTAAAAAGTATTCATGCAGTTGCTCATGTAAACGCCAATCAAAGTGCTCTATGTATAAGGTCATTTCCATAAACGGAATCTCATGTCACATAACGCCGGTATTCCCCCGGACATGCAAGAGGATGCTCCCAGCCAGAAAAAAAAAGTTTGTATCAAATGCCACCATTGCCTGGGAGAGGTACAGCGGGCGCCTCCATGTGCGCCGGGTGAGGTGGTGCAAAAGGATCAAAGGCAGTTCGGATGGCACTAACACCCTCTTTCAGATATAGCACGAGGCGATACGCCGAATTTCCATTCAAGTAGTATCGGTGGAGTCCTTTGCTGCGTAGGAAGCCCAGTCTCTCATACAATTTCATCGCACCGGTATTTGTGATTTCGGTCTCGAGGACGATCTAAACATAATTAGAAAACGTTAGCCAGGACAAGCCAAGCAGGGTCTATTTCAGATCCCCAGATTGATGCACAGGGATGTATACAAACCTCATCCGCATCCCGTTCTGTCATAGCATCAATCGCCATGCGAACCAGCTTCGTTGCGATGCCCTGACCTCGAAACTCCTCGCGCACCGCTAGCATGGCGATATACCTCTCAAAGCCCCACCACGGTGTGGCTCTAGCTTCGACACTACGACACCGACCATCTCATCTTTATCGTCCATGGCGAGAAAGCAAAGATCACCCCATTGATATAGGAAATAGCGGTAGACGTAGATGCTGTAGGGTTCGGACAGATCCTTGGAGATCAGCTGGCGCATAGCGGCAACATATTCATTTTCGCGCGCACTGTCGTAGCGCACATATCGGAGCGCAGGGGAATCTTGACTCATGATGGGTATAATGGCTAGGGCGAGGTCGAGGTCGAGGTCGAAGTCGAGGGCGAAGAAAGTGGGGAGGGAAGGAAAGGAAAGGAACGGGCGGAGGGCAACAATTGCCCGATTGACCGCATGTGACGCCGATCTGCCCGCCACAGGCTGCGCAGCTGCAGCTGTGCTTGTCACTTGATCCCTTCCTTCTTTCTCTTTTTTCTTCCCACTTTCGATCCCTCTACCATCTCCTCTTGCCATTGAGTTTGGTCGTTTTCCTCCCTGGCTCGTCGCTATGTTGCGCCGCCGCACTGGCAAGGATGACGCCCCTCCATCCAACGACAATAGCAGCCGGTTCATCCGAGACAAGGAGGAGGAAGAGAAGCTTCGAGCCGAGTTCGAGGGCGCCAAAGTCAAGCAACTGGTAATCAAACCGCGCAGCAAGCGTCGAAATGGTTTTATTTTCGTGCTGGGCGGCCTCTTTGGTGTTTTTATCGCCCTATTCTTCGCCAATCAACAGGAGGTGATCAACCTGGACGGGTTGATGGATCTGAATATCGATACCCTGATCGATGTAATCCCTCAAGGCATCGTGCGAGATGCGAAGGAGTTTTCGGTATGCTTGGAGTCCTTTCCCTTGGTTCTAACCGCCATGATATTGTCTCAGCCAGCTAACTACGAGGGGAGATGCGACAGCAACACGAACGCGATGCCGTCAATTACGATTCCTTTGCCGTCGGACTACACCTTCAATCACAAGGCGTTAAAGCTAAGCATCCTGTTGTTATGATCCCTGGCGTCATCTCTACCGGTCTCGAGAGCTGGGGAACTGGAGATACCTCCCGGCAGTACTTCCGGCGACGACTATGGGGCAGTTGGAGTATGATGCGGGCGCTGGTGATGGACAAGGCAGAATGGAAGAATCATATCATGCTGGACCGAACGACAGGTCTTGACCCGCCGGGAGTCAAGCTGCGTGCGGCGCAAGGTTTCGACGCTACTGACTTCTTTATCACGGGCTACTGGATCTGGAATAAGATCTTGGAAAACCTGGCGACAATTGGATATGACCCGACCAACGCTTTTACCGCCGCCTACGATTGGCGACTATCTTATCTCAATCTCGAGATCCGCGACCAGTACTTCAGCCGCCTGAAGTCTTATATCGAGACAGCCGTCGAAGTTCAGGGCCAAAAGATCACTCTTACCTCTCACAGTATGGGCTCGCAGGTGGTGCTCTACTTCTTCAAGTGGGTTGAGAGCGAAGAATATGGGAACGGTGGAAAGGACTGGGTCAACAAGCACATTGATTCATGGGTCAACATCAGTGGCTGCATGCTCGGTGCCGTCAAGGGACTGACTGCCGTGCTCTCCGGAGAGATGCGTGATACAGCTCAGCTCAATGCCTTCGCCGTATATGGCCTCGAGAAATTTCTCTCGAAGGAGGAACGGGCGGAGATATTCCGCGCAATGCCAGGTATCTCCAGCATGCTACCTAAAGGCGGCGAAGCCGTCTGGGGCAATTCCACCTGGGCGCCGGACGACCAGCCAGGTCAGTCTATGAGTTTTGGAAACCTTCTGAACTTCCGGGAGACCAACTCGTCTTGGACGAGACGCAACCTTACTTCGTCAGAGAGTCTGCAGTACCTCTTCGACCAAAGTGAAGATTGGTATAAGGACCAGGTGCTAAGCAGCTACTCGCACGGGGTGGCGCATACCACCCGTGAGGTCGAGGCCAACGAAAAGGATCCTCGCACATGGTTGAACCCACTCGAGGCTCGACTCCCGCTCGCGCCTGATATGAAGATCTACTGCTTCTATGGTGTTGGCAAACCCACCGAGCGCAGCTACTTTTACCAAGAGGAGCGCGATCCCCAAACAAAGCTGAACGTTAGCATCGACACAACTGTCACCCTGAACGATGATATCGACCGTGGAGTAGTTATGGGCGAAGGTGACGGCACTGTCAACCTTCTCAGTACAGGATATATGTGTGCCAAGGGCTGGCGCATGAAACGATACAATCCAGCCGGGTCCAAGATCAAGGTCTATGAGATGCCGCACGAGCCAGATCGATTCTCCCCCCGCGGTGGACCTAATACTGGTATGTCCCTGCAGTAGAGTGCTCCGCACTTTATTTCTCTCGTTGTTTCTAATCATCTAACGAACATAAATAGGCGACCACGTCGATATTCTTGGTCGTGCCTCTCTAAACGACCTGGTTCTCCGTGTCGCCGGCGGCAAAGGCGACCAAATCGAAGAAACCTTTTTCTCTAATATCCGCGAGTATGCAGAGCGTGTACAGATCTTTGACGATGAATAGATAAACCGTGACACGAATTCAAGCGGCGCCCGGATTTTCCTGCCTTTCCCCCTTTTATTTTACTGTTTCACTGTTACTCTTTCGACATACGCGTGCCATCTCGTTCGGTGTGGCACGTTTATTGATTCCCTTAGAAGCTGGTAGGTTTGTTTTTTTCCTCAAGTATTTCTGAGAGGCGATTACATGATGTGGGATTACTCTGTATCTTTTGTCTGACTGTATCAAAATCGAGTCGTGTCATTTATCTTAACACAAAAATTCCTCCGCAGCTGCCTCATCCCGAGACATACTTGAGTCATTCTACTAGTGCGCATAAAGTTGAAGGCACACCCGTTGACACCGCAATATGGACGTGTCTCCAGTAATCAAGTACCAGAAGTCGTCTTGCATAGACAAATCCAACCAAACCTTAGAATACAAGTTGTAGCGAACCCACTCCACTCACTGGCACTCACGCCTTGGAACACATGGGCTGGTTGATTCGTCAGATACCTGTCTGCACCTAGACTCGGACTGCCTCGCTTCCCTCTAGCAACGATATCACAATCCAGTCTTAAACAGGTCATGCAGCACAAACACAGCCCCCGGCCTCGGGCTGGCACATGCGCCGGGGTCCGTGGGATTAACATACCGATGGTAAAATTTCAGCAGTCACAACCAGACAAGACTGGCTGATCTGCGCGAGGTGCGGGGGTGATGCATATCTCTTCCGCGGAGGGACGGAGTTAGGAATTGGATTTGCAGAAGCAAAAGCCACTTGTTTGCTATGTAGGCTTGAGGAGGTCGAAACGATCGACAATGTTCTCCACCCCACTGCCAAGGGTCGTTGAGTCCGTTGGCGTATTGTGTATACAGACAGATCTGTTGATTACGGTGGTCTACAGTTGAATACGAATACGTGCGGAGTCAAAGTAGTGAGATAATGTACAATTCTTCATAACTTCATCTAGGGATTAAGAATAATGCTAACGATGACCAACGCGAGTCGCCCGCAACCCCCTTCTCCTTCAAGAGATCAAGACATTATAGGTTGTCACACATTAGGTCGGGCGGTCGGTGCAGTATACCACAGTTGGTATCGCGCTTCATTCCAGCCAGAAGCGAAGCAAAAAGCGATAAGCGAGGGGCGAGAAGTAGAGGGTTCCGTCAAGTTTCCCTCTTTCCTGCGCCATCCATCGCCCGGTGCCGGTCATCCCAAACCGGCTTCCTTTCTTCCTCAGTCATCCCCTCTCCTTATCCTTCTCTCTCTCGCATGGGCGAACAACTTCCACGCCATGGAGCAATCATCACACTACCAACGCTGGGTTCACCTGCCAACGAGCGGAGGCTTTTCTATGTGCCGATGCAAATGTCCTCAAAAAGCCAAAAATATCCAAAAACAGTTTCTATGCACAGCGAGTGTAGTGCAAGCAATGGCGCCGAACTCTTTTTTGAGTTTCCCATGAGGATAAAAAACCGTATCCAAAGTTCCCAGTCGCCAGTTCGTAAGCGATCGACACGAATAATAAAATAAAAGTTTGTTCATATGGACGAGCGCGAAGCGAAGAAAAAGGGGTGGCTCGTCCAGTGTAAAAAAAGTCGTAGCGAAAGACATAGGGTGAGAATCGAAGTTAAAAATGTTCGGATCGACCTCGCGAGGAGGAACGTCCGAGTCTGTACAAGCGAGGGTTTCCAACGGTGGTGGTGCGAAGGGAGTCGCATACCCAGAGCAGGTGAATAGGGTTGACCACCGGAATTAATATTATAGACGGAGAGTGCCACTCCAGCAGTGGAGTGACAAGGCATGTACAGCCAGAAGGCGAAAAATTAACCTTCGGCTCAAGGCGGATCGAGAACCGCGCGAACCGGAGGTTTTCCACAGGTAATTAAAAACCTTAGGTGTCGAAAATGGCTCGATGCAGATAATGGTCCCAACAGTGTCGTCAAGTAGAACGCCGAGTGAAAAGCAAAAAAAGCGTAGATGCAAAATAGCGAGCAGAGTCGAAAAATGATATATGCAAGGTGGTTGTGGTTTTAGCGACCGGCCTCGAGGTCGTGGTTCGAGGTCAGAGTCTCGCTCTCCCAAGCGTAGTGATCGTCCACGGGGCTCAGGGAGCCGGAGGAGACCGAAGAAGAGGAACCGACGGTCCACTCATCACTGTCCAGGTTCAAGTCACCATCCAAACTAGCGAGGTCATAGCCAAACTCGCGGGAGTAGTCGCCGACCTCAACGTAGTCGTAGTCCCAGCGGAACGTCTTGTCGGACTGAACACGGGCAGGAATCGGGTCTTGGCGAAGTAGAATGCAATGGTGGCGAGCAGACCACCACAGACCAGGTCGACAGCATAGTGGTGAGACAAGTACATGGTAGCCCACCACATCCAGAGGGTGTAGGTAACCCAGAGGAATTTCATGCGGGGGAAGACATGGCTCATGAAGAGAGCGGCCAGGGTGGAGTCCGCCGCGTGGAGCGAGGGGAAGGCACCAAAGACCACGGGAGACTGTTTGAAGCCTGAGGTATAGAGATCAATGCCCAGCAACTTGTCAATGCGAGCAAGACCAGCAGGGTTACCCTGCATAGAGTAATCTGCGGGGGCGAGACCATACAGATTCTCGTACCACGGTGGCGAGCAGGGGAAGCACAGCTGAATGGTCACTGCCGTCATGCTGATATATCCGAGAGTCCGGGCGAAGAGAGGGGTGGTGCCCGGGGACCGAAGATAAAGAGGATTGTGGAGACAACAACGGGTGCACCGTAGTGGCACAGTCCGTAAGGAATCCACGCTAGAATGTCTAGCACAACGTTTTGGTGGGCGGACAGGATGTTGCTGATGTTGGCGCCGTATAGGATATTTTCCATGGCGGGTAACACGCGAACCCAAATGGCTGGCCGCCAATCGCTCGGAACGAACCTATCGGAGAAAGAAGAGTCAGTCATGCGTGGCTTTGCCCGTTGTGCGGCGAATTCGCCCATGTCAGGGATTTGCGCTCGGGGAATCATTCCGGGGGCGCGTGTGTAGAAAAAAAGGGGAGGCGAACCCCCGGGCATACAAGCAGAGGGAGAACTCACTGGCACGCATAGAAGAAGATGAGCCATCCAGCAACAGGCAAGAAAGGGAGGAAGAACTGCCGGGTAAGAGGCAGAAGAAGCGAGAAAAGGATTAGGGTCGCGATGCCTGTCTTCGCGAGCGGGCCAGGGGATTGCATGACGCTCAGGGAGAAGATGCCGATGATTAGAAGTAGCAAGTATTGGAAGTCATATATCGTCCAACGATGAGTCTGGAGGGATCGAAGTGTGTCGACCGGGGAGAGGGAGGTCTGTAGGGTTGAGATAGATGAGGTTGGCGATAGACGACTCCGAAGCTTTGAGCGGATCTTGCGGCGCATGCGATGGGGCACCAGAAGTTGAAAGGAGCGCCATGGCATCTGAATCTGAAGCTTTCCGAACTGATTCTGGGTGCGATCCTTCCATGATGGGAATGTAGACATCTTTGCGGCGAGGGTAGAGTCCGCCAGGGGAGACTCTAGATCAACTCGTGATAAGAGAAGGGGGGGGGAAAGGGTCGAGGGATGCCGCGGGATGAGACGGAAGGAATTCGCGAAGGCGGGATAAGAATCACTGGTCGACCGGCATGGGCAGAGTAAGGGGAGAGAGAGACCGGTCTGAAAATGCAAGGCGCCGAGCCCAAAAGTGTGATGAGAAAGAGGGTGAGAGGAGGGGGGGAGCAAGGACTTAAGATTAAGAAGGGGACAAAAGCGAGCGAGGGAGTGAGAGGATTTGCATGGTATTGTCACGTAATTTTACGTGCCAGGTTTGGGAGTCCATGGCGTCACTAGTGCTGGGTTTCATATTGGCAGTATTGGCAGTATTGGCAGTATTGGCAGTGTAGGGGTATTGTATTGGTAATTAATCTTGGTATTGGTATTGGTATGGGCATTTAGTAGGGACTCGAGTGATGTTAGATTGAAAATCCTCCTAAATATCTCTGTTATTGAGTAGATATTCATCGAGATGTAGAATAGGACTATGGATGCATATTCTATCGCCAGTAACTGTAAGTATGTATGCACTGTAAAATACCCGGGCTGGCCGGGCGGATGCTGCGGAACGGAGTCACGCCGATCGGGCAGATGCAGAGAGATCAAGGATATTGCACACCTATCCGAGGCCGAGCATAATTATGTACATTTACATTGTCCCAGTGTGTAGCATAGACTCGATTACTCGTACAGTCATGAAGTTTATTACCCATCACCTATTTACCAGGATCCTAAGCCTAGGTTGGCCCTGGTTTCTCTAACCATAGTTACCTATACTCCGGGATTATGTACAGCTCCAAGGGCAAGGCTTAGTGCAGGGCATACAGGACTTCTGTCCCTGTAATGTAAGTATTACTACTGTACCCGTGGTACTCCGTTGGGACGAAATTTCAATGGAAATTTTCAATATCAACCCATTGGGCTCGGCCGATTGGCCCACCCGCCCCATCGTTCAGCGTTGCAGACCAACTGGAGTCCACCGTCTCCCGGCCCAATTTCGCTTAGCCCACCAACGGTCGTACAGCTTCGTATCCGAATACGAGTAGTACATACTTCCTACTTGCGGTTTTCTCCTCAGGGGATCCCGAGTCAGTCAGGTACCAGTGGACCAGTGGACACTGGACTGGACTGGACTAATACTCGTATCTGTTGACACGAGAAGAATCTGATCAACTCGATATCTACTTTGTAGAGCACAGGCACACTCATATTCAGTCGCGTGTCACTACTCCGTATTCTAACTAATGAATGTACGCGACTCAGACTATTGATATCAATACGCAAATGACAGCTCAAAGCTGGTGGAGCTAGCGCCCGGACAAAGCAAAGTCAAAAAACACTAAACTAAAAATTCAGTCAAACTCTGCACCATTCGCCTTGGCCTCGGCGCGTAGATGAGGATGTGCAGGGCCTTGTCTCACTCCCAGCCACCGATTGTGCACTTTGCACTTTGCACGGCACCTTCGCCCTTCGCTCGCCGGCCTCCGTACCTCCGAACCTCCGTGACTCCATAGTTCCTCTACAAATGTACAAATGTATGTAATGTACTCCGTACGCCCCGGGTACATCAGATCCTGTAATGTAATTGGGGCCAGGTCCAGATCCCCCGAGTAACAGCCATCATCTAGGATGATCACGGCTTGTCTGCCGCCCCTTCAAGTTTCAGGTTGTCCAGCCCGCGCGACCGGGTCCAATCACTCGGGGCCAAAGCTCCCGGGTACCTGACAAGGCTAGAAACTGGAGATTGGACTGATGGATTCCCCAGCCTCTTGCTAATTCTCCGATTCGAAACGCACTGGTTCATCGTTTTGTGGCCGCACGGTGCCTTGTACGACGCGTGTGTCACGTCGTCGGCGCGGCAGAGATATGGGATCGTCGGGATCACACTGGCAGATGAGTCGGCATGGAGACGGATCTCCTGTGTTGAGATTGTCCACGAGGGAGTGGAGGTGGATACAATTCGATATAGTCGCGCCGTTGGCGGTCGTTGCCAGTCCCTGCTCATTTTCGAGTCAGCTTATGTCGACCACTACATAGATGGTGGTTTCTGCCGGTGACCCACTTGAGACTTTGTTTGCCAGGATCCACCAAAATATTGTGTAGAGTAGACAGACGTGTGCGAATATGATCAGAGCGATCGCCTTTTCGGTGAAGGGAGTATCGGGGGCGAACTGTCGTCGCAAAAGAAGTGAGGAGACGGTTTCGGGGATTGGAACCATGGTGAAGAGCCAGCGTGATGGATTTGATGGCTGTCATCCTTTCTCCATGCAATTAGCTGAGATGAAGATGAAGTGAAAGGTCCCCGTCATTCTGAAGGTGAAGCTAAAGGTGAAATATCCCGCTTTATTGTTTCCGTGGCTTCCTCTTTGCCTCGACTCACATCAACGGCAGGTGCATCTGGCAGTGTCGCAGTATTACTAGTACTACGAGTCGAGGTTCATCTTACCAGCGAGAACTACCCTCAGACAATCTCATACTTGGAGTATCGCAAGTAATTATCGCAATGCACCCGTATATGACTCCATATTAGAAATCTAACTCCCGAACTACATTCATCGCACGGGTAATGGAATCTCGATATGTAGCACGTCCCAACGTTCAAGTGCCAACGTTCAAGTGTCAACGTTCGTTTCAGATACATGAATCGCGCGCGAAAGCCACCCAATCATCCACCCACCAGCCCTGGGCGCTTACTTATTACAAACCCTGATGGAGAGCGCCAACAGAAACTGCAAAAATTCAATCTCGCCAAAAAGGCAAGGTTATCGTAATACTCGAGTATCGTGTATTACTCCTCTCGACACGACTAATGGTCAGATTCATATGCAATCGCATCTTGTCGTATTCGCTTTGTGCTGCACTGGGACGGCTGCCTGCCAGGAGTGGGGGCTGGAATGAAAGGACGCAAGGCTTAGACTGTACGCTTTGATTAATTACGGCCGTACAAGGACCCTCGACGGGGCCCCGTTGACCCTCGTCCACGTACTCCGTACTGGCCGAGTCGACGTGTCCACCAAGCCGCTGCGCCACATGTAATTGTGGGGGACTCGTGTACAAGTACGCTGACCTCATAGTCGTCAGCAAGCTTGGGGTTTGCCTAGAGAAGGAATGTACTGCGGCGCCATGCCATGCAAGTCGACACTGCTTCCCGTCTCGAGAAAAGGTAGCGTGTGCGAGAGTCGAGCTTTTGCGCGGTCTGATTCGTTAAAAGGGGCGGTTTACTGGCTATTTTTAGGGGTAACGCTGGGTCGTGCCGAACATGGAGATGCGTGGGGTCGGGTTCTCAGCTTCAGGCTGAAGCGGTCGGATGAACTTTGTTTCTTACTTAATACGGTAGGGAGTACGCAGTATGGGGACCACGTTGCTCCTGGATGATAACTGCAATTTTCCTAACATTAATAGTGAAGCTCAGAAGAGGACCATGCTCTATTTCCCCTTTGAGGCAGTGCATGCTTTTACTTCAATGCATAGTGACAGCCTCAGCCCAGCCACAGGTAGCCACCGTGTTCGGAGAGTTCTGATTTGCCAGAGATTCCTTGGCCACTTGATATCCAGCCTCTTCCCTGGGATCAAGTCATGATGGTGATATCGTGCTAGAATGAGACAACTATCAAGTTTGTTGTTCTTAACCCCTCGTAAGAACAATACAGTAACTGCTAGTCGCTACTAGTAGAAAATCATCATAGTAGCACCGTTTATCTATCTGGAAAAGTACTCAAAAATCATATCCATCTGGAAATGGGTGGTTTAGGATGTTAAGTTAACGCACTTGGCCATCTATAATCTGAAGGTCGAAGATCTCGATACCCCCGCCACCAAATTGTCATTTTGTTTCTGCAAGCCATCAAGTTGGTTTCGGCATATGTAGATTTTGATGTCAACACTTCTGAGGTGCCCAAATACCGATTTAGGTCCGTTGGTCGGATCCCAGACGCCTCAGCACTTAGATGGCTTTAATCTTTGAGGTCATACCTCTATTTGACACGAAGAGAATGGCAAGTTGTGATAGCTTTGAAAGAATCTAGTTGGACGTGTCATGGTAGCAGAATGTAATACTAGTAGCTTTCGCTATTCTGAAACTCGAAGTACTCTCAAAGATAATCCGTTTAGATCAGAATGTATTGGGATACGCGCTTATCGAAGGATGGCATCCGGGGAGTCCAGAACCTCAGATCGCAGCAAAGATCTCGCCCAGTTAGGATCTGACATGTGTTATCCTGACATGTTAGATCGTACTCGGTTAACGAAGTGTATTCTTTGTTATAATTTTCCTTCTTCGCGAGTGGGCAGGGATCTCTCATGTGAATCGTGAACTCTCTTCGGGCTGCATCCTGCATAACGCACGGATTTTCCATTGGTATATAAATGAAGATGAGGGCAAATTGAAGCTACCAAGGTCTTTAACTCATCTAGAGGAGGTGATTAAGATCCAGCCGATGTTTCCTGAAGGCAATAGATCTTATATACGAAATACAAACTTAAACGACTCTACCTCCAAGACAACATTGAATCCAGATATAGATGTAGTAGTACTAGTAGATAGCAATCTACTCTCGGTTGAAATTTCAAAGTATGTATTAAAGCATAGATTTATGCTGTCTCTGTCCGTTTCGAAAGAATAACCTTGGGCAATTTGACTCGGCTGTCCCTTGCTCCAAGTCCCAGCATGAATGCACTCTTTTCCCCATACCAGCGGTTATGTCATTTGCTGAGTACAAAGGCTTGGCCATGCACAGCCTGGATTCTTGGGGCCACGACTACACCGCCGTATAGTAGGTATGTATTAAATGGCTACTATATGCCCGGACCAACTCTGTCTGCATGGGTAAATTTGCAAAGTATGCAGGACGTTTTATGATCGCCCAATATGCGCATCGTAGATCCGGATGTGGACTGTGCATATTGGGGATCAAGGCATGCCTATGACAACAGCACACAAAATTTACCAATTACATAGTGCTATAATATGCGCCTAGACACTAGGGATACTGTACAAGACCATGACGACAATTTCTAGCAAGTTATACCCAGGCGGGCCATATTGCCAAGTCAGTGGTCCCGGGGTCAAAGATCCAAAGATCCACTCTACAGTGAATCGCCATTCTGATCACTTCGATGTCACCAATGTCACTGGCATCACTGGAAGGAATGTCGGATGAATTATGCAGCCGAAAACATGCCCCAACTCATTCGGGCCGTGAAAATTCTGTGCGGCTCCGGGGGCTTGTAGCCTTGTAGAATTCTATGACGCATAGTCTATATTTTTAGTACTGATCGGCTTCCAAGATTGGGGGCTGTTGGGAGATAGCTCATTACCATGAAGGTTTGCGACCGGTGCGACCGCCCCCCCCTGGCCGATTGTGCGAGAATTGTACTTTCTCTTACGAGATAGCATAATATAGTAGACTTCATGAATGATGTTGAAACGCAAAATATTGGTTAATATTTTGCAAACTATCCTTCTTCCTCCAGGGTTATAGCCGCCATAAAGATAGCTATCACCTGGGGTATTTGCTTTTTGGTAGGCTCATTAGACCCCAAAACGGATTTACTCACAGCCGTCAACACATTCAAGATCCCAGTAATAAAAAATAGAAGACAAACGCCAGTGCACCAGCCTATGTGTGTTTGCATGCCATGCAGTCAACGCCAGAAATAATGAAAGATAGAATCGAACAGTCCACCCATCCCTTGCCCCTTTCGAATCGCTTTTTCTAATGATCGTGCTCATTCTCCGGTCCGTGTGCCATCATTTGGAATGCCTTGACAAGTCCCATCGCAGAGCCAGCCGCGATACCGCCCACAAGCACCATCTGAATGCCACCGACAAAGCCCTTACGGATATTTCGACGACCCCTCCATCCGCTCACGAAGCAGGTCTTCCCATAACCGAAAATAAATAGAGCGATGACCATCGTTGCGATGGACCAGCGTAGAGCGACGAATGCATCATTGGGACCAACGAAGAAGTAGGGTACTAAAGGAACGAATCCGCCGATGAAGTAGCCAAGAGCGATCGTAATAGCACAAATAACGGCGCGAGAGCTTGAGGGCTCGGGAATGGTGTGGTGAAAGTTCATTAGGAAAGAAGGTAGCATGGGCGAATTGGAGAGGTGGGTGGTGAGTTGAGAAACGAGCTCGGACGGCAGCTCATACGGCTCGAAGATATCTTGAATAGTTCCCGTAACGGACATGGGATCTGTCACGGTCTGCGTCTCTGTCTCTTTTAAAGTTGCCTTGTATGATTCCCTAGAAGAAACGGGTCGGGTTAGCTGGGTTGTTTTGCAATTGTTGTGGCGAGGCACGCGTACTCTTCGCTCTTCGCACCCAAATATCCTCCCAAGCCCATTGAGATGGCGCCCGCAATCAGTTCAGCCATGCCGCCAAAGACGACAACTTTGGTATCACCCAGTGCCGACAGACCAGCTGTCAACGCAAAGGGCACAGTCATGCCATCGGACAAACCGATGATGGCGTCCGAAACGGTGCGACCATCGATGAAGCGGCTGGATATTTTGTCCGCATTTTGTCGAGCTGGTCCATCGGCAGCTTCAACGTCGGATTGCAGACGCTGGTGTAAATTCTTTTCATCCTCAGAGGAGCTTCGATCGGAGAGAACCGAGTAGTTTGACATGAAGCCGGTTAAAGAGGTGATAGACATGCTCTGAAGCAGCGAATTCAGGGATAGATCGGAGAATGGATCGCCAATGGATCTCGTGGGAATGAAAACACGCGAATACTTCACAAGGGGGAAAGAGCAGGTATAATAACAGAGGCTCGCGTGGTCAAAGCGAGATTTAAGAGCGATGTTAGTATCCGTACCTCGCTTGGGTGCGTTGCAATGAACAGGTGCGGAGAAATAAAGCCTTGTGAGGGCTCATCACAGCCTATTGAGGTAGAACGTGCTTGGCATTCCTGATCCCACCGAATGCAACGCCAGGCACGTGCAATGCTGATTCGAGCAGGATCGACTCGATGGTGGAGCTTGGTTGGTAGAGGTGGAGTTGTTGATGGTGCTTAAATCTGGGGCTTCCACCAATCAGAGAGCTTTGATTGTTCATCCTCTGCGGGGCTTGTATATATCTTTGTTGTGATTGGTCAGGTACTCCCGTCGTTGGACCAACATTGTGGAAATGGGCAGCTGTAGCCTCGACGGCCCACCCCCAAGCAGGTACACGCGTGATTGACATGCCCGTCTTGATTGCTCCAGGTACACCAGGCCTATTTCACATGGTTGAAATCGATTGTCAGAAGAAATAAACCTACTGCGACACTGTGGAAGGTGAAGGTCTATGCTGGGACCGCTGACATTCCTCATCTGCCAATTTTTGCACGCGATCGGGATCACACGATCGGATTCTCCTCCCCTGCGTGCGACAGGATGTTGACTCAGGACCACTTTTGGATTCTCCTTTCCTCCCCTCTCCTTATCATCAAATCCCACCCCCACCTCTCCACCTCCTTGCAGGGATTCGAGTGTCCCCAAAAACACTGACACGGTGGATCTCACGGGGCCCTCCATCAATAATACTGCTCGGAAGAAAGTGCAGTGCCGAAGTGGCCGTGATAGCGCCGGACTTCTCCCTCGTGTGTATCTAGCTTCACCCTAAGAGTGGGAAGGAAGATGCGGACAAGTTGTTATCGCCAATCCGGGGCTGGCCGATGACCATGAGGTCTGCCATCGGACCCAGCGAGAAAATCAGAAAGCTCATTTCCCGTCCAAGTAGGCGCGCTTGAGGATGCCGTTCAGGTAGATTCCCCCCCAAGATGGTCGTTTTGTCCGAATAGAACTCCCCACTCTATAAAATGCTGCATACTCCCCCTTGATCGCGTAATGCAATCATCTCGAGTTCTTTTTGAGCTTCCTTTGACTCAATCGCGATCCGCTGAGCTGAAGAAGATCATCATGGTGAAACAATTCTCGGCCTACGCCGCGTTGGCCGGTTTGATCGCCGCCGTATCGGCTCGTCCGACTGCCCGAAGCACCGAAGCCTGGGGTCAACTCCGTGAGAATGTGAGTGACATGCTCAGTACCTTGGGTACTACCTACATGTCTTTGCCTGTGCGTATGGATTAACAAGTACTTTCACATAGATCAAACATGTAATCTATCTCACACTGGAGAATCACTCGTTCGACAATATCGCTGGGTACTGGGACTTCAACCCAGACATTGACAACTTGCGCGGCGTCACATACTGCAACGAGTACACCAACCCCAATTGGACAGTGTGGGGGGAGCCGCTCAAAATATGTGCGGCGCCCTACGAGACCGAGGTTCCACTGAAAGATCCGGACCACAATTTTGCCGGCGTCACCTATGAAATCTTTCGTAAGTGGAACGTGACCAAGGATGATGTCCCCAATATGGCTGGCTTCGTGGAGCGCCAGTCGGAGAAGTACTCGTCAACTCCGGGAGACACCTCCTTTGTCATCCAGGCCTACAACCAGAAGAAGACGTCCCTACTAGCGGAGCTTGGTCAGAACTTTGCCTTCTTCGATTCTTATGTCAGTTTGAAGCATGCCTCTGCTAGTGTGTATAGTACACAATTGACAGTTTCATAGTTCGCTGAGCACCCCGGCCCGACCAATGTTAATCGGCAATTCGCAACCTCTGGTTCTTCTTGCGGCTTTGTCGACAATACGGACCAGTCTGCTGGCTTCTGGAACAATGTCACGGGAACCACATGCGCAACATCGATCTTTGAATCGCTAAGCAATAAAGGCATCAGCTGGAAAAATGTGAGTCGTTACAGATGATCGAAGACGCTATATCACAGCTAAAAGTTCTCATAGTATTACGAAACGGACATTGTGGATGCATATATGTATAAGGTGAGCAATCAGTCTACAAAATAACAGCATTGAGAAAGCACCGGTTTTGATAATCCATACCAGTGGACCCAAGACAACGCTATGGACCAGCTAGTGCACGCCGACGAATTCTACCGTGATCTCGAGGAGGGAACGCTGCCTACGTTTTCTTATATCAACCCAGAGTGCTGCTCAATCGATTCGATGCACCCGACTAGTCCCATGGCAACCGGGGAGCAAATGCTCAAGCACTTGTACGACGCACTCCGCCGGTCCAAGTACTGGGATAACGCGTTAGGCTCCTACCCCAACCAGCTCATATAAACGAGTCGATTCTAATTTATCATACAGGCTACTCATTATCAACTTTGACGAGCACGGCGGCTTCGCAGACCACGTCCCTCCACCAATGAACATTCCTCAGCCTGAAGATGGCATCACCTTTACTGGCATGTCCGACGACCACCATGTCACCTACGACTTTACCCGTCTGGGCGTTCGGTATGTATCTAGAACTCCATATCCAATAAACTATAGTAACATCTTCCCCAGTGTTCCCGCTTTCCTGATCTCCCCTCTGGGTCCCAGCCAACCACCTCATTCACGATGAGGGAACCAAGTACGCTGAGGATTCCGCCTACACGCACAGTTCGATCCTGCATTTCTTACAGGAGCTCTGGAACCTCGAGGGCCTGAATAATCGCGTGCAGTGGGCTAAGACTTTTGAATCGGCCTTCACGGCCACGGGACGTGATAATACGCCTCAGACTCTGAGCACGCCTACCTGGTACGGTGGCAGTGGTCAACCTGAGCCGGAAACCTTTCGCCTTTTGAACCAGGATGAGAGCTATTATGCTGCCCAGTAAAATGCTTTGTAATACTTGATTAGATACTGAAGGCTCATTGCTTTCAATAGATGGCATCTTCTTGTTTATTAGAACAGTCGCTCAAATCAAAAAAAAAGTATGTCAGATATGTGCAAAAGTTTGCAAGATATACCGATTGAGAGAGCCCCAAAAAGCAAGTCCCAGGGACCAGAGGTCTCAGTTTCTTACCCAAGGAGATAGGATCTAAAGAACTTGAAGGCCGGGACATTGAATACTAGTAAATGTACTATCAACAACTACATATGACCACGCATAATGATATTCTGTAGAAAGCGTAGAAATTTTGATATTTCATTCTCAAAAAACTGTGAAAGATTTGGAATGTATATGCAAGGGAATGAAAGACAAAACCAAACGAAGTATCGCAAACACCATCGCGACCAGACTCAGCTGCGATGACGCCGGGTATGAAGTAAAACATTATCGTACACCATGACGCATTTCCAGAAAGCATATCATGGGATGAAATGGAAAGATCGATGAGAAGTGCGCATGCAAGTATATGTGAAAGGCAGTGGGAATAGAAAAAAATTGACCACATGCAAATGAACAATGCAGGTAGACAGTAGCCGGTAGACTTGTGAGGATACGGGCGAGAATATCAAATTGTCATCGAGAGACATGGATAGGTTACTTTGAGTACCTGTTTTCGCAAGTTAGTACGAGTAAAAAGTCAACTCCAGTGGATACAAATCATCGCAAAAAAGAAGAAGAAGAAGAAGAAGAAGAAAAGGAATAGTAAACATACGGCTTGCGCTTCTCAGCTCCAGACTTCTCCTCCTGGCCCTGCATATCCCAAAGACGGCTCTTGTACGCGGGGAAGGAAGTGTGGTTCCACATGTTGACGAGGACACTATATTTGTTAGATTAAGATCGGAGTAAACAAAGGAGCACCACGGATAGGAAGACAAACCTCTGCGTGCGATCCTTATATGCCTCATCCTTGATCTCCTTCACATTCACCTTCATGCCGTCCTTGGTGAAAACGACGTTTTTCTTCTCCATCTTCTCGCGTGTGGTCTTGCTCACGCCCTGAACGATGCTGTAGACGACGAAGCCGACGGCGGCGAGGATGCCTACGAAGATGAGGAGGAGGATGAGGGGGAGGACTTTGGATTTGGCCATGGTGTTGGTGGTTCTCAGCGATGCGGTATAGTTCTGAGTGGTGTTTGTGTTTGTGGTTAGACGAAACGGTTGGAAGTGGCTCAGGCGAGGGGTGGTGTGGCTTTGAGAGATTTGCAGGTTTCCCAAGGAGTGGAGTCGAGGAAGGGATTTGTGGGTGCCAAGCTGGCTTCTCGTAGGGTCTAGGCTAGTTGCAGGCTTGGTATTCTGGGCATAAGTTGCTGCCTGGGTAGGGCGTTGAAAGAAGGAAAAACGAAAGATTGAAGCGTGACTCTAAGAAGCGGAGAATTATTGTCAGGGGCTTTCTCATTGTAACGGGCCTGGTGGGCCTGTTTGATTGGTGGGGCTGTGGCTGTGTGTGGCTTTGGCCTATCTGAAAGTAAGTGGTGAGATGATGCTATTCTTGGTTCATGTTCCATGTACATCCTACATCCATACTAGTGTATTGTCAGTATGGAATTGTAGTACTACTGTCTAGATATACACAGATCTCTCCCAGCGCATTTGTTTATCACCATCACTGTATGCACACACCATGTACTGTATTTTTTACTGCCCCGCAGCCGATCGGTGGATCACGATCTCTACTGCGTCATTATGAGAGAATCACAACCGGTTCAACCTACCTGTGATCCGGGGAAGACATCCCTCCTACGAGGAGAACGTCTATTCGAATTCCTCTCTTTTCAACTACGATATCCATTGTACACGGACGGCCACAAGATGTGCGACCTCCCATTCTTCCCCATCTTTCCCATCTGCTTTCAATGCGGCACCGATCAGAATCCCTGCCACTGTAAAGTCGTCGGGCCAACACTAGGTATGTCGCAGCCATACCCAATAATCTAGACAGGGATTGAACCCCATCTGCATAAAAGAGAGACAGGGTCATTGCTGATTCTTGTCCAGGATTCTGTGCTACTATCGTCGCTGCGGTGTGTCACGCCTCATATCTCTTATACTTCATGGCCGATCTATCCCGATTCGAAGACTTGGGCGCAGCAAGGCTGAGTTGCTATGAGAGCTGATTCGCTGACTCGAGAATTCCTACAGGTGATCTGCTGGCCCGCCTCGATCTTTTGTGGCTGTGGCTGTACACAGACCGGGCGGGAGTATGTGGTTTCTATTCTCCGCGTAGGTAACAATGAGGCTAATGGATCTAGTGTGTTGGGCTATCCGGTGAAACTGAATGGTCAAGTCAGCAATGCAATACCGTTCTGACCATGGCTACCACAAAGAGAGGATGACTACCTGAGATAAACGACATGCTTTGAGTGAATTGGAGTTACGGAGTATGGTGGTCGACCAAATATGGACATAATAATAAATAGCACCGCTACGAATGCTACTACTACCCTACCATACTAACAACCCAAAAATGATCACAAAGCATAAGTCAGTTTAAGATATATTCCTAGACCAAGGATGTCCATCGCGAATTGGTATTAGAGGACAGCAAAAAATAAAAGGCTTGCTGGAATACAATGCGGTGCGGGCGAATGAGGTATCCAGATCAAAACACGATTAAACCAAACCGGAACGAAACGAAACCATGGAACACAAAACAGGCAGTGCAGCGCGTACAGTCATTGAGAGAGCGGCCTCTCCATTTCTTAATGCCACCGTCTAGTGTTTGAGTGAGGCAATCCTTCATAAGTTCAGAACAGAACAAGAGTGTATCTACTTGAGCTTTTCCTTGAGCTTGCTGAAGAATCCACTCAGTCGCTTCTTCTTCTTTTCATCCTTGGAGCTGCCCTCGGTGCTGCTCTTAGCTGCATCAGTGTTGGAAGACTCAGCGGGCTTGGCAGTGGTCGCTGGTACGGTCCGGTCTTCAGTTGCTGGGGCGGAGGTGGGGGCGGGAGCGGCTGATGCTCGTCCGGGGGAGGAGTCGAGGTTGGTGATACATCGGCCGAGTCCACTGGGGGGACAACGAGGCCTTGGCCTTGACCAGGTGCGGTAGATGTTGTAGCTGCGGTCGCAGTTGGTGCTGGGGCTCCTGCAGATTCCTCTACAGGTACCTTCGTGTGGAGCTCATTCTCCACATCTCTCTTCTCCACAACGGCTTTCTTGTTGGCAGTAGCCTCAGGGTCTTCGTGAGCTTCCGCAATCGACTCCTTCACTACCTCCGGAACCTCCTTCACCGGCTCGGTGCCATTCGTCTGTTTGTTCTTCTCGAGAGGAACTTCGGCAGCAAGAGCGGCGGTGGTCGAGGTGGGGGCCGCCGACTGGATGGTGACGCCAGGGTCGGCCATAGCGGCCTGTTGAGCAGGGCCACCAGCGTGGTAAAGCTCTTGTTCGGTGGAAGCAGCTCGCTGGGCAGGTCCGCCGATGGGAAGGCTGGACTCGGGAATGAGGTTCTTTGTCACTGGAGGCACGGTAAAGGCACTGGATCCAGCGGTGTCGTTCTGGGTTCCGGCGCTGCCTAAGGGCACGCTGTCGCCCTTTTCATAAGATTCCTTGTCTAGTCGCACAGTCGAGTCGACAGTGTTGCCATGGATTGTGCTAGGATCGGGGACCTTCTCGCCAGGGTTCAACTTGATGGGATTCCCGTAGCCACCCGAGGCTGGGATGGGGTTCACGGATAGTGTTTGCTCGGACTCTTGTCCCGGCGTCTCGGGGAAGGTACCGGGCAGGTTTCCGTTGGCCTCCTTGGGGACAGCCGCAGCCAGGGCCGCGGTTGTCGAATCGGGGGTCACACCAGACATGGTTGCGTTGGTAGCAGGTTCAAGTTGGGTTGGGGCGCTATCTTTGATCTCCTCCGGCAGAAGGATGTTGTTGATATTATCGTCTCCGTCGTTCTCCTCTCGAACACGCTTGTCAGTTGTCCAGATACCGTCGACAACGAACTTGAAAGAGTTGAATGTCAGCCTAAAGTTCCCCTCATTGCGTGGCACAGTGATTGGTTTTATAGTTTAGGAAAGCGGGACAGGCCAAGTGACGTCAGCGGGAGTGGTGAAGCGTCATTCGCTTTTTGCGCCATTGAGAAGCGGAAACTGGGGTTTTCTGGCCTCAGGCAGCAGCCCTCACCGCAACGTGCACGCCACAGGGGGGAGAAGAAAAGAAAAAAGGAAAAAAAAATTGGCAAATAGATTGCAAAGACGTAAAAGGAACAGGGCACGGGCATACCTTGTACTGAATCTTCTCACGTACCGGGAGCGACACTTCCTTGATAAAGATGCCGCCAACCCGGTCCAGTTTCACCGTCTTACCCCAATCATCGAAAGTGCCTGTGACGAACACCTCGTTCGCATCGTAAGGCCTACACACCAATGCGAGAAACCGACCAGTCAGCGATCCAATTCATTATGTCTGTGCCACGGGATGAGTCGAGCTCTTCCCGTGCGTCAGATATGGCCTCCGCTCAGCTGCGCAGAGAAAAGCAGACCGCCGAGCCCCGGCCGGATGCCGCGCGCGGGGAGGGGAGGGGGCAGATGGAACTCACCATTGGAATGTAAAAGTCCCCATTTCTGCTAGTGTGCACAGCCCCGCCACTGGAACCGAGGAGATTGAGGGTTTGGTGAAAGGTCAGGAGAGGAGAGAGAGGAAGAGGTTGGGAGAGAAGCGCGCTTGCAAGCTCCTTGGGATGAAATCGGGTGGGGTGTGACACAGACCTGTTCTGCCCTGATCTGAGCAACCCTAACTTCGCTGCCCCTATCTCGATCCTTTACCTGGTACGTTGATCTAGAACCTAGTCTAAAGCTACGATAGGAAGCGGCGTAGTAGTCGTAGTCGTAGTAGTCCTACTAGTACTCGTTAGCTCTCTCTACACCGCCAACCCCAAGCGGCGAGGAAGGAACAGCGAGCTCCCGTGGGTCCATGACACCTTGGTCAGCATGGACCATGAGTAAGCCAAAGCACAGGAACGTTACAATGTGCATGCGAAAATTTGGAAGGTATAAATATGGACATGGATATCAATATCAATATATTGATGATCTTGTGCGACCACAAAGTCTATCAAATTGATCTGTGAGGCAGTTTCAATGGTTCCCGCTGCAGTTTCCCCAGAGAAGAGGAAGGTGCAAAGGTGCGCAGGTCCGGCGATCGATGCGCCTCGCCCTTTCCGGGCGCCCAGGGAAAACCTAAAAGAGAAATCCAGTAGAATCTACAAAAGAAGAAGAGAAGAAGAAAGGGAGGAGGAAGCAAATTTCAACAAAGGGCAATCAATTATCCACAAGAGGGATTTAAAAAAAAGAATAAAACTTAAATACATGTGTTCAGTCCCGGAAAAGGATCACGGGTATCCGTAAAGCTGAAGGATAGACTGAAAACGGATAGATGACTTCAGTACTTTCCCATCTTTCGCCACTTTAACCTCTAGTAAGACGGTGGCGAAGTGTCAAAGGGTTGGCCGCGGGTTCTAGAAGACGCCTGGAAGGACGGCCGGGGACGAAGCTTCTTTTTAGTCGAGTGCACACACACACATACACCAACTGGGCTTCCTTCAGTGGGCCATCCACCATAGTCATAGGTATAGAAAGATACTCTATTATTCCCAAGGGAAAACCAGAGAATCATCGAATCGTACTCTGTACTCCGTACAATCTCCCCACCTGCAAAAACTCAACACGGGAACAAGTGACGTCGATCACCATGATCGACGGAAGAAGCTCAGACCAGGCCCCGACTTTACTCCTCTCTTACCCCTCCTCGCCTTTTTTTGACCGGGAGAACCTCTGCTGCTCCCCCCCAGAGGTCCGATTTTTGAGGCCAATTATCATCCCCCTCCTCCTTTAGCTCCAAGTGAGTCCTTGTCTTCACCCTCCCGTCTTTGCCTGCCTATAGGCTCTCTTCAAAGGCTGCTCTCCCCGTCTCCACTCCGAGCCCCTCCGTCTGCCTGCTCTTCTTCCCCTCAATGTTACTCACCCGTTAATATTCTTCCCTTCCCATTCTAACCATCCATCTGGAAGATTTCACCTGCTCATTTTCTCGCCCACTGTATCTCATCTCTCTTACACTCCCCCCGCCTATCTTCTCTACCAACTCTCTTCCCTCATCTCCATCTACCCGCCCAGTTCGGCCGGAGTGGCGGCCTCTCCGGCCCCTAGAATCGTCAGAGTCATGGCCCAAAGCTCAAACGCCCTTTCGGGCACTAGCCCCTTCCTCAACACCTCTACCAGATCCGACAAGGGCCCCAGCATCCAGAAGATCGCAGAAGACGAAGAATTCGAGGTGACGTCACCTACGGATGTGACGTTCAAGCAATCCAACGCCGCTGGCTCAGGGAGCCTGGCCTTCGGGGGCGGTGCGTTTGGTGAGGCGGGTTCACAAAGCGAAGGGGGTGCTGCACCGGGGTCGTTGTTCTCGCGAAGTCCCTTTGGCGACTCCGGGTCAGGTTCGGGATTGGGAGGAGACGAGCCGGGATCTCTGCCGACGGGATCCGCCCAGGGATTTCCGAGCAATTATGCGCTTGGTCGTCGAACCTCTGTCTCTGCAGAGTCCTTGAATCCCACGTCGGCGGGCTCGGATAGTTGGACGCCCCCACACCACCCCAAAAGTGAGGACCAGCTGGCCCGTCTCAAGACGGCGGTGAGCACCAACTTCCTTTTCTCTCACCTGGACGACGACCAATTCAAGACTGTCCTCGATGCCCTGGTTGAGAAGCCGATTCCTGCCAAGGGTATCAAGGTCATCTCGCAAGGTGACGCGGGTGACTACTTCTACATCGTTGAGAAGGGCCACTTCGATATCTACATTCACTCCTCCGGCTCGGTGCAACCTGGTCCCGATGGCCTAGGCAACAAGGTGGCCACTAATGGGCCCGGCGGCTCATTCGGTGAACTGGCACTGATGTATAATGCTCCGCGTGCTGCGACCGTCATTTCCACCGATGCTAAGAGCACTCTTTGGGCCTTGGACCGAATCACCTTCCGCCGCATTCTCATGGACTCTGCGTTCCAGCGCCGCCGCATGTATGAGGCTTTCCTCGAAGAGGTCCCTCTGCTCGCTTCTCTGAAGACTTACGAGCGGTCCAAGATCGCCGATGCCCTGGACACTATCAAGTATCCGGCCGACTCGACTATCATCTCTCAAGGCGACCCTGGTGACGCATTTTATCTGCTGGAGTCGGGTGAGGCGGAGGCTTTCAAGGATGGAACTTTGGTTAAGACCTATAGCCGTGGGGATTACTTTGGTGAACTGGCGTTGCTAGATGATAAGCCGCGTGCAGCCAGCATTGTCAGCAAGACCGATGTGAAGGTGGCACGTCTGGGCCGAGATGGGTTTAAGAGGCTGCTCGGACCCGTGGAGGAGATTATGCGACGCACCGACTATAAGGTGGAATCAGCCAAGTCTCCTGCTTCTTCATGAAATATGATATGATATGATGAAAATTCGAATGATGAGGCCTGCGCAGCAAGAAGAAGCTAGGACGCGACGTTAAATCGTTCACATTATCTCCTGTGAGACTTGACCGGCGATTTAAAGTCATGTTCTCTTCTGCTAGTTTCAACTCTTTTGTTTGGCTTTTTTTTCTTTCTTCTGTTTTCCCGCTTTTTCTCCATCTCTTATCTATTCCCAACCCATTCGCCACTCTTTACGACTTCCTGTACTTACAATCTTGTCTCTTTTACGCGATGCGGTCCCTCTGGCTAGGACCTACTGTCGTCCTTGTCATACTATCTTGCTGGTTGCTTATGAGTATCTCATGCTTCTTGGACCGAGCAAATTGACTAGAATTTCACGTTTAAATGATGCGGAGTATATTACATTCTTGTTATTTCGTAGTGAGGTATCATGGCATACGCCCATCAACTCAATAAGTTCTCTATTAATTATGTGTATGCAACAGTGCGATCAGTATCCCATATCAAATGGTATTCAACTATCACCGCGCAACTACCAGATCACTTCTCAGCACCCACTTCTCCCCACTGGTGACCTCCATCCCCTCATGCAGCATACAATGATCCCCATGGCGATGCAATAACGCTAGCCCCGTTTCGGGCGCCACGGATATTGGCTCTGGATTTGGATCTGCGCGCGTAGGTTCAGGATAGAAGACAGTCTCGCCGCCAGAGCAGGTGGTCAAGTAGATAAGTAGGGTCCAGGTTGTCCGCGCCGGCATGGACTTGGTAGACGAGGGTGGGAGGAAGGTCAAGACATTGGATTCGTCATCTAGATCTATTAGCCTAGGATACACCTGCGGGTGACAAAGGGGGGGGGGAGTAAGATGACCATACAATGCTGTGCAAAGAATTGACCGGGGGAATATCGATAGATGCGAATATTCGGGTTCAGGCCCAATGGCTCTCCGCCCCAGATCTGCTTGCGTTTCTGCGCCAGATCTGTGGGTGGTTTGCCTTCTTCATTATCACCATAATCATCGTAGTTGTATTCATCTTCGTCAAAGCGGGTGGTGACTAGCTCCTTCAATGCCGTTCCACTCCACACCATCTCCGCAAACCGCGTGTCTTCTATCTGGAACCGGTCATTCACGCGCACCGCCTCATCCTTCTTTGGCTTGCCGGGTGTGGTAGTTAGAGGTAATGAGGCTAGGAATGAGGCGTAGGACTTGCACAGGGTGCCGGGGAAGAAGTTGCGAATTAGATAGATCTGGTCGGTGAGAAGAGGAGTGAGGGTCAGGTCGGCGGCAGGGAGGAGTGGGCGAAGCGGCGGCCAGTTTGGAGGCGCCGCGGAGGACTTGCGGGTTGGCGGGGGCGGTTTAGGGTCGGGCTTTTTGGCTTTAGGCATGGCGTTGAGGTGAGATGTGCCAGTGTGTCAAGGTCAGTGCCAGTGGATCGTTAAATTGGAGATTGGAGCGAGGGGTTGTGCGCCGATAAGATGTTGCCCGGTCCAATCCCTCGGTTCTGCACTCCGCTTCCCCCACAGTATGTATGACCTGCATGAGGGTCAAGGGAGGTAGTGCTGGGTTGAGAGGGTATGAAGTACGAAATTATTCGAAGGGGGAGTCATCAGACAGGGAGGGTTAATTGCCTACTGGTGGTTGGTTAGCTAAAGCTCTGAATATCCGTCTTAAATCCGCGGGATGTACAATTGGCATATGCCAGTGTATATATGGGCAGAATACTAGAATTGATTACTACTAGTACTCCTAGTAGTTCTATATTCCGGAGTCAGCTCCGACTGCATTAAAAGCTTGAATAAATCAAATCCACCTAGGTAGAGACTTAGCAAGTACCCTCTGGAATATCTACACCTCGATCCATTAATGTATGCATATCCCATTCAACACAGACTGTCGACCATCGGTGTACAGGCACCAAGTGGATCCTCCAGGTTCGAGCGGGGCGAAAGAAAATTTGTCCCGGATCGTCTCCAGGGGGGGTGGTCCAGTTTGATTCTGCAGGTCGATGGGATCTGGTCTTGGATCTTCATTCATATTCTCCCTCTATAATATTTTCTCTTCTCTCTCGATACCAGTCCCTCTCTCTGTGCTAGGCCCTTCCCCTCCTAGCCCGTTTCTAACTCCCATACTCCCATTTCCCCATCATCTTCACGATGCAGTGATCATCTACGGGCGTCTGCAGCCACCAACCCGGCAAGCTTCACCGCCTTCCAGTGAGAACCGCCCAGCAAAAGCTGCTTCTTCCCTTGTCTCCTCCCAGAGCCATGTCGTCGCAGACCATGACGGCGCCAGCAGTGGGCCATCGACCGCCTGATTCAGGTCCAGATACGCCCATGCACGACTATGGCTACTCACAGAACGACCCTACATCTCCTACCGCCTCAAGGAGTGCCTCCGCAACTCGCGACATGCATAATTCTGCCCCAACCTCCAAGGCCTTGCCCGCCACCTCTATGGGAATCAAGACTGAACCCACCGATACCCATGACTCCGACGTGAATGTTTCCGAGCACCAGAAGGACCTCAACACTCAATCCGCCGCCGGCGCCCTCCTCGCCCAACTACTGGGGAATCCTTCTGCGCCGAACTCGGCCGATGCGACGGGAAACCAGCATTCCGGACAACAATTAGACGACCAGGATGTCAAGATGGACGACTCAAATGGCTTTCCCGCAGTTGATCAATCTGCCCACAGCAGCATTGCGCTAGATTTCCAGCTCCCGCAAGATTCAACCTCGGTATCAAGGATCATCCAAAGTACTCCCAACGGACACGGGAAACCGGCTACTGACATTCTGGCGGAAATTGATGCGACACAGCAAGATGGAGGGATGGCCGCGCATCGGCCGTCGGATGCGAGTGCTATGGAACCCCTGTCTGACCCGTTGAATCCCAAATCAAACCTGGAACCATCCCTTCTTCCTCCCTTCGATTTCGCCGCAGTTCCCAAAAATGCTTTCGAGGCTCTCCAGCAGAACGAGCTGCTCACGGCCGCCTATCTCTCGCAAGGAGCTGATCTATCAGCCCTCGGATATCAAGATGGATCAACTTCGGTGGCTGGGTCGGAACCGAAGATCCAAGCGTTCGCCAAGTTAGAGTTTGATGATGGCCATTTTTATGTCAATACTTATTCGTTCATTCTGGGACGAGATGTTCGGGCCGCCCGCGCCGCCCATCAGCGAGAAATTCAGTTCCGGCAGGCCGTGCGGAGTTCTCGAGCAAAGAGTTCGAGTGGCGGCAATGCCTCTCATACGCCGAACAGGATGAAACGGGAGGAAAGCGCTGCCATGATGGGAAGCGTGGTCAGCGACCGCGGTGGTATCATGGGATTCGATCCAGATGTCCCCCCACATCTTCCAGCCAACCTGAACATCAGCAGGCGCTCATCGAAATCTTCATTTGATGATTCTGCGATGCCCTTGAGTGCCAACCCTGCCCAATTACAAACAACAACTGTGACGGATTATAATGCACTCGCTATGCAATCTTTGCAATCAGAGAACAATGGGGATGCAAAGCCTGTTGATGCTTTAGCCTTGCTCCCATCTCCCGACTCATGCCCTACAATTCCTATTCACCCTCCTTCAACGATTGATGGTACCGCTGCCGGGCACCGGGGCATCTCCCGTCGCCATGTTCGCATCTCTTACAATTTTGATCGCAACCTCTTTGAGATGGAAGTTATGGGCCGGAATGGTGCTTTTATTGGGGCCGATTGGCTTTCTCCCGGTCAGCTTCGTCCGTTACATAGTGGTGACTACATCCAAATTGGTGGTGTACGGATACGCTTCTTGTTACCTGATGTTCCCATTGGCGAGACTGGAGCGGATCGAATGGAGGAGCCACAGCAGCACCCAGAAGACGAGGGCGCAGATGCAGATGCAGATGCAGACATCGATGCTGCTCACGAGATTGATGCTGAACATGAGATCGACGACATGGACAAGGGTCTGAGCGACAGTCCTGATAGCAAAGATCTTTCCAAGTCCAATCTCTCCCTCAAATCCAAGGATGACGATCCCACGAAGCCTGTTCCTTCAATCGAATCGGGTGGTGATAAAGGCGACCAGCCGGCCCGTCGTCGTGGCCCCGGCCGACCTCCAAAGGATGGTATCATGTCGAAACGTGAAAGGGCCGAGTTGGCTCGGGAGCAGAAGATTGCTGCGAAACGCGAAGCTAATGGTGGTGTCACTCCACCGGCAGCCAGCCGACCTCCTCTTCCTCCTCCCCCCTACTTCTGCTTCCAAGGCAGGCAAGACGATAACGACCAAGGAATCGGTTGGAGCCGAATCTCCAACTTCCTCTGTCAAACCTTCTGAGAAGCGCAAATACACGAAGAGAAAGAAGGGCGATGGCACACCTATGGATTTCCCTCTTCCGTCCACAGAAGGTGGCCAATTCTCTACAGAACAACGGCCCGAGGAATATGTCAAACCCCCACCAGTCAAGAAGCGCAAGCCATCACGGTCACCATCTCCCAACTACCCTCCGGAGTCTGCTTACTCGCCGGAGGATCTGGCCAAGCCTCCTTACAACTACGCGGTTCTAATCTTCGACGCTCTGACGGAGGCCGGCACTCCCATGACCCTGAAACAGATATACCGTGCATTGAAGCTCAAATATCCATACTTCCGCTTCAAGTGCGAGACCGAAGGTTGGACATCCAGTGTGCGGCACAATCTCAATGGCAATGGACACCTATTCATGCACGCAGAAAGAGATGGCAAGGGATGGTCATGGCAACTTCGACCTGGCGCATCTGTTGAGAAGGAGAAGAAGAGGCGTCCTTCACCTCCGCCTCCCCAGGCTCCTCCTGTCCCTCCACCCCAGCAGTATATGCCTCCCATGCCTCACTCCTACGCACCACCTTCTGGTCATCCGGCACCGATGCCAAACCAGCGTCAGCATCAGCACCAGCACCAGCACCAGCCTTTCCAATTCTCTACGATGCCGTCGAACTTCTCTGCGCCGTCAACAACCCCTCAACATTCAAGTCCCTACCCTCCCCCCTCGACTGCAGGTCCTCCCGTCTCGACTCCTGTTCCTCCTGTTCCTCCTGTTCCTCCTGCTGCTTCGGCGCCTGCGCCTGTACCTGCGCCTGTACCGGCTCCAGCACCGACCCCCACCGCTGCGCCGGCTCCAGCCCCAGCTTCTGCGCCGGAGGCAGCCTCTGCTCCCGTTCCTGTATCGGCTCCGGCTCCAGTACCGGCACAAGCACCAGCACCTGCACCAGCACCTGCTCCAGCTCCAGCTCCAGCCCCGGTACCAGCTCCTGCATCTTTCCCGATACCAAGCACCATTCGAAGCAGCCTTCCGGCAGCCTTCGCTCGAACAATCCCCTCTACCTACACCTCACCCTACGCCACCAATCCCTCTCCGCAGGCAGCGCAAAACCAGCCGTCACAGACGCCGCAACCTGGCCAAGGACCGCCGCCGCCGCAACATCATCAATCCCCCCTACTCAACCCCCAAACCCCCATCATCTCAACCTCCACATATCAATACCCAACACCAATCGTTCCCTCCTCCGGCTGGGCCATCTTACCAACACCAGCATCAGCAACCTGTTCAGTCCCAGCCACATCCGCAGCAGCCTCACCATGTGCCACCTCCGCATCATCAGGCGCAGCAGCCGCGTCCACCACCGCCCGGACCTCAGGGTCATCAGCAGCAGCCGCACCCTGCACAGTCCAACCCGGGACCAACCGGACCACCGGAGCCGTCGTCGTTCAATGAGCGCGCCAACAAGGCCCTTGACGATTTTGAGGCCGTGCTTATGGAGGACTACGAAGACAAGAACTACATCCGGGAAGTCCTCCGCAGTGCTCGCGCTCGGGTCCTCGGCAATGCCACGGAAAGTTCATTCCCTGGTGGAGAACCGAAGGACGAAAAGGTCATTATGGATGTACTGAGCAGCCTGGTCGGAAGCCTAAAGGACGAGTAAAAAAAGGAAGAAAAGCAGCGCAGGCTTAACCCGATGCTTTTCTCCCCCGTCACGAACTCACGACTCATTTATTTTTTTACTATTTACCGCCTTGGGACATTGGTCCCGGAGTTTTATTTTCGTTGCACTTGGACTCGCACTCGCACCTACACCCACATCTTCCTGCTGCCTGCTGGGAGCTGACTGTGGGCTCGACCGGGAGGCGAGGGGAAACAAAAAAGGGGAATAGTCCCCTCTTGTCCCTCTCCCCTGACGACTTATCGAGTATACGAGTCTATGTCATTTGTTTGCGCTTCTGGGTTCTTCTTGAATCTTAGTGATATCCCTCTGTTCTGTTCAGGCAGCCGAGCTCCTGGACTGTTTCACATCTTTTGTTTTTCAACACCTTTGGAATCCTCTTGCACCTCGTGATTGGTCACGGATGCCTTAAAAATCAAAAAGCTAGCATATAGAAATACCAAATCATTTCACAATATTCTCGTTTCCTTCTATCTTATGCAGACACTGCCTAGGTGTAGTCCTTTGGCGCTCATACTACTATATTATGCGTCATTTATTGCCCAAGCCTGGCAGCTGAATAGTACCTACTACTAGGTATCTGTCTCTGCCAATCCATATTTGATTTTCAGGTCCCTTTTCAATAAGCATGCAGAGTCGGCTGGATTTCAAGGTTTTCGGCAGGTACTCCGTCCCTCATAGTAGTACTCCGTTAATTCCGGATTTCAGATGCGATATTTCTATATTTCTCATCCAATCTAGATCCAGACCCACTGCAAGTTCCTTTCCTTTCCTTTCCTTTTTCTACAGTCTGTTCCGCCAACCCCCTCCCTCCCCACCAAAGAGGGGCCGCGCCCGGAAATTCCCTATGGCGGGGTTCAGGAGGTGAGAAGTGCCCAACTGTACCTACAGTATTGGGCCGAGCGTAGCCGGAGCCGGTGAGAACGGTCCACCGGGAGGAGTCGAACTAGTCAACTAGTCACTAGTGAGGGGACTAGGCTGGGTCCTGGTGAGTTTATTGTGTTGCCCTAGGCGTAACCATGGATACATCGGGGAGTTTAGATAGTTTCTATGTAAGTTGATAGCTAGATGGGGGGAATATACGGAGTATATATGTATGTACATACATAGATGGGAGGCGAGGGATGCATTGGAGTCAGGAGGGACGGCGACACACAGCAACCATGCAGGCAGGATATTGCAGTGCCGCCAGCGGGTCGAGGACTCCGAATCCCTCCAGCGTCAGTACGGAGTACAGTACATATCCGTACTCCGTATTCCGTACTCTGTAATGTACAGCTGTTCGCCCCCCCCTCTCAAGACAAAATAGAATAATGGCTCAAAGGGGATCCGGTCCAATGAGCAACGCCCATCGCCTTGGTGTCGGGGTGTTGCCTCTCTCCCTTCTCGAGTGCCTGGGTGTCTCTGTTCCCAGCCCACAGGGCACCACTGCCACCATGCGGAATGACGCTATTGCACACCGCAGGGATCACTGGTTTGACCGGCCCCGGTGACTCAGAGTCCCGGTAACAAAAGTCATAGCCCTTACTTGGTTGTACGGGGTGATGGCGGGGGAAATGGCAATGGCAATGGCAATGGGTGCTGTCGGATAGTGGATAATGATGGCGGATGACGGACGCGGAAGCGTGTGATTGGATTTGCCTCTGGGGAGGCACTGCTGTCGTGTGAAATCGTACTTGGATGCAGCTGGTCACCATCACCATCACGGTCACGGTCACGGCGCAACGGCTGTATGTTCTCTTCCTTCTGGAGGAGCCACGCTCAGACCCGTGAAGAGTCTCCACCCGTCATTGGGGGACATTGATTAGTCATGTATGGCCCGCACGAGTCTGTGGGCCTTTTTTTAGATTTTCTTTTTTTTTCCTTTTTTTCCTTTTGGGTTTCTTTTTCTCGGTGGTTGCATTGGACATGGCTTGGTCCCTAAAAATCGGATAGAATACCAGAGGGTGAATCCATTCATCCCTATATAGTATAGTCAAGGCCAGCCAAATTATTCTTAGACCAGTAGGCCTGTTCTGCTCTGCTGTTGTTGCTGCTGCTGCTTCTGTACTCCGTAGCTCCTGCTGTATTTATTGTATGGTGACTGTACACTGTACACACCGGGGCGGTTTCGGGTTGAGTACTGGTAATTTTGGGTGTATTGGGGTGACAACTTCCCCTACAACTTCCCTGCCCAAACGGGCCACCAGCAGTGGTTGTGGCGGAAAGTGCTACTAGTCCACACAGTCCACACTCTTCTCGGGTCGAGGCCTGTCACACGGTTACCAGATTACCATACCCATACACACACTTCCACCTCTTCACACAATCGCCCTGGCCACTTCAACTTCCTTCTCTCACCTCCCCTTTTTCTATCTCTCCAATCCTCTCCCCTTTCCCCTTTTCCAACGAGCTTTTCACTAAGTGTCGTTGCTGACCTCTTCCTGAGGTTTGCCTCTACGCGAGGGAATCATTTTTGTGTTCTTCTTTCTCCCTATTCGTTTTGGGTTCCCCCCCAGAACGTCTCTGTGTGTGTCCTGGTAAAAATATCTTCGGTGTTAGGGATCCGCCTACGAAACCACCAACTCATCTCGTGGTTTTGTGATTGGAATTTACCGCCTACTCGACAACTTCCGAACTCATCTTCACAGATCTTTTGGTGTTCGGTTATCTCTATCCACCAACGCTCCTTCACTCGTTTGTCTTCGGTCCATTTGGTTGAAGATCTCTCAATGTCATTCAACTAGAGACGTTCACTACGACCATATCGGAGCGACGCGCTCTTTCACCTGCGCCCCTCTCTCCACCCTCCCGGACTCAGGACGTCGCGGAGTTGTAGACTGTTCGTCTCTCCCCTATCTCCTTTAGGCCTGCCCTTGTCGTGGCGCTGACCCCGGAGAATCGGATAACAGGCAAACGCGTCTACCTCACCCCGTCTTGACTGGTCTCTCCCCCCCTAACCCCCTCTCAATATGCCGTCTTTCTACTCCACAGGCCACGGCCTGCCCACCCCTCCTCACGTCAACAGCGGCGGTCGCCTGGACGAACCCCAGTTCTACCCCATTGGCTACCCTGCGTTCCCGCCTCGCTACCATCAGAGCGGCTCCGAATTTATCGAACAGTTCTCGCAATCCATGTGCTACGGAAAGCCAAACGCGATGAATCTACACCCTTCATCGGCACATCCGATGCACCCTCGGGATATGCACGCTATGGGCCAGCAGCAGATGTATGGTTCGGTGGCAAACGCTCTACCTCCGATTCGCTCCAACGTCCAGCTTCCCCCCATGGATAGTGCGATCCCGCAACAGTACCGTCGCCAGGATATTGCCCCGATGAAACAGCAGCACCAGGAACAGCCCCGCAAGGAGGAGAAAGCTACCGGAGGCGTCGCCGCCCATCTGGATTACGAGATGGATCGCATGTCCGACTTCGTGGCGGAAATGACCCAGGGAATGTATGATTTGTACAACACCAGAATCACCCTTTCAGATATTGACTTCGCGCGAAGCATCTCCCCAGGATCCTCAGTCCCCCCGCAGTTTCGGAAATACGTCTATCAAATCTTGTCTTCGACACGCCTGCCAAGCTCGACTATTCTCCTCGGCCTCTTCTACCTGTCCAGCCGCATGCGAATGCTCTCTTCGCAGCGCGCCTTCCAGTCAAGCAGTGGCCAAATTTACCGCATGCTGACCGTGGCCCTGCTTCTTGGAAGCAAGTTCCTCGACGATAACACTTTCCAGAACAAGTCGTGGGCCGAAGTTAGCAACATTCCCGTGGCTGAATTGAACAAGCTGGAGCTCGAGTGGCTCTTCGCCTTTGACTGGAAGATCCACGATCGTATTTATGAACAACAGGATGGCTTCGCCTCGTGGCGTCGTCACTGGGATACATGGAGCGCCAAGGCTAACGTTCGTGCCCACGAGTCTCGCCAGACCCTGTCGCCTCTGGACACCAACGTTGTTCGCCAACAGGCCACCTCCAAGCCCCTCATGTCGCCCGAAGGCCCTATCCCGCCTCAATACCAACGCGGCACCCACGTTGAAAGTTCCTGGCTCAACCCGGCAGCCTCCGAGTACTCGCCGCCCTCGGCTCCGCACAGTGGACCGAATACGCCCGACTACTACTCGGTTGGTCCTTCGGCCTACTCGAACCCACCTCCGCCCTATTCACGGGCTTGGATGCCCCCGCCGCCTCAGTACATTCTTCAGTCCGCACCCCGATCGCAACCCCCGTCCTACCATCATACTCCGGCGTATGGTCTGCCCTTCGCCCAGAGTGTCTGGACCGGCCATGGATCGTCGTGTGCCTGCATGTACTGTGCTAAGCATCTTGAGCATTACATGTGCAACAGCGCCTTCCCTGCGCTACAGCCTATTGCTGCATAATTGTTGCAGGCCAGGCCACATTTGTTACTCTCTGATGTCTTTGCAGCTGATTCCTTTTTATGATTACGATTGAAACCGACGACAGCCCTGGCGTCCCTGGTCTCGTCGTCCTTTTTTCACCATTTACTTTTCTTACTTCTTGATCACTTCTTTCTCACCAGTTCCTTCCGCGGCTTTAGAATTTTTCATTTTCGACGTTTGGGTGATATTGCATGGGTTCTTTTTTCGATGATACCGTTGTCCTTTTTTCTCTCCTTTTTTTGTCCTTTGTTCCTTCGACGTTTTCTACGCCCTCTTCATTTTCTGGTTAGCTGGCCTAAGACTCAACTCACAACTTGAGCGATCGGCATTGCACGTCAACCACCGAAAAGTACTTTTGTTCTGCGATCTGCTGGTTCGTGTCGGCTCAGCGAAAAACTCAAAAAAATGCAAAAAAAAGAGGAAAAAACGCTCCTGCGGCGACATTAGCACGCTCCGGCCAATCCATGACCTCAACTCTCGTTCATCGCGCCGTCCATACTGTACCTCGGTATGTCGGACGTTCGTGTCACCACTTGAGCTTCGTCGGATCATTTTTGTCCTGCCGGCCTCGCCCCCAGTGAGGTCGGTGGCCGGGGCCGCAGTCACGACGATCACGAATACCCTTAAAATCTGACCTTGTTTATTACCCATGACCTTGTTCGGTCCATATCTTCGGTTCATTTCTTTCCTCCATTTTCAACCTCCTGGCATTTCGTCTGGCGGTGACTACCCATAGAATGCTTCTATTTCTTCTTTTCCACTTTCGTCCTCCCTTCAAATCGGTACATTATTTCACAATTTTCAATTCCCTCACGCTACAGTCTCTACCCGGCGTTAATACTTCGCTTCTCTCATCTTCTGCAATCGCCCTTATTTTGTTTTCTCCGATCCGCGATCCGCGATTACATTCCATTTGACTCGATTCGCTTCACCAAACTGAATTCTTGTCTTTTTTGATATTTCTTCGTTTAACGACCCGGTCGATGAATCTCTCCACTCTCCGAGCTGGAGTCTATACCGACCCGCCCTTTCCCTTCTTCAGATCTCCCGTTTGGCGGTGGGTGCTTGGATCTAAAAGGAATGGGCTTGGTGGTTCCTGATTTATCGGTATCTGCGTCCCTCCATTCTTCTTCCTTTCCCTGCACAATCTGCCCCACCCCATTCGGGATCGAGCCAGGTTCCTGACAACCTGGTTTGTGTGTAGTCTATTGGTGCTTTGTCTTCTTTGTTCTTTCTGTCAATTCCCTTTGTCCAGTTCTATACCAACTCGTCTCGCTACTCATTTTTATGGTCTGATCCCGGTGGCCGCTAGTGTCGAGTTGTCTGGGTCTTTGTGTTTTGAGCTTGAGGTTTTGAAGATGATTCATTTTAAGATACAAAAAAACAAAAAAAAAATAAACAAATAAACAAGGCAAACTATGATCTTTGTCCTTCTGCCCTAGCGTTTCGTAGTTAAATGTAGTCAAGTTAGTTGATTACATCGATTGGTCGGCATCCTAGGCAAAGCAATACCTGATCAGCCATAGGTCTCCGATTACTATTAGTACAGGTACTATGTGACTCGGGAAAAAAGTTTGATGATGAAACATGAAAACAAGACTCATTTTTGTACTATCTCAATAAATTAAATCACTCATTTTAATCATATCGTCATAATCCTAACCCGTGGACAGGGTTCATATCCAAGAAACCCAAAATAAATCAAACACAAACCAAAAACAAACCATGCATGCATGCACATGCCATCGAATCCGAAGCCTTAACCAATTTAACCCACCTGACCCAATTTGATTGATGCATGGAAAAGAAGATGCAGGTCTAAAAGAAAGCCCAGGTCCAAGCACAGGTCAATAATAAAAAGAGAAAAAAACATAACCATCTAGTATACGCTTCCGCGTAAACTCTGATCTTCTTTTTGTCGTTCCTCTAGCGAGAGCTGTTCCATTTGGTGCTCTTCATGCTTTTCGCACTCAATTTGCTGGGAGTCGTGACCCGGCGATGGTTCCGATCGTGAGTGCGTGGACATGTCATCGCCGTCGCCAAGAATATTCGCCATGCGATGCTGTGGTAGAGAGGGCGTGGACGAGGTATGTCGGTGGTGATGGTGATGGTGGTGTACATGCGGACGCGACTTCCTTGAATCCTCAGTGGGGTGGGTGCTGAGTTCGTCATCCCCGTCTTCTGAAAGGTCCTGTGATGGATTCATGGCTGACCGTGGCGGGCGAGATTGGGAAGTCGAATGGGAATGTAGTGGTCTATGAATCGCTCCTCGGGGAACGTGGTGTTCGGTGTCGGAGCATTCGTCGTCTGATGGCGCGAGGCTGTTGGCGCCGCTCATGGAGCCGCCTCCGTCTCGGCCGCCAAGGTGGAGAAGTGCTAGTTTCAGACAGGCTGTTGATGAGGATGTAGCGGGTGGATGAAGAAGATGGTCTTCGCTGTCACGCTGCAGGCTATGGAGATTTGGTCTGGTAGGGCGAGAACCATTGACCTTGGTTGCGGAGCTGGTATCACGAAGAGTGTTAATGTTATCGGTGTTCTGGCTTTCTGCAGCCGAGTATTCGTTCTCTTTAGTCGGTCGATGAGAACTATCGTTATTATTGTCATTATTCTGGTGCATTCCGTTGCTCTTCGGGAAACTGAAGCTGTTATCAAAGCTCTTGTTGTGCTTCGCAGGAGATTTGAGAGACCCTGAAGATGGCTGGTCAGTTTTGTTGTTGCCCTCCGCCTGGGAAGTCTCATTGTGGTTGTGTTCATGCTTGATAGACTCTATCAGCTGCGTCCTTAAGGATTGCTTCGCACCCGAGGCCATGCCATGAGTACATCCATCCGGACAGCCACCCCATTTTCTTCGAATCGGGACATTGTCCATAGGAGAAGTAGCAGCAGCTGGGTCAGTGCCCTTGCTTTTGCGTTCGCGGTCCCTCTCTTGATCCCTTTCCTTTTTCAGGTCGGACCAGGTTCGCAATTTATTCTCCAGGGTGTATTTGCCGTTGTCCTGGTTGTGGGTCATGATCACGAACTCGCAATGGTTGATGTTGCGCAGGTCTTCAAAATACTCAACACTCCAATGGTACCATTTCATCAAGAAGACCCGCGTCATGAGACCGTGGGTGACCAGGACGCAAACACTGGCGGTGTCTTCGTCGCCAAATAGTCGCCACAGCGATTCGTTGAACCCGCTCACTCGGTCATATGCATCTGCCGCGGACTCGCCGTTGGGAATACGATAGAAGAAATGGCCATAGTCTGCACGCTCCATCCACATGCGTTCCATTTCTGTAGAGCATGGCTGGAAGTTCCCAAAATCCTGCTCTCGCAGCCGGGGCTCCTCGTAGACCTTGATTGTGTGTCGGGGAAACGGAGACGGGGAGGGCGAGTCCGAGGTCAAGGACTCGAGCATTCCCTCTGTAGTTTCTCTTGTGCGGCGGTAGGGAGAGGTAAAGAAGTGAAGAGTATCATCGGGATTCAGGAGATCACGCAAGCGGCGGCCTGCTTCCTGTGCCTGACGATGTCCTTCGGGGGTGAGTTTGACCCGGTGATCTGGGGTTGTTTGATGGATATCTCTGTTTTTATTTCCTTCCGACTGCGCATGGCGAACGAGTATGATCATCTAGTTATAGCAATGCATCAGTCCCATGTCAAATCAAGTTTATTCGAGAGCAATAAAACCACTTACTCGTGGTTTCCCCATGGTTGCGGGTGCTATAAGTGGGAACAAGCACGATGCGGGGGAGGGGTAGACACTTGGTGGAGGGAGAATTCGAGTGAGTGCAAGAACTAGAAATCAAGAAAGTAAGGAGAGGTAGATATATGAAAAAGAGAAGCAACAAGAACTGGAACAGCCCGATTCTCCTGTTTCGAGCAAACAAGAAAGATTCCAGCAGGAGAGAAAGTCGAACGGCGCGCCGCGCCGCACGGACCACCACCGAAGTGTCCATCCACAGCGCGGCCTTTACGCAACGTCACTCCCTGACTCCCGAGTCACAAAGAGGGAGAGAGAGATATACTCGTACACATATGGCCGACTCATTACTTGAGCTGCTGGCTCCACACCTGCAGACCCAGACTCCAACCTCAACTCCAACTCACGATGCCACCACCGAGCAGTATTTGACTCGCCTGTCTACTCTCTCCCTCGACTCTCTCCAATCCACTGAACCACAATCACTCGCACAATCCTCGCATTCAACCCTCCTCTCTCTCCAGGCCCTCTCCAACCGATCTCACCGGGCATTTATCACATCAGCCGATAACCTGTCGACACTCCGTACAAACATTCCCCAGTTGACGAGTGAGGCGCAACAGCTACGTGATGCCCTGCCCAAACTCGACGAGGAGACCGTGGGATTTTCCACCAAATACAGCAAGATTACAGACAATGCCGCTCTAGAACGACGAAAGAAGGCCATGCAGCTGGCCCGCAACGTTGATAGACTGTCTGATATTCTCGAATTACCATCCCTCCTCTCTACCGCCGTGTCTGCCGCCTCTGCCAACTCCGGTGCCGGTGCGGCATCCACCACCTATTCCTCCGCCCTCGATTTGCATGCACATATCAAGCGACTTCAAACTTTATACCCCGATTCTCCCCTGATTCAAGATGTCGTATCCCAGGCGGAGGATGCGATGAAAGAAATGACAACCAATCTGATTGCGGGACTCCGAACTCAAAACTTGCGGCTGGCAGCTGGAATGCGAACCGTCGGGTGGCTGCGACGAGTGGCACCAGATTTGGAGGCACTGCATAATGATACAACATCGGGGGGAGGGGGGAGGGGAAGGGGCACTGGGTGCTGTTTTCTTGATCTGCCGACTGGCACACTTGGTGTCGACCTTGGAGGCATTAGAACCACTTCGGGAGTTAGCCGATCAAGAAACACAGCGAAGGACTCACGCAAAGGAAAAACCCGAGACCTGGTCGAATGGTCAACAAACCGACCGCTACTTGAAACGATATATTGAGATCTTCCGTGAACAAAGCTTTGCGATTGTCTCGCTATACAAGAACATATTCGACTCCGAACAATCCGAGACTGAAACGGCCGTGTCCGGGCTGAGAGGCATCAACAAGGCCGAAAAATTGGCATCCCAACCAGCGCGAACCAGTGATCCCTTGCAAAAACTGCCGCCCGCCCTCGCGACATTCCCGATGTACCTTGTGCAATTACTCACCGACACCATGCGGGCATATCTCCCCAACGTACGGGATCGAGGCTCACGAGAGAGTCTGCTTACGCAGCTTCTGTACTGTGCGGCTAGCCTTGGTCGCCTTGGGGGCGACTTTGGGATGATTCTGACGGAACTGGGTGATGAGGAGGAGCTCAGCTACGAATGGGAGGATGTAATGCGCAAGCACCGCGCGCTCGCCGGTCGACTGGAGCAATTGACCAGCCGAGTCGCTGTGCATTGATATTAGGATATCAGGATATCAGGATACCTAGATACCAAGTTGAAGCTTTGTAGATAGACCGGTAGTAATAATCGAGTGAGGTCTATACTATCTAGTATACTACTAGTAGTATCTATGTATCGAGTACCATGCCAATGTAATAAGTCCATGCAATAATCTAAGTAATAATCTAAGTAATAATCTAAGTATAGAACTTCTGGTAGGCGCCAAGACTCTCGGGTCTCCGCCTTTCGCCTTTCCCCATCCTTTTGTGTCACACTTCCCTTTCGTCTCCTCTTCTCCCCCTTCTCCTTCTCCTCCTCCTCCTCCTCCTACAAATTCCCTTGATCCCTCCTACTTTTCCCTTCTGAATGTCGCCCAGTTCCACCTCCCCTTGACTATATTTAGCAGCGCGGAGTCATGGCCGCCCCAACTATCTCGACCATGATTGACCCGACCAAACAGGCCGAGTACCCCATTGTTCTGGGGGAAAGACTAGCCAACGACACAGCGTCTAGCCGATTGATCAATGTCAACTATAACTATAAAACCAAGTCCGCAACCCCAACTCAGCGTTCGACTATCACACCTTCCTCCCTGTCGCGCGATCTCTACGACCTTTCCGTCACCGATAAGGCCCCGGGCGCCGATCACAACTTGACGTATGCCTACCAGGGCAGCGAGGACCCGACCGACGAACGCAACCTGGTCTTGGTGTTCGACCCCGACCGCAAGGTTTTCGTCCTAGAGTCAGTTTCGACGAAACTGAACTTCAACCTTCGATCACGACCTGGAAAGACCGAGAAGGAGGTCCGCCACGAGAACCTGGAGCTTCTTCCGGTCTACCACGAAGACGATCACACCTCTTCGGACGATCGCAACGCTGGCAATACAAGTGAAGATGAAGGTCAGGCCGATGACAATAACCCCTATGACTTCCGCCATTTCCTTCGAAAGGGCGGCGCGGAGAACCAGCCGGCCTCGATATCTACTGCCACCACCCCGGAACCTGTCTACACCAGTAAGGCGACCACGCCGGTCTTCCAGGCCTCCAAGCCCGCTCCATCTTCAAAATCGGCCCCGGCTCCAGCCCCGAAGCCGATGTCTCGTCCGAAGAAGCAGGCAAATCCTCTTCGAGCACCCAAGCGACCTACGAAGCTGGCCGCTCCAACCGCTTCAACCAACTCAAACCCGCCCCGGTCAACTCCAGAGCCGCCGGCCGCGCCCACCCCCCGCGTGGACCCACATGATCATGAAGACACCCGGTCTATTCTCTCCCGATGCCGGCACTGGCTCCGCATCACAACAGACTGTTCAATCTCCAAATTCTAACATAATTGTCGATGGGGATCTAATCATCGATATGGGTTCGCCACCTCCATCTCGGGCCTTCAAGGTGAACCCTGCCTTTTTCTCATCTAACAACACTCCGACCGATGATCGAGATGAAGATGAAGAAGAGGAAGAGGATGAAATGGATAGTTTTCGTCTTCCTTCTCCTGCTCGAAACACCAACCCCCCACCCGTTGAGCATACTTCGGGGGGTGCTGGAGGTAGCAATGATATGGATGACGATGACTTTGATCCCCTGGCGGCAGAGATGGAAGCAGCCTTTGAAGAAACTGCCCGTGAAGAACAAGTCGCGCCTCGACAATATACGCAGACATCAACCTCTGCGCGGTACAATGTGCCAAGTGACGACGAGAGTGAGGTTAGCGAAGAAGAGTAAAGTATTACTGTATCGTTTGATTAATTTGCATGGCATCAGCATGGCGTTAGGTTGTATAATTTTTAGAGATACCATACTATCAGCAATGGAAATCAATTTCCTTTTATTAAGAAGCAACAGTATTCATTCAGTAACATCTCGGACTTTCAAATTACTCGGTGCCCTAAAAAAGGTGCGAAAATGGAGATAGTTAGCACTAGTAGTATATACGGACTAAGAATGATTATGGTAGATTACAATAGTAGAATTTCACTTTAGGCCCGAGTAATTACACAGTGCACGCAAATTCGAGACTAAAAGGACCAGCTACTAGTAGTTGAGGTAAGAATCTCCAAACGATCCTACCAAATCTCTTTCCAAAAGAGCATTGGCCCAATTTCTAATGAAACCTTGGTCCTCCGGTGTTACATTGCGTATCAAATGACCCTCAACTAGAACTCTTTCATCTAGCAGGCGTAACAGCTTTCGGCCCATATTTGGCCGGTCTTTTTGATCAGTGTCATCAAAGACGGTCAGACAGTACCATGGCCATTTGTCTCGCGATGTCAATGGCGTCTTGAAAATAACTGCACCCCGATCAAAGAAACACTCCCCATCTGCCCAGCGCAGCAACTCATCTAAGTTTGATCCAATGTATTCATCGGAGCTGCAGATCCTTTCCGTTGCGCACGAGTATCCGAAAATCGGCGACATGATAATTCCAGAAGAATGGTGGCCAAGGTTGATCCACAGATTTGATGTATATTCGCCGTGCGAGTCTTCTTTCATCCAGTCAAAGACCGGTGAGCCCGACTGGTCTTTCATGATAGTCAGTGTAAGACAGGAATTCCGTGCTGCTGCTCTCAAAGAATCTGACCCTGTCATTTCTTTCAAAACCGCGACTCTGTCTAACCCTAGAAGGAGTAACTTCTGGTTTCCTAGAAAGCTGGGTTGGCCTAGTTTGGCAATCGTCCAAAGAGAGCTTAGAGCATCGGAAGACCCGGTGATGGAGGTAATTTCTCGAACTATGCTATAGTCGCTGGGCCGGAGATATGACCGGAATGATGTGTGGGCGTAAACGGTTTCGTTGCTCTGGAGCAAAGGGTGTTCCTCCGTATCGCTAGACCCAGTCCACATATTCCTCAAGGCTGAGATAAAGCTCGCAGTGATTTGGATTGGGCGATCTAAATTGAACAGCTGCAGCAGATTTGCTGCATTCTGCCTCAAGCTTGCTGGGCTTGAAATTGATAGGATCATGGCGAGCTCTTCGGACGTTTCGGGCAGAGATAGAGATCGAAAGGTGAAAATCACTTTGTTTGCATCTTGAATAATGGAATTGGCCTCCCATGAACTAACATTAGGCGGACTTATGCATACTGGAGAAAATATCTCTGGCGAAGAATCACAAGGCAGGGTTTCTCGTAAATCAAGATCCTCGGGCTCTGGTGTTCTCGGGAACGATCCTGGGGACGAGGTGATGATGACCGAAACGACAGAGGTAGTCGATTCCGATCCTCATCGGAATCATATACCTCAAGATAACTTTGTTCTTTTCTGGAATGAGAAACTTGAGACTGTGCGTCACACCAGACGATACTTTCCGTCTCGCTTCTGGTGCAGTCGAAATCAGATTCATAGCTAGAAAGACAATTAATGACGTCTTCTCGATAGATGTCTGAAGCCCAGTCATATATCATGTCGATAATTAAACAAAGCTGCAGGGCATTGTCGTCACGCCGGATGGTGCCATTCCATAGTTCAATAATTTCCTTAATTCAAATTAGTTGATCGATTCTATTCTCTGCCCAGGTGCACCAGTGACCTACTGTGGTGTCCCCATTGGGTATACAAGCGTATACTTTCCACACATCTCCTATGTATGCAATGAACCATACCAAAGGCAAATAGCTTGGATTATGAAATTCTTCTTTGAAGGACCTCTGACACTTGACCGCTAATCTAATTGGAAAAGCAGTTTGTCGTTCCACGGCCTCGAAGTTAAATCCGGATACTTCTGATTTGGCCTCGAGGATAAGGAAAGGCAGGAGTAAGTCACTTGTAGTCTTGATAGGTGACCACACTATATCTGGGTAAGTTTCCTGTGCCAGACTTAGCGAAGGCGATCGGCGAAGGCCTAGTAGATAATCCGGCCTTCGAGTACCTGCGTCAGGTATATTGGGGTCATAGAACTTGGCTCCGCTTTTCCCGGCAAAGGCTTGGTTGACAACATGAAGCTATGACAGGAAAATGATAAGCCATTGATGCGCATTCTAGCAACTCAGCATTTTTGGCGTACTTACTTTTGCGAGTATGTCATCTTCACTACATATGCATAAAGTCTTATTCATTCGTATCTCACTGACCTTGTCTGCTGCTCGTGGACACGGTGGAATAGCTTGAAACTCAGATATCCATTGGTTTCTATTACATCTGTGACTGTTCATTTGTCAGAATCAAAACTTCAATCAGTACTAAGCGATGTCGGGAACCTTACCATGTAACATCCTCTTTAAAGCGACAAAAAAGATGATTCTCCGTATTTGCTCTCCAATCTTGTTCCTGGGCTCCCGATCTGCGACAATCGTCAGCAGTACATTGGAGAAGTCCAGTGTTATAGATTGTTTCTCTCATTTGTCTACCCCGAGGTGTACCTGCATGCCTCTTTGCTACCCCGAGGTACCCATCGTACTTGACGCCTTCAATTTCTCGAAAAAGCTTAAATAAGGACGCATATTGGGCAGGCCAGTGAGAGACAGGGAGAGGACCAAGAAAGTTGATCTTATGCTTCGCAATAAGCTCTCTCTCCTCATCTGGGCTCATCAATTTTCGCTTTGTTCTTGAGCTCATAGTGAAGGTTGAAGAAATCGAAACCACCGATTGAGGGCCGCAGAATTCCTTCGATCCAGGAGTGGCCGGTATTTATGGCTGCGCAAAACTAGTGCTGGGGCTGTTCATGCATCAGCCGCTTCTAGGCTTCTAGGCTGCCTTGTACCCCTACGAAGGATCGTACTTTGTACCTCTTACTAGTTTCTCCAGGGAATCGGTTATCTCGCGATATTTTTTGATATTTCCTGGGAATATGCAAGATCATGTGAGAATTGTTTCCAACAAGATCATACATCTCTCCGAAAGTCCACACTGACTTCTCTGGCTTTCCCACGCAAAGTCTAGTTGAGGTGGGGATTATCATTGCGGCCCGTTCCAGCGACGCGTGGGGCGAAGCTAAGAAGTATGGCCGCCACTCAGGAGAAGCTATTAGCCGCCGTTGGGGGCTATGAGACACCTAATTGCGGGGATTTTTCAGATGTTGGCCAGTTATAGCTCTAGGTCGGAGAATAGGAGACGAATAGTAGGTTTGATTTGATGATCATGCTTGTAAATCCTTTCAATCTCACGAGACTCTAAAAGGCCTGCACAACTTGAACATCTTGGTTCGTCTTTTATTGAAAGTAAAAGCGTCCAACCCGTGGCTGAAAATTGATATTCGCCTCATTTATCTGTCGTGTAACTAGATAATAGGAGGAAAACATAGGAAAGAAGCTCAGAATGAAGAGAATGTATCTGATTCTGAATCGATCTAAAGCCCATGTCCTAGTAAGAAAATAGGCTATTAAGCATATTTCACAATTGTACTTGTCTCCATGCCTTCTTCCAACTCACTTTAGACAACTTTTTCTGGATATTTGCAAGTGCTTTCTTGAATTTCCCGCCCTTTAGCTCAATACAAATCCAATTCCAGTTGAAAACTCGCAGGAATATGGAGAGAAGACGAGGGTATACCATAAATTCCTCTTCGGGAATCGCCTCTAACCGCTCCTTCAAAGTACCAGGAAAAGCGGTATCCCTAGGATATCGGCGACTTCCTCACTAGAGAAGTAATGCCCTCCAAGAAAATATGGGAACTTGGTCGACCTCAGATTGGCCCTTGAGTCGTTGCAGCTTTCCCCCAGGTTTTTGATAAAGAGTCGAGCTTTATCCTCAAGATACGGATGTGCATCAAATAATATTTTGAGGTACGCTTTCCGATCGATCTTTTCGTTTTGCAAATTCCTGTATACAAGAAATGTGCCATGGACCTCAAGTAGCTCGAGGAAGGGCTCTGGATTCAGAACCGGGTTTTGTAGCTCATCTATTTTACTTTGGGCTCGTCTTTCATGAAGCGACTCCATTGCGCTAGGCGCTTGGGCGTCATAAGGTGATGGGTCGCTTTTATAACGAACAATAATTGTAATCACCGACTGATCATTGTAACGATCGTAGCAGGCGAGCATATGCGGGTTATCGACGAATGTGACTGCTTTCCTGTTCAACCCGCCGAGTAGAAAGAAGTTACATTTGTTGGATTCTTTCGTAAGCCTGAGAGTTTGAAGAACTGTTTCGATTGTAAAACCTTTTTCTTCCATTTCAGTATACGTTTTGCTTTCGAGGCGGAAGCTGGAGCTTGCCATTTCTTCGAAGAGAAAAAGAGTGATAGGTGCCATCTGGGCGTTGCGCAAGTGAATTTGAAGATGTCAACAGCAGAAAGTTCCAGAGAAGCTTCGCCTGTTGACATAAACTGTTAGTGGGTTGAATTCCCTAAGAGGACTAGTAATGAGTAATAAAACGGCCGCGGCTATTTTGGCCTGTACGTGGACACTTAATTACTTAGCCCAACCGAGTCTCGCCGATGCCATCTTTAGGAAATACCCTTCTTCACACGAAAAAGAACTATATAATTATTGCAATTTTCTAATTATATTGTACTATTGAAACATGCAAAAACAGTAAACGTCTTAGTTTGCTCGGATGAGGAAAAGTAGCAATATTTTTATGTGCGATCAATTTAAGAGAGGATGTGGTGATGATAATAGCTGAGCAGACTATTGTAAATGTAGTCTTTCTTTCCTGGGACCGATATTTTCTTTTGTCCGGAGCCCTGGAGAGATACCCTTAGGTCCTATAGGATAAACTTGTTGTTGGGTTTTGCAGCTCCAGGTGCCGGATCATCACTGTGAAGATCTCGGGGTAGAACGTGTATCGGAGAAAACTGATTATAGTCTCCAGTGTGAAGAGAAGGACGTTTAGGACGAATATCCCTATAGAGATCCAGTAGAGCCATGGTCCGTTTTAGGGGAGGTTGTGGAGGAGGATTGAGACTATTCCTGTGCCACCAACACCTGCAAAGTGTTTAGCAGATTTCTAGTTAAATTAATTGCACCCGTTGCTTCCTTCTAGCTCTACAAATGGGAGAGAAAAAGTTGAAATTTCTAGTACAATCAAAATATTTATTGCTGGCTTTCATTGAGCAATGGTTTGGATAGTCGAAGTTTCAAGACTGCCCTTGTGTATCAACACAATTAGCAAACCGACTTTTTTGTCTATTATGCCGGTCAAATCCATGTGTTTTGGAGCATAAACGTGTTTAGCCGGAGTTTTCACTCAACCTTCAGTCAATACTACAGCATTTCTGAGAAGGGTCCACAAGGAAAACAACTTCCGTCAATGAAAGTTCCAGTGTCCTTCTCCATACACATGGAATTGAAGTTCAAAAGCAGAATACTTTTCAAGCAAACAGAAAGAGTGGCTACCCTGGTTTGCGAAAAAGAATGAATGAACTACTAGTAGGTATTAGTCTCAATAATACACAGCTTAGATTTTGAAAACCTTAAAATACTTCAATCGGTCAATGCCCTCCAAGTCGTTTCTACTTGAATATCTTTGATATTACCAATCTCGTCTTCACTCCTTTGCTTGATCCTTTTATGTCCAGAACCTTCCTGACCAAGGCGCTTTGCATCAAAATCCCGACTCTTTGTCACGATGTGGCTACTCGAGTCTTACACTGCTCTCTGTTTGTCCTCCGCTAATAGAAGACTAGTAAATATGAATAAAACCACTATCTCTTTCTTTTATACGCAGTGTTTTCTTCTCCTTCGAGTTCAAGTTCAACTTTCGAAATGAGTGGTCGGTTCACTTCCCATAAAAAAAAGGGGGGGAGGTAGCACCCCTGTAGATTCAAGTGCTGGTCAACGTCGGACAACTCGACAAGGAGAATCGTCAAGGTCACAAGGGAGCCGCGTAGATCCCTCTTCACAGGAAGGCACGGACTGCATTTACAAAAGCAAGAAACGACCGGTATCAAGTCTAGCGGAGCCAGGCGAGAGAGATCGACCCAAGAAACCAAGAATCATTTCTTCCCATTTTCCTAGATATCCTCCTAATCTTCCAGTGTGGGGTTATGATAATTCTTATGTCGGAGTGCTCGAAGTGTCTGAGGTAGAGAGGCCCCCAAGAGACAGATGGTCGAGGCCATCGAAGCCAATCAATCATAGAGAGCATTTACCCAAAGGCTGGTATGATCAAGAGCCCGACCTCGAACCTAGGTTTGTCACGACCAAAGGTAGACAATAAAAATAGGGGAACTTCTTGCTGATAATTCTATGTAGGGATACGGAAGCCCAAATTGCTCGATGCCACGAAAGAATTGCAGACGGCATCATGCCAGTAATATTCGAGCACAAGCTTATTACCTTGAAGGCGCAAAAGGCCAATGAAGAATAGGCTTTTCTTCCTCCATCCTGATATATTCTTTAAAGAAGGAGATTAATTATTCTTCTATCTATCGCAGTGTTTTGAAGGCGAAATGGCCTGGACATAACTGGGATGTGGTACGACGCTTGCATAGCCTTGAAAAAATAGAAAAATGGCTTGTGGATCGAGATGATGAGTGCAAGCTGTTGCCAAATGTCAGGGCTATATCTGCGGCTTATCAAGCAGGGGAGCTCGAATGGGTTCCGGGCCTTGGGACATATTGGTATAATGGACTCCGTTTGACCCAGCCGAGACCTTATACCCCGGAGGAGCTTTTGAGAATTGCCGGGGAAATTGGCGCTGGAGCAACTGGATTTTGGGTAGAACGCGTATGTAAGCTATTCCAAGAGACCAAATTTTGGATAGATACGCCGTATTAATGATAGATTATCAGCTTAATGGCCCTGGTCCTCATATGAGCAAAGCATTAGTACAGACTGGAGCGCCAAGACCAAAGGGCGGTATTATGGACAGCAACACTTTATATGTGAGTTTTCACCAAAGAAAATGCCTAATGCCGGGGCAGTGACTGAATTGGATCTGCAGATAAAGGTTGCTCTTCGTATCCAAGGGCACCGGAGTGGGCTTATCATGAGTTCGAAATGCTGGATGATTCTGGCGCCGACCAGATGTCGATCTTGTATGGTGATCTCGTGCTCCTACAAAATATGGAGGCTGCTGCTACAGGGGCTGCCCCAAGCAAACTGCCAGTTTGTGTAGGAGTTTTCGAGTCACTACTAGGCGATGGAAGCTCTGCGATCGAATATGCGAGGATGATACAGGCAGCCATATTTGCTGATAACAACGGTGGTGTCATGACAAACCTGGGCCAGGAGTGGGACCTCATACTATGTTTTGCCAGAGATGGTTACCAGCCAGATCCAGAAGATGGCAGAATTGCTGGTCTTTGGTCCAGGTTCAAGCTATACACCGGACTGCTCCAGACGCCAGCAGTCGTGTGTATTTCACGGATATCAAGGAGGGGTTGAGCCAGTTCTTACCAGTTGTGGCCAATCCGCATCCGAAGAGAGCTATGCCTCTGGGGTCGCTCAATCGAATTACCGGCGAACAATCTATTCCGCAAATTTACGGCGCCCAGGGCACTGGGCTCATGGCTCCTCTGAAGCTACCAACAGCGACGTGGCCTGGTGTACCCCTCGCGCCCGAGGCTCCCGGGATTGGGAAAATGATAACTGAAGAAGAAGGCAGTGGCAATGTGCTGCAATTAATGGCCACAGTTGGTCCAGTAGCTATGCTAATAGCATTTGGTGCCTTTATGGCCCACAGAAATAGGTGATAGGGGCCGCCCGTAAGAACAGCGTCCCAAAATTACTAGCATTGCCCATACGAATTAGGACCTGGCTACTACGCCTAAATCCCTACGGTGCCTACAGTGTGTCCTTCTCCGTTCAACACTTGTTCTCTCTCGCTGTGTGTGTGTGTGTGTGTGTGTGTGTGTGTGTGTGTGTGTGTGTGTGTGGTGGTTGGGGCCAGGAGAGGCAGGAACAGGTCAACATGATGGGATTTTTTGGATTCAAATTTAAGCGAGTTAGGTAGAGATTTAGAGCTCCCAGCTGGGGTTATTTTGTCATCCATCTCGGACCTTAGAACTTTGAATGTATTGAATGATTTTGCGTCTTCGATTATTTGTTTTCAATAGTTACTCTCCAAACTCAATGTCGTTGAAGGGAAATTCTAGTTTCTTGTAGGCGAATTATATACTAGTACAGGCATTAGCTAGGAAGTGTATTAAGATTCAAATTTTCAAGATCACCTCACCTCAGATCTAGATGAGCTTTCCTTTGTTATTTCCGTATTTCTTGTTGTTCAAGTTAATGCTGACGTTTATATACTTCGGAGTCTCGGCCGAGTTATTCCGCGCCGAGCTTCATTCATCGCTGCAACAACGCCGCCTTGACTCCAAATTCTCCATCGGTTTGTAAGGCCTTCTCCAACCTTGGAACTCATCACGACTGGGCCTATTTACAATTTTGCAATCACATCCAAAAATCCACACGGTAGTGCGATGAAAGGTCCCGCTATGCGCGATTGGACGAACCTACTTTCAAGCCTGGGATAGGATATCACGACACCAGACGCCCCAAGGTGCGCGCGGGCGCGCTTCACTTGTCAACTAGCCCGTCGCCCTCCTCCCATCCTCCTGATATCGCTACCAGATTGCTGTCACCTCATACCTCTCTCTAAATGGACCGGTCCGCGACTTCACAACGCATCCCCGGCCTGCCCAACCCGGTTGTTGCGGCCGCACAAGAGAAATGGATGTTCACAGATGAGGAGCTCGAGCGCACTCCGACGCGCCTCGATAAGATCGAACGAGAGAAGGAGGATTACATTCGACACCGCGCAGTTGAGTTCATCTGGCAGGTTAGCATGATGCTTAGGATGCCTCCACAAACCTCCATGACAGCCTCGGTCCTCATGCATCGGTTTCTCATGCGATATTCCTTACGGGGACAATACCCAGACCAGGCAGGGGATCTCATGCACCCAAAAGTGATCGCGGCAGTGGCACTCTTCGTTGCATTCAAGGTGGACGAGACGATGCGACGGATGAAGGACTTTGTAGTTGCATGCTGTCGCGTTGCGATGAAAAAGCCCGATATGGTGGTTGATGAGCAGTCGAAGGACTATTGGAAATGGCGGGACCTCATTCTGCAAAATGAGAGTGTGATGCTTGAATTTCTCTGCTTCGACCTGCAAATGGAGTCCCCCTACAAGGTACTGTGGGAATACTCGCTCTTCCTCGGGGTCCAAGAGAACCGACCCCTCCGTCACGCAGCCTATGCCTTCCTCAATGACTCCACATATACAGTCCTATGCCTCCAATTCCCACCGCGCGTCATTGCCGCGGCTGCCCTCTACGCGGCCGCTCGACACACTCAAGTCGCATTCCCAGACGACTCCCAAGGCCGACCATGGTGGGAACAGATCGATGTGCGCATCGAAGACCTCATCAAATCCTGCAAACTCATTGTGAAAATCTACGAGCGCGTTCAACAAACTCTGAGCAAGGGCTACCCAGATTTCACCTTCTCCGACACCGACCCCACCGACCCAACCCGCCTATTCAACAGCAACCCAACCTCCTCCTCCTTTGAACTCACCCCTACCAACTCTCTCACTACACCGGCCGGTGAATCCAGTACACCAAATGGCCGCAAGCGCTCCCGCGAACCTGAGTCTCACTCCCAAGACCAGAAGCAACCAACTCCAGCCCCGGCATCTTTGAACGGAGGGCGCTCCCCAAAGCGCCAGCGCACTGTATCCCCAATGCCGGAAACAACCCCCACCGACGGTTCACAGACACAAGCACCATCCTCCCGCCCACGCATTCCAATGCGAGCCCTGGAAATGCAATCTACACAGAAGCCCGAACTCGCGAGCCCAACCCCAGCCGCTGAAACGGAGACATCTGTACCGAATCCCAAAGGGGATACCAGCGCGGAGGAAGGCGAAATCGAAGAACATAAGCGTGCTGCGCCTGAACCTAATGACTCCCAAGTACCTCCGCTGACTCGGGATGAAGGTGGCGGCAGCGAGGAAGGCGAGGTTTAGATTCTATTAAGGTTGATTCTCCGCATCGTTTTATTTGGCATGGGTGGAGTCTGTGTTTCGGGATTGGGGGAGGAACTACTGGATGGAATTATTGTAAATCAATAGTTGCTATTGCAACTCTACCACTATTACCTTATGTTACGAGATCTCAATGATAACTTGAAGAACACCAGTACTGCTGCTCTCGTATAGGGCTAATGGAGTTTATTTTGATAGAACGAAATGCGTTTGCGTTTGCTAGAGCTAATGATTCTACTGAGAGCAAGACTCGCTGATTTGTTTCAAATAACTTAGACAATAATGCTGGCAACCAAGTTTATCCAAAAGGAATGCAAGTCCTAAACGCCGAGCCAATGGAATGTGAAAAGAGGATCATGGCAATTGGAGATGAATAAAGTGCATATGTATCTGTTAACACATTACACACCCGCCGTCATCACGCCCAACCCATGGTCCAGCAGTGAGCTTGGTGCCACGAAGCTAAATCCACCGAAGGGGTCACCATCGCCAGGAGTCTGCCCTGCAACTCCAGATAAACGGTTCCGGCCAGCCGCATCGTAGAGATCATCAAAACCACCAGCGAGCGAAGGGCTCAGAGGAATCTGAGTGAAGTCCTCGGAAAAGTTTTCTGCCAGGGCCGGATCCGTAACGATAGGTTGGATTGGCGGGGTGAGCTCGCGGCGCTCGAGAGCAGCCCAGTCAATCTTGCGGAAGAAACGGTGTTTCTTGATAGTCTGCATATCCTTGGGCATGTGATATCCCAGTCGCTTGTTGGGGTCCTTGCGCAGAAGACGGAGGAGTAGGTCTTTAGCGTCGGGTCCAATGAAGTAAGGAATAACGAGTTTCTGCTTGATGATCTTCTCCTGAAGCTTGGCATGATTGCCTGCGCGGAAGGGCGGGGAGCCAGTGAGGAGGTCGAACCCGAGGGCACCGAGGGACCACCAGTCACAGGCTTTACCGTAGGGCTTGCCCTGGACAACTTCTGGCGCCATGTATTCGATCGTGCCGAGGGAAGAGTTGCAGCGGTCGTCATCACTGAGGGCGATCTTGCTAAGGCCAAAGTCGGTGAGCAATAAGTGGCCTTCGTGATCGAGGAGACAGTTCTCAGGCTTCAGGTCGCGGTAAAGCACGCCGACATTCTGGTGGAGGTGTTCAAGAGCGAGAACCATCTCCGCCATGTAAAAAGCAGCCGTATCTTCCTGGAACATGCGCTCCATCGCAAGGTGGGTAAATAGCTCACCACCTTGGGCGTATTCCAAGATGAGGTACAGCTTCTCATGGTCTTGGAAAGCATAAAATAACTTCACCACGAACGGGTGACGATTGATACTTTCTAGTACCATGCGTTCTGTCTTGGTCTGTTCTACCAACTTCTTATGGACGGTGATTGATGCCTTGCGAAACTGCTTCTGTGCATAGAGCTTGCCGGTGACGACATGGCGAACCAGCAACACGGTTCCGAAAGAGCCCTTACCGAGGCAGAGCAAGGGCTCAAAATCCTCCGCGGTCATCTTTCGGCAGATCTGGCTGCGAATATCGGCGCCATTAACAGCAACTGCACAAGGGCTCGAGCCTGTGGTGACCTCTTCCTTGTCGGCGTCTGCACTGACGAAATCCTGGTCAAGAGGCACCTCATAGCTGGTCAAGACCTCAGTTTGATCACTGTCAGAGTAGACACTCGCATTGCTGGGAGTCGCGGAGCAAAGTCCCGAGGTACTAGCCGTCGGCTTTCCAGAAAGACTCAGCGAGTCCAGCTGGAGCTTTAATGCGCTCACCCCATGGCCGGCAGTGGGCTGCACACGTGGACTCGCTCCACCGAGGGAAGTAGTTGGCCGTGAGTCTGCAGCGCGAGAGCTTGTGGTAGAAAAGTCCGAATCCTCATCACCAGAGGCAAGCGGGGTGAAGCCGTGGACAGTCGATAGGGCTGGGTCGGCCGCGCCGGTCTGCACCTTCTTCTTCTTCTTCCGGCGCTGTCTCCCAGTTAAGAGGGTTGGGAATGCGGGAGGCTGTATGGCATTCTCTCCCTCACCGTAAGCAGCCATATGTTTGCGCGGCGAAAGCCGATCGCCCATGTGAACATCCGCGCCACGGTGATTGGCTGAAATTTCGATGGTCGGCTGCGCGCTGTCGGCCTGCGGAGTGAACACATCGCCGACGGAAATGTCGTCCTGGGCCTCAGGCGGAGACATGATGTTCGATTCGCTAATCGGGGGGATTAGAAGGTCGAAAAGGGTGTCGCCGTTGTTCCGAATAGAATCGCCGACGAGAGTCGGTTAACCAGTAGATAACTGGTAGCACACGGCGGTGCTAAAGGGCAAATATGTACTCGAGATGTCTAAAAGACTGCCACTATTCATCATCCATTTTGCCTGGTCAGCTTTATTCACTTCCATGGGCGGCCATGTCACCAAATCTGTATGGAGGGGTAATCATGGGAGCTTTTGCTGAGGGCTTTTTGCCCAGGACTTTTGCCCCACCAACAACAAACAGGATAGTCGCAAATCGAGGTGGTAGATTCGGGGTAGAACATACTTCAACTGGATTTTTCCAATGGTTCAGTCTTTCAGTCTCTCTTTCTCTGGTCGCAACCAGCTCGAAATCCCTCGAGTAGTTTTACCGTCCGCCCTTCTTCAGGACGGACCCGGTACCCCTAGCCAAACCACCTCGCCAACGGCGAAGTCAAAAGCCAAGGCGGAATTGGAGGAGTGAGGATATGCGGGCACGTCGGGCAGATCGGGAGGAGCGAGAGAGATCTTGGAGTCAGGCGCGATAGGGTTCAAGATAACCACCGAGTTGGCTGAGGAGATCGAAGGGAGCGAGTACGGCGCAGACAGGCACATAGAGAAGTGGATGAATATTTTGATTTCAGGAGGTAAGCGAAACACAGAAAAGTTCCCACAGGGGTCTGTGGAAAGAACAAAGCGTGGTGGCCTGGGTAGCTGAAGTGAATTGAAAATCATCTCGCTTTGAGGCGGAAATCCGGGGCGGCGCTATTCCCAATGCGGTGCTCACGTGAGACTGTGATTACTTGAGTTCTTATAGGCGGACAGAGGCCCCAGGGATACATACAAGAAACGCAGGGGATAGGGAAACAATCCATTTCAGTGAGAAAAAAAAGGTCATCGGCTCTATATACTCTGCCCCCTTTCGATCAAATTCATTTTTATGTATGACATTCCATGCGCGGGCGATCCGTTCCTGCAGACGATTCCCGATCCGATCCCGATCCCCATGCATGGCATCACCGCCGTGCCACCTCGTGGCTCTCAAAGAATGCTTGTGACCGCGTGATCTCAATTCCGGATCTCCCAACAAATGCCATGGCACTGGGCTTCTCAACTCGTACGGTGACTCTCTCATTACCAAAGTCCACGGTCACAATGCGTGCAATGAAAGTTGCCAGTGCCTCTACGGTTTGGAATGAGGTCTGGTCCACTTTCTGTAGAATAGTTAGCTCTGAAGATGATACCACATATATATTTAAATATATATAAAAGATGTTCATGTTGCTGATACATACCTCTGCGACGGCCCTCGTCATAGCCTGGTAGGTATCAACAACCGTTGATCCCCAAGCCAGCTGTCCGGGGCCCTTAAATTCCAAGTAAATAATAACAGCCTGTCTCTCAACACGTTCATGGGAATTGACGCCCAGAATAGGATAGCATCGAATTCCATCAAGGGAAAATTCCTCCTCCAGCACCACAGGATACCTACCCGTCGACTGACCAGCCTGCGAGGCATCAGGAATCTGAGTGTACCCCCACACGGTCACACTACGATATTTGAATCCTTCCTCAGCACGCAGCAGGGCCTTGGGCAAGTGCAGGGTCACTTCGCACTTCCCATAGGTATTCTCAATCGGCCAAGAAGCTGGCGCCGGTGTCTGCGGAATTCCGGAGAAGCTATGCTGCGGACTCTGGTGAACATGCGCCATTCTTCGTACGCCCGCGGCCGTCTCATCCAGCAGGCCTAGTCCACAATTCGCGACAATTCCGGCTGTCACGCGGGGATCCTGGCCCACAGCGCTGACCTTCATTTCCTCTCGCTGCGTACCCTCTACGCTGACCATGCGCTTGTGTGGGTGTTCGGGCGATGAGGTGTGGTGCGCCATGTCGCGAATATCTGACTCCAAGCGGCGGAAAAGCTTGCCGTAGTCGAGGGAGAGGGAGACATCGTCGGCAGCGGCAGCAGCAATGGCGGAGGAGTAGGAGAGCTTCAGGGTAGCGGTGCAAGGTTGAGCCTTGTCCAGGCGATGCCATGCGTCTGGGGCTGCAGGGAGAGGAAGCTCGATGTCGCGGAGGCGGACGCTGTCCAGGACCGGTGGGACCGGTGGGATATGAATGGCAGATCGTTGCTCGGCCATAGTGGATGGATTATTATTGAGGGGCCCTCGGAGGTGTCGGAGGTGTCGGAGGTGTCGGAGGTGTCGGAGGTGAAGCTATGGAGGGGCGGGCCATTCTGAAGTTTAGTGGGGGAGCGGGCAGTCTTTTTTTGGGCGGGGCTGCAGATCATGACGGCAATACATTGGAAGCTGCCGCTTCAAACGGTCACGGTACTTGTGTGATGTACGTTTCCATGGAACCCTGGTAGAAGTCTATTTGAACATCTTTACATTCCGAACTGGTATTCTTTTCATCGCAGGAAAGAAGAAACCCTGACGCTCTGGAACTTTGTCTGTCGAATTGTGGGCTAAGCAATAGCTATCTGAACGGCCGTGATTAGTACGACCGTAACCTCCATCCATCACTACCGGCGGGGTCCTCAAGGCAGTAATAATCACAGTCGAACTTCAATCCAGTGGGAAAGGAGTTCGAACTGCTTCTTCTTTGTCCCCGGAACCTTCGATATTTGTACAGAAAGCAAGGGGAAATGAAAAAGAAAAGAAGAAGATCAAGAACATAAATCATCCGAGAAGAAATAAAGAAATGAGTCCAATACAATTGACGGCAGTCAATATAGCTCCACGGAAATGAATCCAGAGAAAGCCGATTGTCCAGGCCGAGCCCCAGGAAGAAACATGCTTCGGGAAACCATTGAACTATTCTGGGAAAGAGCACGCTGAAACCTCGGCAGATGGAAATTTGAAAAAGAATCGTTGGCACCATAAAATGAATAAAGTCAATACGATACGTAACGGGTATTGGAGTTTGGGAGAAGAGAGAAAGCATCTGCAGAGAAAGCATCCAAAGGGACGAAGGGGTGAACCACCGCCGGATTACCAGTAGCGAGGGCGGTCATACGCGACATACTCTCCTCTGGGTGGCGAGCGAGGACGGCCATAAGGGGCCCTGGCCGCTAGATATGGATCATCATAGTGGCGCGGGGGAGGCGGGGGCCTGGCATCATATGGATCCTCATAGGGACGACGCGGGGGTGGGTAGTCTTCCATCCGAGGGCGTGGGGGAGTACGACGTCCATATCCATCACGTTCGTAGTACTCGCGGCGAATCGGAATGGGCGACCGTTCACGATAGTGATCCCGGGGCTGTATCCTCGAGGAGCCGGGAACCTTCGGTCATATTCATCCATGGGGGGGGTATGGCCGACGCGGGAACGAGACCGGTACGGATCCCGGGGGGGACGGTCTTCATGGCTCTGGATCTGGAAAGAAATGAGACGGGGTCCTTGTGTGTATCCTCCGATCCGGAAATGGAAATAGAAATGAAAATGGGATCCTTACATCGGCAACGCAAGTCACGCGCGAGCCTTTGAACTCCCGCTGGTCTAGCTTTTCCACGGCTGTCTTGAGGTCGTTGGCGGTTTCGAATTCAACAAACCTTTTGTCCTTGTCAATTGGGGGTTCTTGGGAAAGGGGAGCCAGGCCTGGCTGGGGGATGCGAAATGGTAAACCCACCCTCTTCCTTGTTCACGGCCAGTTTCCGAATAGACGACATCCAGTCCAGACTGTCGAGCAAAGTCTTTAAGGTCCTATCGAATGGTGAGTCCAGGTCCAGGAAGAAAGATGTCCGGGCAGGTCCAAGTGGAAAATCGGGCAAATGTCTACGTCCAGGCATGGCGGTATCCAGAGATGGTCTTTGGCGCAGGAGATAAACTCCTGGTCCTCAATAGCGCTAATGTTACTCTGCCTAGGGGGGGTACCCAGGCTAGAACTATAAAATTCGATAGAGAATTGCCGTGATTCCAAGAGTGAAGGGCCATTAACTCGGCAAAAGACCATATGCTGGATAGCATGCAGGTTTCAAGTAGGGAGAAATGGCCGGGGGTGTGAAGTCCTGGGAATCCAAGGAGAAATGGGTATGGGCTGCTAACCTGCCAACTTGTTTCTGGGAGACCGGAGATTTGCATCCGGAACATAGTACGACGCGGGCGTGGAGCAGCGGGGCGATCCGAAGGAGGACCAGGGAATGCCTCCTTGCGCCGGGGGCCACGAGCAAACTGCACGGTTAGCCGCTCGCCTTTGAAGTCACTGCCATCTATAATAGATTTGTGGTAAGTCGATGATCACGTTTTATTTGGCCTAGGAAGCGGCACATACGGAAGGCTAGATGGGTTGTTAGTCAAGAATGATGCATTGATTATGTGAGGGAGTGTCAAAAAGGGCCATACCGGGAACGACGTCGCGAGCGTCCATGGCATCTTCATACTCAATGAAGCCGAAGCCATTCATCAGCTTGATCTCCGTAATCTTACCCGACCCATGGGTACTGAAATGCTCCTCGATATCCTGTTTAGTCACTACAGGTTTGTGTCAGCTGCGCATCGCAAAAAAACAAAACAAAACAATTCACATGAATCGAGATAGAGATAGCAATAAAAGTCAGAAGACGACTAGCCCCTCCCCTCCCCCCAGGCGGGCTCCTCGAAATGGACCCTCCAAGGAAAGTGGGCCACGGAAGCTTTGGCGGGGGCCGCAGGGAATCAATCCATAGGCGCAGGGTCGAACGCGCCAGAGTCGACATGCATGGGCAAAAGGAGGGCTGCGAGCTTACCATTGCGGGGAAGATTCCCAAGGTAGAGTCGGGTGGATGACACCTCCGTCATGACTCCGAGAGGTCAGAGCACGATAAATCCCGGGAGGATGCAAATAAATGGCCAACAAAAGAAAGGTGGCCAAAGAAAGAGCCCGATCGGGTGAGCGTTGAACGCGGTCAAATCAGCGAAGACTGACGGGGGTGGTGGGAAGGTGTGGCGGTGGGCGTGTCGAGCTCCCCAACAGGAAAAGAGGTTGAATTGGGTTGGGTTGGGACAGTTGGGTACACACACGCTGCAGATGAAAAAAAAAGGAACTGGAGGAAAGATGGAGGAAGATGCAGCGCAGAGAGAAAAAGGAGGGGGGAGGTGGAAAAGCAGATCTGGCGGTCACCGGGGCGCTTGGGGAAATTCTGGCCGCCTCACTTTTTCTCGTTTCTTTTTTGCTGTGACCGCTGCGATTTACGTGTCCCTCATCAAAAGTACGCGCTGGTGGCGGATGGAAGGCACCTTTTTTCTTTTAAATCAGCAAACAAGAATCAACAATCAACAATAAGCACCGCGACTAGTGGTTGAAATCTGGGTTCACGGTAGATCCCGCCTCGTGGACTCTCCACCCTCATTCCACGGTTCTGCCCGCCCATTCCATACTCCATAGTACCCCAAGGTGGGCGAATAGGGTCTCGGATCCTGTGACATCTAACAGCTACAAAAGTACGAAAAGGTCCGTGAGGTGGCTGTGACTGTGACAAAAAAAAGTGGCCGCTTTTCTAGGTATTCGAATTATGTACAATACAGCGGGCTCGTGCCCGGGGCTATCTTCAACAATAAAAAATAGAAAAAAAAAAAGAAATAGGCAAAACTACTGACATGAACAAGCTCATGTCATCATATACTTAGGACCTTCTCCACCTTGAGGTGTCTGCCAGTTGATGTCTTGAGTGGGCACCTTGATATCGCAGGTCTTGCAGTGGATGCAGCTAGGCAACTGTCAGTATGGTATTTTTCAAAGGGAAGGGGCTTCAGTGAGAGTGGCGCGGGACTTACTTTTGCGAGTTGATCTGGAATCGAACACCGTGCTCCTTACTGGGATCCTCGACGTACTCATACACGCCGGCAGGGCAAAACCGGTTCTCGATGCCCTTATACGCAGGCCAGGCAAGGTCCTTGTGTTTGTCCCAATCTTCCACCTGCAGGTGGACCGGCTGGTCCTCTTCGTGGTTGGTACCGGTGCGGCTCACGCTTGTGAGAATGTCAAACGTAATTTCGCCATCGGGCTTGGGGTATTCAATCTTGTTGTATTCAGAGGCGGGTTTAGTAGCGGCGGCATCGGTGCCGTGGTGGTTGAGAGTCCATGGCACACGGCCCTTCAGGACGTAGGCTTCCAATCCCGAATAGATCAGGCCACCGAAAAATCCTAGGGGGCTGTTGAAAGATGGACGAATGTTGCGCACTTCCTTCAGCTCCTTCCAGATAGATGAATCACGAAGAGCCTTCTCGTAGTCGAAGAGGAACACGGTGCCGGTGTCCTCCTCACCCTGCAGAGCCGCAAACGCGGACTCGGCAGCCAGCATACCCGACTTCATCGCAGTGTGGGTACCCTTAATCTTGGGGACATTCAGGAAACCCGCTGTGTCACCGATCAAAGCACCGCCAGGGAAGGCACATTTGGGGATGGATTGAAAACCACCCTCGTTGAGCGCACGAGCAGCGTAAGAAATACACTTGCCTCCCTCAAGCACCTCCTTAATCATGGGGTGTTGCTTATACTTCTGAAACTCTCCATATGGTGAAAGCCACGGGTTGGGGTAGTCCAATCCTACTACCAAACCGATACTCACCATGTTATCTCCAAAGTGGTACATCCAACCTCCACCATAGGTATCCTTAGGTAGAGGGTAACCCATCGAGTGCGTGATCGCACCGGAGTTGAACTTCTCCGGCTGAATCTCCCAAATCTCCTTGACTCCAAGGCCATAGGTCTGTGGCTGGCTATCGCGACGCAGGTCGAATTTCTTGATAACCTGCTTGGTCAAGCTGCCGTGGCAGCCCTCGGCGAGAAGGGTAACGCGGGCGTGGAACTCCATTCCACGCTCAAAGGTATCCTTAGCCTGCCCGTCTCGTCCGAGGCCGAGGTCATTGGTCGCAACACCCTTCACTGATCCATCTGGCTTGTAGACCACCTCACTAGCCGCAAATCCGGGGTAAACCTCGACGCCCAGCTCTTCAGCACGCTCGCCCAGCCACCTTGTCAACTCGCTCAAACTAATGATATAGTTTCCTTCGTTATGCATTTGCGGGGGCGTGGGCAGGGGGAATGAGGATTTCTCGGTCAAAAAGCGCATCTTATCGCCCTTGGCGGCAGTTGCGCCCTCGAAGCGCGAAGGATTGTCCTCGGACAACCAGTCCGGCAAAAGCTCATTCAGCGCGGTAGGTTGCAGGACGTTTCCGGAGACGATATGGGCGCCCAGCTCTCCGGCCTTCTCCAGCAGGATCACCCGGAACTCCTCATTGCCTGCATCGTTGGCGAGCTGCTTCAAGCGAATGGCGGCGGCAAGACCGGCGGGGCCTGTGAATTGATGGAAGCCCACGGTTAGAACAGGCTTCGGAATGTGATATAAAGCCACTACTAGTAGAACATACCACCACCAACGATACACACATCCACCTCGTCGGACTCGCGATCTAGGGATCGAGGATCAAAGTTGCCATTCTCGTCAGTGAACCTCCGTAATACCGATTGCGAGAAGGCTCTGGTCTGGCTGGGCGGGATAAAGGAGGCGGACCGGTTGGTGATGCGTCGACCGGGGTTTGAGAAGAGAGTAGCGGGGGAGCGGGCTGGAGAAGCCAGCGCGGCGACGGAGGGGGAAGCTCGAGAAAGGCGGGACGAAGCAGTTCGCATTTCGCGCCTCAGCAGAGGCAGAACAGTACTGTTGGTCGCCATCGTGGGAAGTAGGGACCGGCAAGGTGGTGAGAAAAAGAGAATGAACTACCAGAACACTGGCATGGCCATATAAAGATGCAATGGAGAGAGTTTAATCTCAAGACTCGCAAGTCGAACTGCCTTGAATAGCCGAATGTCAATTTAGGACCGCAGCCGAACATTTTGCTTGCCAAAACGCCGAAAACCGCCTACCCGAGGCTGCCACGGACCAATCAGCGCCGAGATGATGCGAATCATCGTTTCCGTGTTGGATCCATTTCCGGTTCACCGAGTGGCAGCTTGACGCCAGATTATCAAGAATCGCCGAGCGATCGAGTAGCGGTCGATCATGATCGTAGTATAGCTTGTAGACTAGTCTGTGGATTATATCGTGGGTTGAACTGTCACTGTCACTCTGGGGTGGACCAGAAGATGCTCTTAATTAGGCATTCCGCCTGAAATTACAGGCATTGAAGTACTCTATAATCACGTGATTTACATGTGCAAATACGAGTAGCGTACTACTAGTACATACTGTACGTAGGCATGTTCGGTTGACATCATGATGATCATCACCCAAAAAGTCCCGGCTTCCTGTTCGACAAGCTTAAAGAAGAAGTACGAGTACTTGTGACACCGCCAGGAGAAAATCATGGACGCGATCTAACAGATATTCCGTACTGATCGACGTGATTCAGTGTGATTACGGTGCAATGAGTGCAGGAATGTCACAGCGCGGCAGTGTTGGATCTGGGGCGGCATGGTATTCAGCATACCGCGTTCCCATACAAAAAATGAGTCGATGGACGGTAATATTGAGACGTCGAATATACAGATCCAACCAGGCAAACACACGCAAAGGTGACAGCCTAGAGATCGGCATGTTATGAGATTCGTCCAAAGGCTTGGCGAGCGGTGGAGCCGCAGGCCCGCGGGTGCCACCGCTCGCCCAAATCGTCCAGCTCCGTTGGGGAAGAATTGAAACGGCCACCCTGTCCTCTTTGTGCGGAATTCCAACTCGACCAGATCACAACAACATCAACAACAACAACAGTGCGATAGGGGGGAAGGACAAAAAGGTGCGACAGAGAGTTGGTTCATTTGGAAGAGGCTAAAAGAAGGTGAGTTCGATCCATCGTGGTGGCGACAAGGTGAGTTTCAATAGTTGGCTAAGATCCCTGGTCATATCCAGCTGGACACTGGAAGAAGGGAAGAGATGGGTGGATGCAACGAATTTTTGTTCAGTTGCCTCCTGTAAAAGCGGCGAGAGGATAGCGCGTCGCACAGGGAGTGACCGAGAACAGCCTCCGATGATGATTGGATAGCGTCAGGAAGGATGGGATGGGTCCGACTATCAGCTGCAGGAGGACAGCGGACTGGACGCCCACTGGCTGCAACCGTGGCGCCGCGGAGGATAAAGCAAGGGCGGTAGGGCCAGTCACAAACAAAAGCTGCAGTTAGTGGGGCTGAGTCTTGACCAATAAATCAGATATCTTGACTTTGGCGAAGATGATTGGTGAAAGGATCCACCTCGAGCCGCTAGAAGGGAGAAGCGAGAAGGGCGAGTCCTCGCTGCTTTTACCGCCACCAGCGGGCCCAGCCTCCCCTGACGCAGGCTGTGACTCAGCACTATATAAAGGCCCAACCTCCCACTCTCGCAAAACCTTTGGGATTTCCGTCTCGGTCTTGGCACTCCCTTATCTTCTTCCCGCCCTCCTTCCCTATCCCCCGCAGATCTATATTCTGCTCTACTAATTACGTGATCTCTCCTATATCGAAGATCCTTCTCCGGGAAAGAAGCCTTTTCTTTTAATTTGTGAACAAATTAAAAAAAGGTCCAAAAAAGTGCAATCCTAGGTACTTCCAGTATCCAGGTCGTCGGGCTTACCTAAATCAAGAAGCTTGTCCTGCCCTAAGGTCTTGCTTCATCACTCTCATTCAGATCGCTTCGCAGATAGAACCCAAATCCCACTCCCAAAAAAAAACAAAGCAGCGAGGGAAAAAACAAAAAGAAATAACCTCATCCGCGAAGCAAAAAAGTCTTTTTTTTTGTGCTATCCTGCTATAATCCACCTTCCATCCGCGATCTCCTGTTGAAAACACTTCAGTGTGCTTTTCTTACTTTTGAACACAATCTGGGATTCTATCTGCGATCTGGAGATTCGTGTTACCATCACCTCGCGATCCAACAGTCTGTAGGGGGATACATTGAGTTGTCCATCTCCCACGAAGTTGGTAAGGCCTTCCCTGCGCACTGGACGTGATTCTGCCCTCAAACACCGCCTTCCCTCGACACATGACCAGACCTTTGGTTGCCTCACTGCCTTACCCTCACATCACTTCGATCTGTTGATCGCCACGCTAACCCTCGTCGCCTCTGGCTCAGTTGCTTCACCTATCCACCTGAAACTTGATTCATCTGTCCTCAAACCCTTGCGCTTGAGAGCTAGTTATCAAGATGGATTCCCTCACCACCCACCCGTCCAACGCCACTCAGGCGCGTGCCTTCACCTCTGCCTCATCGCTTTCCTTCCCCGGGGGTGCAGGCGATCTCACCCCTCCCTCCTCTGTGAAAGAGATTCAGGGACAACCCGTCGCACAACCCGCGCAGGAACAGCAACAGGTTGGAGGAAATGCCGTCAACGGCAATGGGGTGACTCCCGCTACTCCGGCCGCGACCCCGGGCGCCACGACTGGCGGCTCTGGTATCGTGCCGACCTTGCAGTGAGTATACTCTCTCTTGGTGTTTCGTTCTGGAAGCGAGACATTGGCTGAACAAATTTGTCCCAAAAGAAACATCGTGGCTACTGTCAACCTTGACTGCCGCTTGGATCTCAAGACCATCGCGCTGCACGCTCGCAACGCTGAGTACAACCCAAAGGTATATTCCACACCTCCCTGAGATTGTCTCTATCAGGGTACAGTGTGGCTGAACTGGTCTTTTTTTCTCTTGCTTAGCGTTTCGCCGCCGTGATCATGCGTATCCGTGAGCCCAAAACCACTGCGCTGATCTTTGCCTCGGGCAAGATGGTCGTCACCGGTGCCAAGTCTGAAGACGACTCGAAGCTGGCTTCCCGCAAGTACGCGCGTATCATCCAAAAGCTTGGCTTTAATGCCAAGTTCACGGACTTCAAGATCCAAAACATCGTCGGCTCCTGCGATATCAAGTTCCCTATCCGCCTGGAGGGTCTGGCATCTCGCCATCACAATTTCAGTTCCTACGAGCCTGAATTGTTCCCTGGTTTGATCTATCGTATGATGAAGCCTAAGATCGTGCTCCTGATCTTCGTTAGCGGTAAGATCGTCCTCACAGGCGCCAAAGTGCGCGAGGAGATCTACCAGGCTTTCGAGCTGATCTATCCCGTGCTCTCTGGTATGTTTTGGTATCTTGGTTGTTCTCTTGCGTCTCCGCTAACAACCTGGCTAGACTTCCGTAAGGTTTAAAGAGATTTCTGTAAAGGAAGATCATCTTTGCGTTTTCGCATTCCACCCCCATGTATTAACATTCTGACTTTTACTTTCTCACCTCCTGCGATCGTCTTCGGTTGTCATTCGCTTGTCCTGGTCTTCCAGCCTCGGACTTTGCTTCCTGCCATCCGTCTTTGATCTTCCCCCCCGGGATTTACCCACCTTTTTTTTTTCTTTCTCACGATTTTTCATGCAAGCATAGTTGGGCGTTTTAGCGATTTGAATGATCCCCGGTTTGTCTCATCATTCGACTCTTTACACTTAGATTGCTGCACACCGCAGTGAGGCGGTTTGTGCGCTGGTCGATAGCTGCCTCTTTTTTTAATCCCTTTTCTTGTTCTTCAGCCATACTCGTTGATGGGGCAACTCGTCGCGGGCCCAAAAAAAATTATGATGCGTCCGAGTCCTAGATTCCGTCGTTGTTCCGGCCGGTGGACTGGGAAATTGCGACGGCTTTTGCCGTCTAGCTTCGTTATCTCAAATGAAGATCTATGAAAAAAGAAAACCTTACTTTTATTACCTCGTACTTCCCATAGTCCAGATGCCGTAGTCAGGGTTCTCGATGTAGTAACTTTGGAGGTTCAGTAGGATACCAGACGAGCATGGATCTCATGAACACATTGATCAAAATCTACGTACTATGCTCACGACATTGAGGTTCTTAGTGTTGTCAAGTAGTATATTCAGTTCAATTCGCATTTATACAGATCTATCTATCTTTATGCCAGAATGCATGTGTCGTCAATTTACAGCGCACTCTCCCGTGAAGCCTTTCTCGTCTTAGCCAACTCCTCTTGCAAATTCGAGTTCCTTGCCCCAGATCGGCTTCCATCGCCGTCGAAGAGGTCATCCATATTGGTTCCTGGAGCGGGAGTGTTTGCCTCCGTCCACTCCCACAATTTCTGCAGTTCGGGGTCCAAAGTGCCCTCCATGGCATCAACAACTTTGTCTCCAAGCACAGGGAAAAACTTGTAGGCGTGTCCGCTGCCACCAGTCGCGAGGAACAGCCCCTCGTAATCAGGGTGGTACGAAACAATAAAATCTCCATCGGGGCTGCCCAAAAGTAGATTAGCATCATGTACTCTGCCGGAGGGATAATATCTTGCAATGGAAATACCACCCAAGGTCCCATATCCCATATGCAGAGAAAATGTACTCACGTATCAGTATACCAGCAAATCCTGGTATCAGCAAACGGCCGGTCCACGAAACGGGGAAGCAATTGCTTCAATGCTTCCCTGAACGCATCCTGTCCCTCCAGCGGAACGGGACCACCAGTTTCAGGCAGACTAACCGCCATCGTTTCCTTGGATGCACCGACCCCGGGAACAGGCACGGTGATCGGGTTCCGGTAACCATAAGCATGGCGCGCGATCTTGAGCAAATTGTCACGCGGCGGGATGATGAACATGCCTGTAGCAAAGTTCAAGATGGTAGGTAAATTCTCCAGCTCACGCTGCTCGGCATCACTAATCTTGATATATGCAATTGCCTGGCCTGTGGCCACGGCCTTGCCGCGCAGATCAACAAGTCGGGGTGTCCATGCTCCAGTCGCCAAAACAACCAGGTCAGCTGTCAGTGTCGTTCCATTCGTCAACGCAACACCCTTTGCGCGCGGCTTGCCTTTGCCAGCAGATGCAGATGCAGATGCAGGCTCGTCGAAAAGCACCCGGTCAACATTTCCATGGCGGAAATCAACCTTCCCATCCGCATCAAGCATCTGCTTCGCAAACGCCACACTCGCCCCGGCATCGGACCAGCCAGAGCCCCAATTCACATACCCACCGGCAACATCCAAATCCTCCCCATACGGCGGGACAACAGAAAGCACATCTTTCTGGCTAGGCAGGAAAACAACGTTATCGCCCTCGATCTGACGCACGTTGTTGTAGCTCTTGCGCGCGTACTCCTTTGCACTGACGCTGTCGGCCGGGTACACCAGCAGCAGGCCGTTCTGCGTGTACCGACCCTGACGACCCCAAGCCGTGCTGCGCCATTTCTGGATGGCTGCGGCCGCGAGCTTGGAGTATGCTGCGTTGGCGTAGTCTGCCCGCACAATCCGTGATGTGTCGACGGATGAGCCGTGCGGGTTTGGAATTGTCGGTGACGATTCCACCAGTGTGATCTGGGCTTCCGGGTGGCGCTGTCTCAACGAGAGAGCGGTAGACACTGTTACATGTTAGTGGGTGTAATTGTTGAAAAAGCTGAAGTACATTAATCTCAATCAGGGGAGAGGGGTCAATGGATTGCCAACATTTTGGGGATATTGGTAGGTTGGGGTTAAATAATGGGGGGAATTGATTTTCTGGGGTTCGGATTTTGTGGGAGAGTCGCGTGTGAAGTAGAGAAAGACTTACGTCCGAAGACTCCTCCACCCACGATGAGGATACTAGGAGGGAGCGCCATCGCAATTGAGATTCCTGGGTGATTTCCAAGAGGTTTCTGTTGAGGATCGTGGTCGAGGTTTCTGGTGGTCCCATCGCACTTCGTTCCCCATTGCTCGGCCCACTCAGGACTGGCTTGATAGCCCGATAACGGACTCGTTTTTCGGTCTGTCCGCCCCGAGATCCATAGGATCCCCACGACTTGACAGTCCCGTCGGCACCGAGCTTCGCGCGGATGAGCTTGTATGAGCTTGTATGAAGTGGTAGGATCAATTGAAGAGAGAATAACAGATAGTGAGACCTGCTCTTACCTACCTGGCTCGTCTGCAAAGTCGACTTGTTTCGACGCGCCCAGGCATTTTTCTTCGCGAGGTCTATTACTACCTCCAGGCCTCTTCCACGAAGAGGGTTGCTTGACTCGTGAGGCAGAAAGGAGTTCATACTCCCCAATCCCCTCGGATCTATCCACACGATGGCTTCAACGCCCTGCACAATGACCACGCATGCATCCCGATTAGCCAGAGCCTCATTGCGAGCCTCCAGGCCCATGATACCCAGTCGAGGCGTTCAGAGCAAAGCTACGCGTCAAAAACGAACAAGGTAGGCTTACAAGCATCCATAAATATCCATCATATACCGCCGAATATACTAACAGCATAGTCCTAATACCCCGCCGCCGCGGAAACAATACAATGCGGATATCCAGCGCTTTCAAGAACGCTACGCGAAGAAGGAATCTGCCGCCGCGCCTCATGGAATCCCAATTCGAGTTCTCTCCTTCATGGGGGTTACTATACTGGCAATCAGTACATACACGGGGTATCTTTACACCTCGTATCAGCAGGAAGTGCGTAAAGCGCAAGCGCTCGACATTCCCCGCGACGTCTCAGATCGGTACAATAGTACTGCACCCACTTTCGACGCCGAGGTAGATCTCTCTGAGAAGGCCATGCGTCTTGGGAAGAAACGAGCAGATCTCCTCCGTCTTGCGCGCGGGGATGTACTGGAGGTCAGTTGCGGTACGGGTCGGAATCTCGAGTATTACGATCTGAAGGAACGACGCGGTATGGATGAGCAAGGACACGCCGCTGTACTTGGGTGTCGGTCTCTAACATTTGTGGATCTGAGTCCGCAGATGGTGAATATCACCAAGGAGAAGTTCGAGGCTGCGAATCCCGAGTTCACGCGCGTCGCGTTCCGAGCTCAGGACGCTGCTGCCGTGACGGTCGAATCTCCTGTGAAGCTGCAGAATTCTGGATCGAGCAAGGGGAATGTCTACTACGATACTGTCGTTCAAACGATGGGACTCTGTTCGATGCCGGATCCCGTGGGAACGTTGCGGCATCTCGCTCGGATTACGGAGCCGGGGCATGGACGTATTTTGCTGCTGGAACATGGTCGCTCGCATTATGATTGGTTGAATCGGATCTTGGACAATCTTGCACCCCTGCATGCGGATAAGCATGGGTGTTGGTGGAATCGGGATATCGGGGCTATTGTGAAGGAAAGTGGTCTGGAGGTTGTTGAGGAGAAGAGGTGGCATTTTGGGACGACGTGGAGATATGTTCTTCGTCCGAAGCCGGATGAGACTCGATCTTAGCTGGGAGAAATTTTGTATTATAGTATGTATTGATGAATTAATTGTATAGAAGGGTTGTCAATATTTGTACCTGGCAAGCTTCCATGATAGTGATTTTGTACTACTACTAGTACTACTAATAGTAGTACTGGTAACATGAAAGCCCTCTTCAAGCTGAACTTGAAGGTTCCGAGGTTGTCCCCGAACATATATACTACCACCTGGGCACTACTACCAACTACCATCTAAAACTACAAGCTGTATAAGTTGCCCAGGGCACTACTGGTAGTAACAACCTTGGAATTAAAGACGTACTGTAGCAAAGGGAAATACATCTAAAATCACATCAAGCACCTAAAATCCTGACGTTGCTAAGTACTCGTAGTACTAGTACTATTTATTTACTACATCAAGTGACGGCCTCTGGTCCTAAGATGCAGTCATGTACAACCACACCCAAACCAAAAGTCCGAAGCAACCATACATGTAAGCAGTAAACAAACGCAAAATACTACTAGTAGTAGAGTGCACATGCCAAAATTCGAACGAGCCCCTCGATTCAAGTCGACTGTGCTCACCTCGACGTTACAATCTCACGTCCGCGCAAGCTGTCGCAGAATGATTAGGGGCCAATGTGAAACCCGCCCGGAGCCTGCGCTAGCAACAAACCGTTTCAAAATGTCCTCCCTAAGAGTGAGTGCATGTGATGACTTTCCGTCGCTGCCCCCTATCGAATTCAAGTGATCCTGATGCCGAAAAAGGTGAGCAGAAGCGACGCGACAAGGTCTGCCTTGCCAGATGATGTTTAGTTGCTGTCATACATTTTGCAGATCGCTTTGTATGAGATCAGGCTGATTCTGATTACCCCGCTCGATGGATGGATGCATCTCGGCTACAGACAAAGAAAATTCTTTTAGAAGTCTAACCTTACTTGCAAGGCTAGTGCGAGAATTTCCAAGTTTTGAGACATTCGTGATATAATGGAGGGGAGGGGTTGACTGTTGGTCGTATGGGATTATTCTGCCGGGCCCGTCCAATCTTACCGGAAGGACGACAGGTCGGGACGCGGATGCAAAGCCCTTCCAATCTTTATCGAATATTATATGCACGGTGCAGATCTCCTGCAGGGGTGTGTTCTATATGTCTTGAATCATGGTTCGGTTGGCCTGCCAATTTGTTTTTGTACATACATACATAGTGCAGCAGATTACGGATACGGAGTACTGGAGGTTATGATGCAAGGACTGTGATACTTGGAGGTCCCTTGTACCTACATATGCGCCGTTGGTAATTAGTCAATCCGTCTCGATCTGCCTTCTTGTAGGCATGATGGAAGATACATAGTACATGCGAGTAGACGGCCAAGGTTGACTACTAGTAGCTCATCTTTCCGAAGTGATGCCATCATGTAAGGGTGGTGGTTGCATATCTGCTTTGATCCAACCTTGATCGGTCTTATTTCCGAGGAAAGTATCGAGTAACGTAGGTCTTCGACCTGGCAAGAGACTACGGATAGAGTTTGCCCCTACATCTAGGCCATGCGATGCAGGCTGGCGGTCGGATCGCACAATCTATATGTGGAGATGCGGAGATTTAGCATCCGCTGCATCCTGTCCATACATAAATCTACATGCATCTGCGAGTAGTTACATGAAAATGTTCAATGTAGATGGAGTCTACGCAATCGAGTAGGTCACTGGTAACAGTGCTAACCGCTCGGGTCTTCGATCAGATAAATTGCCTCCCTTCGGCCGACCGATCGGGATGCTTTCGAACAATGGGCAGATGGAAAAAGGTAGATCCATGGTTTGGGGTCGGCCCTCCGCCTTATCGAGATGGTCGATGTCATTGCCCAGGTGCAAACGGAGGCAGGAGAGGGGGGCGAATAGTAGTCCACGGGTGTCACCTAAGGTAGGGTTTCTTCCCATGAGGGGCAAGGATATACTTTATGGAATGATGTTCCCCCCGATCCTGCGAGAGACCTGCATTAACTGCAATGCTCGCACCCGCGCCCTTGCTGCTGCCAAGCAAACCAGGGGCATCAAACAAGGTGATTAGATGAATACGTACGGAGGAGGAAACGCGATGATGTCCTGTTGACTTGGGTATCATGACATGGCAAGTTAGATACATAGTTTAGTCGGCTTGACGGGCAGCGCTGAGGCCGCCAGTGGGGAGCCGCTAGCAAGGCTATCGTTGTGATTGCCATCATATCGACGTACGTCGGGAAAGGGAAGATCGGCCAATTCATGGTATCATCACTTTTTTAAACATATTTTAATGAATACGAAGTAGTTAGCCCCTCATTCTGTGGAGAGGGGTGGTAGTGGGAGTGGGAAACGGGTCTTGGAGTTGATATGCAGTGCCGATACTCCGTAAATGGCAAGTTGTCGTGGAGTGGAGAGGAATATCATACTAACGACTCTCATAAAGATCGGAATAAAAGGGGGGCAAATCTATAGCTCAGCTTGAGGGGGTACATCATCGGGTGGCGAGGGAGCCTCCCGGAGGCGCTACTGCGAGCATCCCGTATGGATTCTTTGGGCTAGCGGTATTTGAGATTACAAAACTTTGTACTCCGACTCGGTACACGCGCGGATGGGCTTGAAGGCTCTAAGGGGGACCCACCAGTGGACTGGGTGGGAACTCACTTTTTCCAAACGGCGACGCTAGGGATCTTTTTTGGGACCCGGTGTTTTTCCTTCGGGTTGCTCGGAGGCAACAGAATACATACTAGCTGAAGAGAGCCGAGGAGGGAAAGACGCTTCAAAGTCTACTGCCGAGGCCCTGACCACATGTCCGTACGAGTATGTTCATACATATGTACATAATCTGTCTCGTACGGATAGATAGAACTAGATGTATGCATGTCTGGACTGTATGTGCCGTGTCCAGCGCCCAGAGAGCAGCGGTCAACGAACAAAGTCGACTGGTCACCCAGCAACCATTGACAGATCGAATGCATACTACTCGTACTAACTGCGTTTCCCCGAACGCGAACGCTGCCGGTGCTTGCCTGGGACCAAATGACCATCCAATGGGGCGTGCGCAAGTTGATATTATTATTCAGGGCGAAAGACGATGATTAGTGGAGGTTGGATGTCTCGACGGAGTCAAGATGGATCGAGATGGAGTCCACTGAACCATTTTGGGAGATGGGACACATGGTGTCCCCACCCACCAGCATCGCTCGTTTTTTTCTTTCTTTTTTTTCCTTCCTTCCTTTTTGTCTTTCCTTTGCCTTGCATCTCCACTCCTCTCTCTCCACCGGTATGCCACTACGGCCGAGGATGGAATGGGCGGGCTATGAATGGTATGGTATGAAAATCTGCTCCACTGACCGCCTGGAATCTTTGAGGAAAAATCCGAGCTGCATGTCGCATCCCTGCAGAGAATTGGCTTTGACCTGGCGGTGTAGAGATGGATTTAAAGAAGAGAGGTGAACTGAAATCGTAAATAGAGTGGTATAATGTTGGAGTAGTAGTGGTAGTTAAGTAGGAGTAGCAGAAGTAGCAGTATAGGTAGTGTACGAGTATAGAGTAGAGCAGTTGAAGGTTGAAACCGGAAGTCTACAGTGGCGAGCCATGGGCCGAAAAGCATTCCAGGGAGAAGCAAAAGCCAAGACAAACAGAAATTCAGCCAATCAGCCAATCAGCGTGACGGCGATTCCGACTCCTGTATTGTAATTACCGAAATTTTGAAATGGATTAGCAAAAAAAAAAAGGAAAAAGAGGGCGAAAAAATCGAGGGAATCCACTATGGGATTCCTCAGTGGAAAGCCCCAAAAGTATAGTGCAGGAGAGAGTGTAGTCTGTACTGAGTATTCTGTGAGAGAGAGAGTGGGAGAGCTTGTCGCATCCTCGATGACCCTTTCTTTCTGCCCATCCTCCTTCCCCCCCTCCCCCTTTCAACCTTTCATCTCTCCAAACATTTCCTAATTATCCTCTTGTTTTTATTATACTTTATTATTATTATCTTCTTCTTCTTTTGACGTTTTTGGTTTCTTGGTCCTTCCTTTATTCTTTCGCCTCCCCCTCCCTCCCCTCTCGCTTCCTCCTTTGTTCTCCAAATACCCCCCCCCCAAACCCGACATCATTATGCCGTACAATACCCGTCGCAAATCACTCTCTCTTCCATCGTTAGGCATTCATCTCCCCAACTCATCGCGTCGTTCGCCCTCTTTTTTCAAAAGGCGCCCATGCGACGGAGGATCTGCCTCCCGCGAAGAAAGTGAAGCGATCGCATACCTCATTATCTCCCGAGCCTTCTACCGAGCGGGAAACGGTTTTGCGCGCCACCCGAAATGGATTATTCGACCACACGCCACCTCCTTCACCCTTGGATCGCGGAGCTGCGCCTAAGATCGATACCGAAGGTATTAACGATGATATCGTCGTCGCCGTGATTGATCAACTAGAGAAGACGGGCAATCGCCCTCATCTGGTAAAAGAATTGGCCGCGGTTTTGATTGCGCTGAATGCGACTGTCGCTAAGTACGTTCCACTTGGGCAAGATGACTTGCAACCTCCCAGCCCTTACTTCCAAATACTAACGGAAATCCTCTAGTTCTGCTAATCCCGCTGCCCTCCTCTCCTCGCGCCTGGCTGCCTATATGAAGCGCTCATGGACCGCTCTTGCGCCGTGCCCTATGGCCAAGGAACTGATTAATATCCACCCACGCAAAGTGTACTACTATCTGACGACCTTCCCCCGTCAACCTATTCCGGAACCTTCCGACGAGCTGGTCTCGAGCGTCGACGGCAAGAACATTACGCCTAGCGTCTCGAGCCTGGATCAGGACGAAGAAGATGTGATGGCGCGCCAACGGAGCCCCAGCCCGGAAGTGGACTTGTCCACACCCGATTTTGAAGAAGAAGAGGCCCGTGACGCCGGTCGGGGATCTCCCTCTGATCAGTTTCCGGACCCATCCAGCCATACCCGCCTGATGCACTCGCACCGCGCGGCCTCCCCGCCCCTGGAGGGCGACGAGAAGGAATTCACTCAGACTGCCAGCGCCGTGCGGGAACGCGCCTCCGAAGAGAAAGCCAGCCGCCAGGGCTCCGCCGAGCGGGGACTTTCCGTTCTCTCCGAGGGCCTCAGCAACATGGATGATGAGATGAGTGTTTCGGAATCCGCCGTGAATGCCGAATCCGTGACGCCCTCTCTCCATGGTGAGCGCATGTCCGAGGAGGAGTACAGTGATTACTTCTCCCACATGACTGCTGCGGATCAGGAATACCAGGACCTTGACGAAGCCGCTGCTGTTGCCCTGTTCGGTACCTCTCCTTCCCCCTCGCTCACCTCCCTCGCATCGTCAGTCTCGTCTGGCACGAGTGCTCTTACCGATGCTGGAGAAGAGCGGGCCGAGTCACTCCCGGCTGCTCCACAGATCAGCCTTCCGACCGACCCGGATGCCGCTTCCGTCTCAACCCTCAAGCGATCTCTTGATATGTTGAACAGCGGCCTTCCGGATGTCGATCTGAAGATGTCTGATTTGACCGAGTCTCACGAGAAACTTAGTCTGGGCCCTCGGGCTATGGCCGCCATGGCTCCCGAGCCTACCCTGGACTCCTGGAGAGAGCTGCAGAACCCGGAGACCGTAGAGGTTGATGAGCTCGATGAGATGTTTGGCGAAATCTAAGCTTTCGTGCCATACTCACGGTCTCCGATCTGTATCTCTCCGCGTCCATGCTTCTATATTTTCCAACTTCTGTCACTCTCTCTCTCCACTCTCTCGATGGGCCTTACAAGAGCCCACCGATATCGTTTATACCCTTTGATCTAACCCACTCCCATCTACCTCCCTTGGCCTTGTACATGTCGCTCCCATGTCTCCGCCGTGTTCTCCTCCTTTCCCGCTAATTCATTTTCCTGTATATATACATCTGTTGATGGGGGGGGGGGTTTTTTCCCTCTCCTTTTTTACTTTTACTTTTACTCTTTTTTCTGGTCTCGCCCTGGATGGGTAGAAGGGAGGATATGGGATTGGGAACTGTGTTTTTTTGTGCTGTGATTGTTTTACCATCAAAGGAAGGGCAAAAAAGCGATTGTCTAAGTATGTTTTAGGCGTCATGCGAAACCATGGAACGTTTTTTGATCGAAATCTTGTCTTGACTATTGAACTTGAAATCCTCCACTCGTAGTCCATGGGACACCTCGGCAGGCATTCTGACTAAGCCCATCTCCATTTCTCGGTGGCCTGGGGCTTCCTCACGCTTCGCCACATCTTCGTAAATCGCCTTATCGCCTCCCCTCCTTTCGATCGCCTACGAATACTACATCCCTACTACTTGGATAAAATCAAGTATCCAAATGGATCTCATATCTCCTTAAACCACTACCACGGTCGCGACCGACTTCCATCCCGGCTGTTCGACCGAGATTGTACCTTGGCCGCATAGGGATTCCCCTCCATCCTTTATCAATTCGGTCAATTCGGAAGACCCCTCAGCCTCAGGGTGCACTCACTAAGTGCACACCGCAAAGATGACGATGGATGACCAGCCTCCAAACCAACCACCGGAAGGACTCGCATCGCAGAAGGAACTTCCAACTCAATTTCTCCATCCGAATGATTCGCCTATCACCGCCCCGAAAGCTGCTTCCGTCGCAGACTCGGCTTCGACCTTGAAAACCTCGAAACTCGGCTCCACGAGCCGGCCTAACTCTACTGGCCCTGCCAAAGTCGCCATCCCTCGTTCGCGATCCGGTATCGCCCCTCGATATGGCCGCCGTGTTCCCCGGGCTTGCGAATCATGCAGATCGCGCAAAACGAAGTGCAGTGGTGATACCCCGGTGTGTCGACAGTGTCGTGAACTGCGCATTTCGTGCCAGTACCCCGTGGGATGGAAGGAAAAGACAAAAAAGTTAGTCGTTTCGCTGCTTATTCGCATGCGCACGATGCATTTGGACTGCCCCGTGCTGGCTTGAATATTGGTTACTGATACATTTCTAATTTCTAGACAAGTCGAATGGCTCTCCGAGAAAACGGTCGATTATGAAAATTTATTGAAGGATTTAGGGTCATTGGTCGAGTCTAAAACTGCAGATCGTATCAGAAGCTTGCTGGACAAGGTGTGCCACCTGAGGATTTGGAGAGAACATACTTGCACCGTTCATTATATCTAATATTCTCGCAGTATGGTAACAACAACGAGGTCGAGTCCTCGTCAAACGCTAGTGCACCATCCCATTCAGTCACCCCACAGGACGAAAATGGAGATGCCGACGATTTAAGCTCACCCTCTTCTATTGGCTCACTTGAGGCTATTGACCGCGTGGAGGAGGATCTGAACCGGACCGAACACTCACGAGCGACCGGATTTATGAGCAAAAGCTCAGAGGTTACCTGGATGCAACGACTTCAGCGAGAGGCGGAACACCGTTCCAAGGGATTGCCAGGTTCTTTGGAGCCAGGACAAAGCAAACGACAAGACGATGATCTCGCCCTCCATGCCGTGAGCTACCACCTAGACGACATTGATGTTTCTGTTCCTGAATCTGTGGATATCTACACTATGCCATCCCGGGACCTGGCTGATAAACTCTTCGATGACTATCTCCGCACCGTGCATCCCTTTTTCCCTATGATCAATCGCCCTCTCTTCAGTGCTCAATATCGAACTTTCTTCGACAGTTCCGCCCGACCCGGGGATAAATGGCTCGCTATACTGAACATGATATTTGCTATCGCTGCCAAACATGCCCATCTCATCGAAGCGCCATGGCAGGGTGATGACAAAGACCATTTGGTGTACTTGACTCGAGCCAGGATTCTCAGTATGAATGGAGATGTCTTGTTTAGCCACCCCGATCTTCAGCAGGTTCAAGTGGAGGGTCTCATTGCATTCTATCTCCTTGCGTCAGATCAGATTAATCGGTATTACAATCTACCCGGCCAAGTAATGTGCTCGTTCTATACTAATTATGACCCAGGGCATGGAGAATATCCGCGTTGGCGGTGCGATCTGCCATCACTCTTGGCATCAACATGAAGAGTACCAGTCCAACAACCCCAAATATCTCCAAGGAAGCTCGATACCGAGTTTGGTGGTGCCTGTATACCTTCGAGCACTTGCTTGGAATCATGACAGGTCGGGCTACTTGTATCCTGGATGGGATTTGCACCACACCTCTACCCCTCCCTTATACGGAAGAACAATTGCAGGAGCCTGAAGCAGCTGAGTTACTGAATGACTCACATCTTCGCGATGACCGAATCAATAAGGTAATGGCCAGTGCATGGGTTCGTCATATGCCACTCAACCCAACCGGCGGCAAAGAAGCCACCCACCAGTCTCGCGAGCGTGACAATTCGTGGGTAAAGGGCTTGCCTTTCAATTTTGGCCTTTGCCATCTCTACTACTGTGATTTGGCAGTCGTCGTCCAGGAAATTGTGAACAAGGTGTATTCGACAGACTGTGTGATGGTGCCTTGGGCGCATATTGAGAATCGCATTGGTGAACTTCGGTCTCGAATTGACCTGTGGCTGACAAGTATCCCACCTATTCTTGATTTCACGCAAAAAACCGATGACGGCCCCGAACAGCTTCGTAGCAAGCTCGCCCTGGCCTTTCACTTCTATAGTGCGCGGATCACTCTAGGCCGCCCATGCCTATGCCGGCGAGATGCACAGAAGAAGGACCCGGCAGAAAAGTCATCTTTTAGCCATGACATGGCCGTGTTGACCCTGAATTCTGCAATCCAAATGTTGGACCTCATCCCAGATGAGCCGAGCGCCGTCCAGCTTTACGAGATTGCTCCGTGGTGGTGTGTTCTCCATTATCTCATGCAGGCCGGAACAGTGTTACTGTTGGAACTTTCATTTGGTTCCGTCCACATGCCAGAGGGAGAGCAACAATTCATAGCGCTGTCCAAGAAAGCCGTTCGATGGCTCTACGCTATGTCTGAGCATAGCGTTGCCTCCCGACGAGCTTGGCAACTCTGTGACATCTGCCTGCGCCGTCTGGCCTTGGGTATGAACTTCGATATATCTGACATGCCTTCGAACACCTATCAACCCGCACCCACATCCACCCTTGATTCCACAAACGTCTGTCAGCCCGACAACTCCGCAGGAACAAGCTCACAAAACATGTGGGGTCCCCACCTGGAAGACCTTTCATTAACAAACCACTTCAACCAGCCGTTCCAGCTGGGAGGGGATCACTATAATTACCCGGCGTTCTCGAATGTTCCCGACACGGAACCCATGAACTCTGTTTCAGCAGATGGCCAGCTCTTTGATGATCTTTACTTCCCCTACGATCCCATTAGTGGCGAGTTCATTAGGTCTTTCTTCCCTCATAACGAGGAGGATAATCAATGGGAACCAAGCTGAGGTAATGCAGTCAACGTTCTGTCTATGAAAAGGCATTTCACGAGTCAAGAAAACGAAATCATTCTCCCTCTATTCGGTTCAAAAAATTTTTTTTTTTTTCACATTCCTCTTCTTCATCCGCTCTATCGTCATATCTTTCCAAGGATCTCGAATTCTCGTTTGTTGCGTCTTTTCTCTTTTCTTCTTTGCATTTCTTTTTGATCCTTGGACACTTGGAGAGCAAGTATACCTTGTAACTTTGAATTTTCTTTGTTTCCTTTCCCTCCCCACATCAATTTTCTTCTCTATCCTCTGCCATCTGTTTTTTTATGACTCTTAGTATCATCTATTAATTGCCACACACGCTCTAGACCAGTGCGTTATCATCGGACAGGTGGAGAACTGAACAGGCGTGCGCTTTGCAATTTATTTGGGTCAGGTTCAGGCTTGGGACTTCGGATAAAAAGGAGCCTGGGGGCCTTGGTCTTGGTCTTGTATTTTTCTCTCATTTTTTGGACGGTGAGTGCTCTGAACCTGGAGTTCAGGGTGGCTTCTATCTTAACATGGTATTTCTTCATTTGTTGGTATACTAGTCTTTCTAGTTTTTAAATGTCCAGACTGGTCTCACATTTGAAGATAATTTTCCTGTCTTCTCGAATTTCAACCTTGGAAGTGTATATTCAACATATATTCTGCGCTATCTACTTGTTCTATGCAAGGATATTAAAAACATTCAGGGTAGTGGTACATGATAACCAGATGCAGAGGGGTATATACATTTCTGGTGAAATAGAATATAGGCATAATGTACAGAGCGCCTGGTCTGAGGTGCTGACTTTTTCCGAGGCGGGTTTGTTCTCGGCAGATTTGGCTTTAGCTGGCCGGGTTTTGGCTGGTCGGGCCTGAGTAGAGTTGACTGTAGTAGACTCCGCCTGGGCCTTGACAGGCTTGGTCTGGGTCTTTTCTCTCTGTGATTTCTTTTGGGCAGTCTTAAGTCTCAGGATTCGTCTCTGGACCCAGAGGCTTTGGGGGGTTGTTTGCATGGCGGTCCCCAGGTGAGGATGGTTTCGTTCCCTTGTCTTTAGCACCTAGGAAGGATTTCATCCATGGGTCATCCTGGATCTGTTTCGCCCGACTAGGGGGGGTGGAAAGACTCATTGCCAAGAATACCCCGGAAGCGCATGCGTGCCATATATCCCGGGAGTTCTAGTTCGATTGAGCTCTCCTCCATGTTTTCCTGAATAAATTTGCTGACACAGAAGTCAAGGATGGCCTCCGACTCTGTGGCAGGCAGGATGGCGCTTGAATTTGGGTCATCCTTGAGTGTTTTCTCCTGGAAACCGTTCCGCCGAGAAGGGTTGACAAGTGAATGTGGCGTGACAAGAGGGGACGTTCGAGAAGGCGAGGCTGAAAGGAAGGGAGAAGTCTGGTTGGCGTTGGCATGAGCCTCATCAAGTTTGAACTCTCTGTAGGCAGCCTGCGCAAGTATGCGAAAGGTGCTCACTTTCGGGATGACAAGCTTGCTTTGATGATATTCATGCCATTGGGCATTAAAGCTGCGGTCCCCAGAAACTTCATGATGTTTTCGCTCAGCCGCCGTTTGCAATCGCACAACGCCACCGGCCTTTGTACGTACTTGAGCAGGGGTTTGTACATCTAGGCAACACTCATCAAACAGTTTCTTGCCTGCCTTACTGCCATAAACATCCACCACAGCAGATAGCACGTCATGAAAAGCATTGATGGGGATCTGAACAACTTTATCCCGTGGCGAGGCACGATCTGCGCTGGCCTGCTTGAGAGTATCCACCAACGGAGAAGGAAGAACATCAACCAATGGACCAGGAAGAACATCAACTAACGACCAGATGCGTTTAAGCACTAATCGTTGAAGTTTGTTTACGCGTTCGCTCTTGCTGGGCGACGTAGAGAACTCTCCCTGGAAGAGACGAACGAGAAGGGCAGATGCCCTAGCGAGGCTTTCTTGTTCCTTTTCTGCTGAATGAAACCCGCTTGCCAGTTTTCGCTGGATGGATCCATGGAGTCTGAGAATTTTGGCTGCTAGTGCAGTGATGTTGCTGAAGCCCCATGACTTTGCCCTGTAGTCGCGCATAAACCCTAGTGTGAAAAGTGCTCGATCCCACGACTCCAATGAGATATGCAGGTTTACCACAGCTTTGAGCGTATTAGTGCTCAGTGGTGGACTAAGCGCTGCGATAACTTCATCAGAGAGCTCTTGGTTTTGCGTGGCAGCTGCGAAGCGAAGAATCGACGGTGCGAGGGCTTGGTCGCCGTATGAAGCCTTGGCGATCGGGGGGCCATCAATGTCGTTGTTGAAGAGCAACCAATTTCCAAAGTCAAACGCTCGACAGTTTGTAACCAGATCGAGCAACTCGGCCATGGTCACACTTTGAATTTGCGGAAGAGATGATTCTCCCAAGCTTGAATCAAGTTGTCTAGATTCAAAGAACGAGAAATCCGGGGAATCATGCTGGTCGAACTTCTCGAAAAACTCCCTAATGTGATATGACTTGCTTGCGTCAACAATGCTTTGAAGCCGAGCATACCCAGAAAATGCAGTTGCGGCTTGCATTGTGCGTGAAGAGCTCCTGACGTTATACTCGATGAGGCCGGATATGGCAGCTGTTTCATCGTATAGTTGTGCTTTCGTAATGTCATTGAGTCGTTTGTCCGTAGGGATAGGCTGTCCTCCCCAGGGTGGAACAACGTTTTGAGTATATCGCAGGACGTTTTCGAATGCAATTGGGTCATTATTGGGAATAAGACTACCTGACTCCATCATCCGGTTGAAGTTCCAGTTGGTTGACCTGTTAGTCGGTTTGAGTTCATCATTTGTCGCAGTAGGCTCAAGAAGCTGGGTGAGAGAGGTTGTGAGGTCGAGTAAGTCAGAAGATGACATCCCGGTGGTTCCAAGAGAAACGAAAGTCTTATTATGCAACATGTCGCGTATAGAGGCAACGACTTCAGTGCTGATAGTCCGCCTTCCTAGACCGTTGAAGGGGGGTCGCTTGTCATTTTTGAACCGACGGAGCGGCTCGTCATTGTCTGGGTGACGCCAAGATTCCTCTTTACTGATATCAGTCTGTCGGACTGTATCGAGAGAACGGACTAGAGGTGCCCAGCTTGTGAATTTCCATGCTCGGTCATCGGTTCGTTTGCTCATGTCCCTCAACAAGTAAGCGCCATGTTTGGAAAATCCATGCTCGACACAGCACCAAAGAATAAGCTCCAGCCAGATCTCTGGGCCAAGCTCCCGGAATCCCACATTGAAGGGAAGAAATGGCGGCTCCTCTCCAGCTTCGGTGGCGGTATTTGCAAGGGTAGTTTCATGTTCAAGCCATGCCGCATCTGAAAGAACAGTCATAATGTGAGTCGACAAAAGATTTAGTCCTGGAGGTCGAAATGAAATTTGATCTGGATCCGCAGGCTGATACTGGTAAACCTTGTCGGAAATCAATCCCAAGTGGTGCAAACGAGCAAGTATCCGGAACACGCATGACATTGCGAATTTGGACTCGGTTGCAGAGTGATCTGCAGCTGATAACACCAATGATCCCAGATTCATTAGCACCGACCCCAATAGCCTCTGGCCAAGGTTATCCACAGAAGGCCTTCTCGTGGCGACGTTGAGATCAAGTTTGGAGGCAGGTAGTTGCACCTGTTTAAGCTCAGAGTTGGATAATTTAAGAGACGATAGAGAGTTCAAAGACAGGCCTGAATCCGCTATGAACCACTCAAGATTTGGGGCAGGATTTTTGACTCCCATGAAGGGGGCAAGTAACTCATACGTATCGATCAACTCGTTCAATAGTGCGTGCACGGTAGACCATTGTTTCAGCTTGAATCCCAGATGCGCTAGAAGATCCATTCCCCTCCATGTCTTTGCCAGCCACAGATAGCTCATCAGAGCATGGCCTCTGTCGAGATCTTTGGCATGTTGAGTGATTGCTCCCGTTGATCTGACCGAGGCCGCAGGCTGCTGTCTCTCTTGTGTTGATTTCAAACATGACACAAGAGATGGAATCCAGACATTTGGATTGTGACTCTTGAGACTGACAGGAGATTTCGATAAATTGGTGTAGTTGCAGATGAACTTGTATTCCTCGAGCGTCAACGGGCGCTTAGTTGTAGAAGAGGATCGGGAATGCGCGCGAGAAAGGTAAAGGCACGGAAGTGCAAGCGGACGGGGATTATAAGGCCCACGGCCAAGTCGATGGAGACGGCCTGGGCGCAAGGACCTTATCATGACACGGCGGCGAGCCTGAAAGGCGCAAGCGAATGGATCACGGTATCGGTGGGCGCGAGGGTGGGGTGGCACATTTCGATCCAATTAAGAGTTTCGCATATGGTCGGGATTTCGATTCGCTTTCTCCCTCTGCTCCGAACACAGGATTGTCCGAATCCGCCCTAGAAGTTGACAGGAGGGTGTAATTGAATGATCTTGAAGCAGAAGGAGTTCCGCGGAAATTTGATGCTTTGATGAGTCAGCGGGACTTTTATAGCCAATCAGGACGCGCCGATTTACTTCGAGCTTTGATACGCGGGTTTTGACAGATTTGCAACTTGATATATGCTAATAGGCACTGGTAGAATTGTTATGGCTTGAATAAAAGAAGAGTAAACGCTGGAAATAGAAGTTTGGGCAAAAGTGACGCCATTCCGATATCCAATGCGCCAACAATCTTCTACGGGAATGGTTGATATACGTTTTACGCGAAAAAGAGGAGAGAAAAAAAAGCACTCATTGTTTGCTTCGTAAGATTGTGTACTAATTCATTGTCCAGCCGAGCCAGCAGCCATAGGATCACACAACCTTCGCCTATCTTACAAGGGGCAGCGAGAATGCCTCAAACGAGTGCAAAAATTGCATAAGGACTTTAGACCTGGGCGGGGCGGATCTGGCGAGCGTGGAAACGCTTGAAGCCCTGACCCTCGCTCTGACCGAACCCCTGACCTTTACCCTGGCCTTCACCCTGGCCCTCAGTGCTTGGGACAGCGGATCCGGTAGGAGCTGGGATGGGGGCGCTGGCAAGGCTCGACTGGCCGCCGAAGCCACCACCAAAGCCGCCACCGGTGGCGCCAGAGGGAACACTGGAGGGAGCACCAGTAGGAGCAGGGGCGTCATCACTGTTGCTACCAGAGTCCTGGTCGCTACCACCGATGCGGCTGATACCCCCGAAGGAGCTGTCAGACGCACTGCTAGGTTCGGCAGTACCAGAAGGCGAACCACCGGAGGGGATTATGCCAGAAGGACGCTGACCACCACCTTCAAAGCCTCCAGAAGGCTGGGCACCGGAAGGTCCGCTTCCGTGGTGACCAAATCCACCGCTAGGGGAAGCTCCGGCAGCATCACTGGGGGAAGCACCACCGCCAAAGCCACCGCTAGGAGCAGCACCACCTGGGAAGGTGCCGGTGGGCTTAACACCGCTTGAGGGCTGGGCAGGAGGAGTAGCCTCCAGTTGGTTGTCACCGCCGAACTATAGGGAAGGTCAGAATTCGAAGCTCAATGGAGGATATAGTTAGAACTTGGAGAGGATACTTACCACGCGAGGCATGTTCCAGGCCATGGCATTGGGAGCCAGGCAGAGGACAGTGGTAACACTGAGAACAAGGTTGAATCTCATTTTGAAAAAGGGTGGTAGATTTTTCGTTGACAGGAATAAAAGTCAGAATAAAAAAAGGTTGTAAAGAGTGGAAAACTGGAGTCACTCAGTGACGGAGTATCTCAAGTTGGTAGAAAAGAAGGTAAGCGCGCAGCACTGTGATCAAAAAAATCTCCATGGTGATCTCGAGGGTCTTTATATATCGATTTCCAAGGGGACATGGGGACTAGAGATATGACAGGCCTGGCGTGACGCTGAGACGGCAGGATGTGATGCCTGTTTGGCGGAATTCCCGAGCACATTGACACAATGCCGTCGCTAGGTGCACCTGAGCCATCTAGGCCAGAGGTCCAGGGTCGGGAACTGTGGAGATCGGTACTCAAATTCTGTACTTGGAAGACCCCATCCGTGGCCCATCTGTCGAATCCAGCCTCTAGGAGGGCGATCTTCAGGGAGAAGACGGCCTAGCCCTACCAGGCTTCCAGCGCATTGGTGCAATGTGAAGGAGCCGATGCAGGGGCTAATCGGAGAGTAAAGGGCCATGCGCCAGGGGATCTGAAGCAGATGGCGCGACAGACGACATTGCTGGGATACTTGCAATCGTGCTGGACACGGCGTTGGACTGGGAGTGGGAGAGAAATGTGAAACAAGGTGTGCTGGTGCTTCCCCACATGAGCTTACACGTCCTCTTGTCGATCAACCCGCCATCTGCTTCAGGTTCAAAAATGGCGTCGAAAGTCGGGCTAACGCAAGTTCGTCATTGGACGGCACAGGGCAAAGGGAGCGGCGAGCACACCAAATGCCGGTGGACAAGCTTGACCCTCTAACCCTGTCACGAACCCTTTCGGCAGCAGGTACGAATACATACTAACTAAAAGGCCAAAAGGAATAGAGTAAAAAACGCCACCGGTCTCAGGCTAACGACCTTACACCATGTGGCCCGCTGGGCATTGCGCGTCCTTCTTTTGGGAAGAGTATCATCCTTATTGCTTGGGGTATTGTACACGACATAAGCTTGAAAAAAAGGGGACAGGCATGAAGAGAGTAAAAACAACAATAAGGGCTCAATTAACATGACACCAAACGACAACCAACCCGGCCAAATTCGTCATTCGTGGATATTCATAGCTCTTCCTCGGCGGCTAGGACGTCTCCTCCAAGCTCCTGCTCGACCTCATCAACAACAAAGCTCTCGTAATCTTCTAGACCTTTCTGAACGTGCACTTTGAATCGGATGACGTCGTTGAGCATTGTCTCAACGTTGGTATGCAGTTCCTCCCGGAGTGAATTTGCCCGGAGCGTCAGTTGCTCATACTCGATGTTGGTGTTCATCTCGCGTTGCTCCATTAGCTGCACACTATCACTAAGAGTTGCACGCATCTTGGCTAGCTCTTTCTCCATCTTCTCAATCTGGGCATCTGATGCCAATTTCTGAGTAGTAGTGATTTCCTTGGTGCGTTCAAACTCTTCGTCGGCTGCACGCCGTCGGTGCTCCAGGGCCTCGACTTCGCTTCTCTTTTCATCCATCGCCTCCTTGATATTGTCGAGTAGATTGCGTCGCTCCAGGTCCTCGTCAACACCACGCTTTCGTCGTTCATTAATTTCCTTCCGGAGAGACTGGAGGCTATTGCGAATCGAGCCGCGAAGGTCCAGATTCAGAAGATGCGCGGGATGATAGCCGGTAAAAGGATCTGCCAACAACCGGTCACCGTCCGAAGAAATACGGTTGGACGGACCGCCGATCTGGCTTGCTGAGAAATTGTTCTCATTAACATTGAGCGTGAGCTCATAGTCTTCGCCTTTAGCGTTTTCGGCCGACTGCGGAATCAGACTATTTTGATAACCCAGAGTGTTGTATGTCTTCACAATGTGCTCAAGGTCTTCGAGTTTCTGGCTGGCCTCTGCTTCCTTCGCCATTACACGAGCGTGGGTCTCTTCTAGGCGGGCCAAAGTATCATCGAGGCTCCTCTGGAGGCGTTCTCGTTCCGTATTCATACGGTCAATATCCTGAATGGTGATGCCCTGGCGGTCGACACTAGCTTGAAGCTCGGCACGCTCAGTCTCCGCTGTATGCAGCTCCACGTCCGTTTTCTGGATTTCACTGTCAAGGAAGTTGTTGCGTGTTTCGTACTTGTCGATCTTTCCCTGTACATTTTGATTGTAGTCTTCAAATTTGCGTTTGTCGTCTTCCAAGATTCTGAAGTGTTTGTCCAGCTTGGCCAGGTCAGGCGCATTCTTCTCCAACTCATCTATTTGCTCACGGAGAGCCTGGTTCTCGGTCTCCAAGGCCTCCATCTCCTGTACATAACGCTCATTACCACGAGCAAACTCCTGTGACATGTTCTCAATGTGAGGAACCAGTCGCTGTTCTGCGGTTTCATCATCCTCATCCTCGCCTCCCTGTAGCCAGTCATGGTAGGCTCCAGTAAGGAAGCGGAAGATGATGCGATCGCCAATAATATCAAGACCTGCCTCGGCACACGCTTCGTCGTACTCTCCCTCATGGTAGCGATCCATCATCTGAGCCAGCTGCATCAGCCAGTGTAGCATACCGAGGAAAGTAGACCAATTTTGGCCACCAACGGCTGCAATTTGGGATTTAGTGATGCCTTTTTCGTAGGGGTAGCGCAGCTGCTTGAGGATCGGGGGAACCTCCGCATCCATGGCCTTTTGGAACTTGTAGCCCGGATCAATACGATGATAGAGCCACTGGAAGATGTAGTTGAAGTCTTTTTGGGTTGGTGAACGAAGGGTGTTCTGGCCCAGGGAGTGCTTCATTTCCAGCTCAAACTTGTTGTTGGTCAAGTACTCCAACAGCTCCTGCCCAATACGAGCTTGGAAGGACCGGTCCCTGAGTGGTCGCGGGTCTCTTGGGACTCCCGCTGCTGAGGGCACTTGGGTAAAGAATGATTGATGTGACATGGGCCCGGCCATTGAGGGCCGCGAAAATACACTGCTCCTGCGCTGCATGTTTTGCGACGCGGGGGCGGATGGCAGGGATCCGGGCGCATAGCTCTGGCGACCAGCACTGGCACCATGGAACATATTACTCGAGACAGATCGGCGAACAGATGAAAGACCGGCATCTGCGCCGTATGGACCGCCGGAAGATGCGCGCATGAAGTTTGGTTGCTGGGGTCGGCTGGCCGAGCTCAGCAAGGAATTCCGAGTGTGTCCAGATGTGAATGGGGGGTTGTTGAATCCAATAGAACTGGTGCGCTTCATGGCCGATGCGGGTTGCGGAATAGACGAGTAATTCTGAACACTACCAAGCGTCTTCAACCGAATGTCAGTGAGCAAACCAAGTTGCGACATGCGTGAGAAATTACTTACCTCGCGGGGACGCTTGATACTAAACAATCCCGTATCTTGCGACATGATGAGAAAAAGAAGCCGCGATAGCGGCGGAATGGTCTACTTCTCAAGAAGAAATAGGGATGCGTAGTCGGTCCAAATCTTTGGATACCAAGTCAGACGCGCACAAACACCTCTAGGAGGGGGGACTTGTTATCGTGCAGCAAAGTCGGGCGGGAATCTTTGGTCAAATGTAAACAAGAGCGGGTTGCTGCCAGAAACAGTAGGCGGTGATGTGGGAACCCGGAAAAATAGAAACTCCCGATCCGACTGTCACGAGACTTCGGTCTGGGGAAACTGCCAGTCTTGGCGGTCATGAGTTCCGAGGTCCACGGCGATTGCCGATGACGGCCGTTCCCCGTTCCCCTGCCATCTGCATCGAGTCGGCCTTCTCTTCTACATCCTCCCACTGTGGTCGACACTCCCTCATCATGGCTCCCCGCGAGGAGCTGATTACGTCTGCTGTAAGTATCCCTGAGAGCTATTACTGAGTGGTTTTATCTTGATCACTAATCGATCCTATAGGTGACTTGTACGTCGGAGAACACCAATCCCCGGATATGGCGACCTATGCGCTAACCCGATCAACAGTTCTCCAAGACCCATCTGTCGCATCATCGCCTATTGAAAAACGAGTTGCATTTCTGCAATCCAAAAACTTGACACAAGAGGAGGTCGACCTCGCTCTGTCGCGTGTCGGCGAGGACCCGGCTGCGGCTGCAGCTGCAGCTGCAGCGGCTACCGGTGCTGCACCATCGTCGCAAAGTTACCCTTCACAACAGGTCGCTTATCGACCGCCACCACAATCACCTCAAGGATATGGCTATCCTCCATATGGTCAATGGCAGCCGCCTCCAGAGTATGTCCAACCCCGCTCGTCTTCCTCCAAACCCCGCATACTGATCGCATTCCAGGCCCCCCTAAGCGAGACTGGAGAGATCTGTTCATCATGGCGACTGTAATGGGTGGAGTTGGATATGGATTGTATTTCGTTGGCAAGGTATGTATATGCGTGTCTTTAGGTCGCAGTTGATATGCTAATAATAGTTCTTCACTAGCGATACATTGCTCCGCTCATTGCTCCTCCTACCCCTCCTCAACTGGAGCAAGATAAAGAGAATATCGACGAGCAGTTCTCGCGCGCATTTGGCTTGATTGATCAGCTTTCGACCGATACCGCAGCCCTTAAGGCTGCCGAAGACGCTCGCACCGAGCGTCTGGATGCAGCTCTGAAGGATGTGGAAAACCTCGTTTCAGACCTGAAGACATCTTCGCGCCGGAGAGATGACGAGACACGCAGAATTAGCGATGAAGTGAAGTCGTTGAAGGATGCGATTCCCAAGGCCCTTGAAGGTGCCCGGGAAGGCAATGAGAACCGATTGAAGGAGCTTGGAACCGAGCTGAAGAGCTTGAAGGTCCTGTTGGGCAACCGCCTGGGTGGTGGCGGTGGAGCTGCTCCCGCTGCTGGACGGACTGTTGGCAGCTCGACCCCGATCCCTAGCCCAACATCGACTCCGGCGCCCGCACCTCGGCCTGCTACAGAGGACGCCCCTGCTAGTACTCCGGCCTTGAATGCCCTGCAGCCCACTGTGACCCCGGCCGAACAGGAGCCTTCTCCTGCCCCTGCTGCTCCAGCTGCTGCTCCGGCTCCCCAAAACTCAGACAGCCCTCTCTCAAAGCTAGGCCGATCCGCCTCCATCCCGGCCTGGCAGATGGCGGCTTCCAACCGCTCCAAGAGCTCCTCTCAGTCGAGCCCAGCACCTCCCAGTGACAAGCCGGCTGACTCGGTCAATGATCAGACTGCGCCCCCCTAGTTAAGGGGATGACTGAGTAGACGGAACAGAACTTTGTATATCTCTTCGCTTAGATGTATTTATCACTAGCCTTTATTTTCTTGACTGAGACCTTGGCCATCGTAATGTTGTATTTGTCTAGTTACTGTATAGCTTGTGTGTATGATATCGGCCACTGATTATTTGTGCATATTGGGTAACACTTTCAAGACCCAGTGGAACATAGAATCCTTCCAAGGATTAGAAGCCATGTATTGCTTTGGGGGAATTTTGGGATGGTCAGGGTGCTCATCCATACCCATGCCATGCCATGCCATCCCATACTGTGCTTGATAAGCGATAAGCGCAAGCTCCCCGGTCCGATCTCAATTCGCACCCAGAAACTCTCCAGCAGCCAACCTTCCGAAAAGTCGAAGCTGGTCTTTGATTAACCGCGACTTCTTGCGAAGAATACTGCAGCAATGCCTTCCCCTGAACCATCTGCGCACCGCTCGCATCCCCCCAGCACGCGTAGCTCAGAGCGTCGCCATCGCAGTCGCAACGAGCATTCAGATTCCCACCGTCACCGACACCGCGACCACTCACGATCTCGCTCTCCCCACCGATCCGACAGACACAGATCGGACCGCCACCGTCGACACGAAACGGACAGAAAACACGAGCGCGGAAGTGAGCGCCATGGAAAGAGAGAGAAGCAACCCCAGCGCCCGTGATACTCCCGTGCCAGGCTCGAGAGCTTAGCAGACGAGACCTAGAGGCTTACGAGCCGATGTTCGCCATGTACCTGGATATCCAGAAAGGTATACTTCTTGAAGAACTGAAGGAAGATGAAGTCAAAGGGAGGTGGAAGAGTTTTATTGGGAAATGGTTTGTCGCCTTCTACTCCGGCAGGATTTATTCCCTTTGCTGACTGCGCAGGAACCGCGGCGAACTCGCTGAAGGATGGTACGACCCCGCAACACTGAAGCGAGCGCGAGAAAATGCGGACGAAGTACAGCCATATTCGGGTGGAGGTCGAGCATCACCAGAATATAATCGGGGCCGACCAGCGGATAATGAAGGCGAGCAGGAACTGCCGACTGCAGAAGATGACGATGAGGATGACGACGACGAATATGGACCGACTCTTCCACATCCAGGATCAATGGGAGGAAACTCTCGTTCTGGACCGACTATACCAAATATGCAAGATCTTGACCTTAAAAGAGGTGAGTGTCATTATACTCTCCATTGCAATTGTCTCCTACTAACCCAATCAGAATCTGCAATTGAAGATGCAATTGCTGCCCGTGAGGAGTCACGAGACCAATATCGTTCTGAGATTCGTTCCCACAAGGCAGAGATGCGGCACCTACAGGATGAAGTTGCACCTCGTGCTGAACCCGGCACCCGGGAACGACAGCTTGAGAAACGCCGGGAAGCTGCTGCAGCGAATCGCTCGTTTGCAGATGCGCGGGGAGCGTCTCCCGAGGCAGCACCAGATGAAGATCTCATGGGTGCTGGAGATGGCGAGTGGGCTAATCTCAAGAAAGAGAAAGAACGTGACCAGAGAAAGAAGAATGAGCGGGAGCTTCGTAGGGAAGAGATTATGCGCGCGCGTGCTGCAGAGCGAGAAGAGCGAATCCAAAAGTATCGGGAGAAGGAGGACGAAACCATTGGCTGGCTGCAGGCTTTGGCGAAGCAACGATTTGGCTAAGTAGTAGCTATTGTCGGGATGTTCCTCACGCATATATCTACGATTGGGTAGTTTCTGATTTACTTGGATATGAATATATGAACATATTCGAAAGAAGTATCTATCAACTGGACACCGTCCTTCACCATAGTACTAGTATTCGTTTAAGAACTGGAACTAATTGACCAGCTCGGTTTCCGAGGTCATAATAACTAATACTACTGCATGTCTTTCTCCGAAGGTAGCAAATCATCGCAGGCCATCAGCTCAGTTGGACAAGTGTAAAGCAAGATGGATCGACAGCGGAGTGGCTCCGGCGGGGAAACGCGACCCGCGGTCCCCAGCAACTTATCGCCCTCCGTACCTGTCCACCTCAACTTTTCTAGTTTCATTCTCTTGAATTGTCGCGTCACCCACAATGAGTAAGATCTCGCAGGCCTTGAAGGGCCTCAAAAGATTCACTACATGCGACGTAGGTCGAATCCAGATGTCATTCCATGATAGTTGGCTTCTCTAATCATATCTCAGATCGGCGACGCGCTTGTGAAGCTGAAGCACCCCTATGGCGGATTCTTGGATGGACTCAATATGTGTTCGCCAGGCGGCGGAACTAGCATTCATGGGCCAGCTATTACGGTGAAAATGGTTGAGACAAACAGCCCTGGCCCGACGCCGCCGATCCATTTCGCCGATGCGAATAAGGAGGGCCACATCATGTACATCCAACAACCCAAGGGTCTGTATTCAGCTTGCTGGGGTGGCCTGATGTCGACCCGGGCGCAGAAACTTGGCGCATTGGGTGTCATGGTTGATGGTCGCATACGTGACACACAGGAGCACATTGATATGAAGTTCCCGGTGGGTCAATCCTTCACGACACTCGGTCCCTGGAGCGACATTCTTCGAATTGACCTCAAAAGTACGCCAGTTCGCTAATACTTAACTAGGTCTTTGCGAATGGAACATCTGTTCTCGGTTCTAACACATTCACACGTGCTTCAGAGATCAATGTCCCCTTGCAGTTCCGGGGCGACCTGTGGATCTACCCCGAGGATATCCTCGTCGGCGATGAAAACGGAGTGGTGGTTGTCCCGCCTTCTTTGACCGAACAGGTTGTCGAACTTTGCCAAGAACGGTTTGATATCGATGAGAAGACCATGGAGGCACTGCGGGCCGGTGAGCCCATGGGTTCAACCATCAAGCGACTGCGCAAGTAGCTCGTTCAGATAATAGTTTTCTGGTGTTTCGATGCTTCTGTGCGACTTCTTGAAGGACACTTTACCGCGAAATTCCTCCTTGGTTGAACTGACCTTCCTTCCCTACGATGCAAGTTTTCCCGGTCAAATTCCGGGCCTATACTTCTACCTAGCTCGATCACGACTCTTGTATTTGGTTTCTTGTCCCTTGGCAGACAGCTGATACACTGCTTGATTTGGTGGTATTGTCAGTACGTTTTAAGTTGGCAATGAATGTGATAAAGAAAGTCTGGGTAACAGTACGCGCAAACTGAAGTGCAGGGCGCGCGATAGAATGGAGAAGGGACTCGGTCTAGCCCATTGCAAGGTTTTATTCCAGAGGCTAACGGAGACCCATGTGGTAATTCAGAGCTATCGTACTGCTACATGATTTGATAGTATTAAGACTGAAATTACTTGTGAGTAATATAAATCTAAGCACAGCTGAAGGGGGTTCCAATAGTGCCCTCGTGGTATTGCTTTCTCTGTAAACATACCATTGTCAGTTTAGTTCGGAATCGCTGATCAGCACTTCCCAGTTGTATTAGAAGATGGATAAACTCACAATGTCCTCGATGCTGGAATATAAGCCGCAAACTAGGACTGCCAAGCCGAAAATGAACACGAGTCCGTTGACAGCAGCTAGCAAAAGATTCTCTCTGGAATACCAGTTTCCCTTTTTAATGAGCATGAGCCACATTATTGGAGGGATATAAAAACAAAACCCTGACGTGAAAAGCGAGGAAGCAACCGTCAACAAGTCCGAAAAAAATGGAATGGCCTCAGCAATTATCCACGCCACTATTGTGAATAGAGTGATAAGAGAAAGCCATGTGATCCATCCTTTAGGCGTGTTGACGTATCGGACAATACTGTCTTTGTATATACGACCATGTATCAGTCGCCCAGCCACGATGGTATTGATAGAGCCTGAGATGAAAATGACAGGAAGTGCCAAGCCAAAAGCGATCCTGCTGATAGGGTTTCCGGCCGAGAGTAGTGCCGGGGACTGAACATCAGAGCCAACAAAAGCGTATATTGTTGCGCCAGTGATAGTATATATCACAATCTCGAGTAGACCAAGCGTAAAAATCGATTTTGTAAAGTCCCGTGGAGTGTGCATTTCGTCCATAAATGAGAACTGACAAGTGGCAAACGAATAGGCAAAGACGATATTTCCAATAGCAATGTAAGCTTCAGAGAAGGTAATGTTCTCTTTCGGTAAGGCAGACCACATTACTTCTCCCAGACCACCAGAGGCATTAGTTGCTTGTATTCCAGTCGAAATAATAGTAACACCAATAGCGATTATAATAGACGCAAAATCAATGTATCCGAGAATCGTTACATCAGCAAAAGATGAAGGGATTGCAAAGAGGAAAAGGATAATAGCCGAGATGACACCGAAGACAAGCGAGCAGATTGTGCTCCCAGTGATAGTTTGGAGCGCGATAGTCCCAGTGAGGCAGTGGGAGCCTGTCACAAAAATGAGTTGAAGCAGAAACATCCCAGAAAACAGCTCATAGCCGAATCGACCCATCATCAAAGTGCCGGCATCACCGTAATGGTGTATAAAGGGAAACGCCAACTTGACTTGGCCAATCACGTAAGATGTATATATAGCGATGAGTCCAATTCCGATACAGCATATGATACCAGCGACCATTCCTAGGGTAGCGAATGCAGAAGGAATTGAGAGCGCGCCCAAAGCAATAGCCTCAACCACCAGCATGAGCGTTAATTGTTTCCATCCGAGGCGATTATACTTTTCCTCTCCTGCAGAAGCTATCTGCTGTTCAGCTTCGTCTAGATCGTCAAGAAATTTACCGGCAGAGAAAGAATCAGCAGAGGGAGAGCCGGTTGCTCTAATGTTGAGGACATTGTCATTGCGGGATCGGGAATTCGGATGCTGATTACCTGGAGATGCAGGCGGCGAGTGATCTTTGCTGCTCATTGCTCTGGGCTTTTAGAAAAATAAACAAGTCAGACTTATATGGAAATCCGTGGCTCTGGAAAGAGCCCAACACGCAGCTCGCTCGGACTGAAAGTATTTAAAGCCGACCATCTGGGGAAGGCAAGGGGGATGTTACATCGCTAGAAGGCGGGGGAACGCCGATCCATGACTATACACACAAGGGAAGTTATTGGAGAAATCCACTATCTCCAGAATTTCTCCACGAACTCCAAGTTGTTACTAATAATTTCGTTGGCTTTTTGGATGGATCCCTATGAAAAGGTGGATGCGCGGTATGCGCTGCAATTCGTCAATGACGGGACCGCGCACAATATCCACACTTAAAGTGGATATATAGCAGTCACTATCAAGGAGAAGCAAACACTTAGACTGATTAAGAAAGAAGGGGGTTAGAGCCGGAGTCAATCTAGGTAGGAGTATCTCGACCTGAGTGAAACATCAGATTTCCTTGCATATATGGACTCAGACTTTCCTAGAATTCGAGGTCTTCTCAAGCTTAGGAATAGATAAACAAGCATCTCCATTGGGATATTCCCCCAGTTGGATACTTGTATATGGTTGTTTAGATATTTTATAGACGTTCCAAGCTTGTTGTTCGCAGGTCGGCGAAGACGTACTAGTGATAGGCTTGGGATGAGGTTAAGTTCCAGAGAATATGTAATATTAAATATGATTCTACCCAAGTTGGAATCAATTGGATTTAATTGATAACGAATTAGCAAAAAGCAAAAAGCAAAAAGCAAAAAGCAATAAGCAATGCATCATCCGTGAATCGAACACGGGCCTCGTCGATGGCAACGACGAATTCTACCACTAGACCAATGATGCTAATTGATGTGGGGTTCTCCACTTTTGCAATTATGAGGAATTTATCCAGATCTGATTGCCCAAATAACGGAATGGCATGACCAATTTCACCAACCCTTAAGGCTTTGGATGAATGCAACTGCTATTATCCCAGGGTTTGAACTACTGGTACAGCCCAAAAATCATACCATCGCAAGGAGTGGAAGATAAACTGGTTGATAGTTGAATTATCAAAAAACTAAATAACCGTCACCTCAAACTGAGTGTATATTCGGTACTCCCATTCGACTTTATACAATCTCAATGTAACGCTTAAACTCCCTATCCAAGGTATTAGTGTGGGAATTCCTATCGGGAACAGTGCATGTTCTAACTTACCAGTCAGTCACCGCCTCACGATACAGCCGCAGTTCATGTTCACGAGATAGAGTAAAAAGGTCAACAAACTCAGATCCGAGAATATCTCTGGCAACACTATTTGGCGATTTGAAATTCTCAACGGCTTTCTCGAGGGAATTAGGTAAATACTGGAGTGTCGAATTCCCAGGATCGTGAGCTGATAGTGGAGGAATAGTGAGCTCAGAATTTCTCTCCACCCCCTTCCAGCCAGCAGAAATAAGAGCTGTAAGTGCGTAGTGAGGGTGTATATCGGCTCCTGGTACCCGTATTTCAAAACGAGTAGCGCTCGGTTTGCATACAGGTGGTGCAATGAGTCGAACTGACGCTCTTCGATCTTCCAGCCCCCATGATAAATGGACTGGAGCCCAGTAGTTTTCTACTAGTCGCTTGTAAGAGTTTATAGTCGGGGCGAGAAGAGGCATTAGATCCGGCAGAGCATTGAGCAGACCGGCTAGGAAATGGCGACCCAAATCCGAGACATTTGCTAGATCAGACCAGGGCGAGTTTGGATCTGCAGCGTCGCGAGAAAACAAGTTTCTTCCTTTAAGATCGGTTAAGGAAATATGGATATGTCCCGAGTTTCCTGGAAGACCAGAGACCGGCTTCGCCAAAAAGCAAGGTGTGACACCATGTAGATTACCGAGACATCGAGTGATGTATCTGAGAGTTTTAGCAAGTAGGCTAAGAGAGGACTTGGAAAAGGTATGTAGGGCTTACTTGAATAGGGAAACCCTGTCCGCCATCTCTTCCATTTCGCAAAAGCGGAGTGCCTAAACAAAAGAACACACAGTGTCAGACAGAAGCAGCGGAAAATACGACAGAGCAATAGACTCACTCCTTCAAAAACTCCAGGGCCCGATTCAGTATGCCAGCTCTCAATCTGACAATCCAACCTCGCACATGTATCGATGACATCAAAGAAGAAATCACTTGAAGCCATGGGACGGGTAATGCTGTATCCAAACATCCCATCTGTCAATGGCCGGAGCTCGGAGGGTTGGTGGTTGCGCAAAAAAGCGGCGAGGTTCTTTCGCTTTGAAGGATTCTGGTCGTGGTATCCATCTTCCGATGGTGTTTGATAGTTGAAAAATTCCAATTCAACTTCAATTGTTAGCACAAATTGGCACGTCAAGGGGTATGCAGTATAAAGCATACCTCCTGCCACTCCTCTACAGCCGGCAACAGCTAGAGCTTCTGAAAATATCTTTATCATGCTTCGACCACAGGCGGAGACTGCTCGGTCGTTGGCAGTAAAGCGAAGTAGGAAAAACGGCATGTTTTGAGCCCAGGGCAGACGGCGCATTGAAAGCTGATCAACTACACTGGTGAAATCGGCATAGCCTTGCTCAGATGACGCAATAGTGTTGTTCTCATCGAAAAGCATGTCATGCATGTCCCAGCCGAATATGGCCGAGCTCATACCGAAGCCTGAATCAACTATCGAGAGGAACTTTTCCTTTGACATGACTTTGCCACGAAGCTGGCCATCGCAATCAATACCAGCTAGCTGGACACGAGTGTCGTTTTTCAAGATTTCCGCAAGGTTACGAGACGAGCCATTGCAGTTCGCCCAATCTTTTGAATGGTTAATCTCGGATTTCATGGTCGAAATTAGATGCTGTAGCTTGTTTTATTGAATTGAACTTCCAGGGTCAAAAGTAGAGAAACACGAATGAGAAATTTTGCTGAACTTTTCGGTCAAATAATATATTAGTCGGTAGAAACAAAGAGACACCGAGGTTCTATCGAGTGCGCGTTTGGCTAACAAATTCCCCTCATAGAGGGAATTTATTCGCGGCCCCACATATTGCCACCGACCTTCTATACTCATTACTGCAATACAATGTGATATTTCTCTCAAAACAACAAATTATTGCGCAGTATACCCCGATAAGTCCCAGAATTAGCTATGCCAATCAATGTAAAGATTACTTTTCTTCACATTGTTCCACCCCAACCTTCGCTGCTAGCTCGCAGCCCTCGGCTACTTTCTCCGGCATGCTCAAAAATGGAGAGTGGGAGCTCTCGCATCTGAATTGAGTATAGTCTCCCAGTAGTCCAGCCATGGATTCTTGCACAAATAGAGGAAGGGCTTGGTCCTTTTCGCAGAATATATACATGCAAGGTAGATTGTGCCAAGGCTCATGCATAACAGCATCCTCGAAAACGGCGCGAGAGGTATGCGTGAGTTTGGAAATCCATTTTTCCTGATCTTCCAGAGAAATGTCATGATAAAATGTTTGAGCCTCGTTTGACGAAGTACAGTAGTCTCCCTATATTGCGTTAACCAATCACATGCTTCAAACCAAGGGGATTGATAGAGATATACCTGTACTTTCATCCAAGGCAAGTAATTACCGCCCAACATTTTCAAGAGGCTGTCACCTCGCGAAGCAACAAATGCGGCCATGTATACCAGCATGATAACGCCGCCATGTTTGCCTTGCTTCCGTCTTTCGGCATACTCCAACCCCTTCACAGCACCCGCACCCACCATCCCACCGTACGAGTGAGTGACGACCACGATCCTTTTGCCCTGATTGACGAGCCTTTTAATTTCACTCTGGACAAAGACGGTATCATCCATGAGCCCTTTAGATGGAGGCTCAGCACCGATCGATGGTAGCGCTAAAGCTACGGTAGGAAAGTTGCGAGATGACAGGGAGGCACGAACAGCGTCAAACCCATCGGGCCCATGCCAAGCACCAGGGACAAAAAGAATGGTGGGTTGATCTGTAGGCATGCTGTAGTATGCGTGATGTGTGCGTGAAATTGAAAGATACGAATTTAGCAGAATGAAATAGTCAATATAATTTAACGACAAGCCCCTTATATCAACTATCGATTCATCCTTTATCCTGAAGATTCACTGCCATTCTTCCGAAAGTTGACTGATCATCGGCTAGTGTCCAACAAGCCGGAAGAGAGTGGGAATCCATGTGAGCTAACCCCCCCAGCGGTGTGCCTTCGCACAGTGCTAGTCGAGTATGATGATGATGATGATGATCATTTGCCTGATCTTTGGTGCTACCGGGAGAGATTCGGGATATTTGTGGGTTTATTGCTGCCAATGAGCCCCAAACCCCGCGCTTTTGAGAGAACTCCCGGGAATTTCGAGTCTAATTGTCGGATCTCCAAACTCTCGGCCTTTCCGATGTGGGCTTGTTCCGTATCCGATCGGCATGGTCAGCGAACCCGACAAATCAATGGCCATCCATTCCTTTCAAATCCAAGACACCCCATGGGGATTGGTAACAAAGAAAAATTGGGATTTAAAATACACGTAATGCCATAGGCCCCGAGGAATCTCTCCGGCTCATAAACTACTTTAGGAAACGCAGTGTCTCGTGCAGAAGCGACTGGCCTCGCATGTCTAGGTTCTCTTTCCAAAGTTCTTTTTATGAACTGCAGCCTTCAGTTATGATAATGTACCCCGATTTCTATCTTTCGGATACGCTAGTGGCTACTCCTTTGGGCACTCCAGTATCTGACTATACTACAACCTCCTATACTGCTCGAGACCTCGGGAATCCAGAGATTTTTGGCGCTAGAAAGAAAATTCGCTATGGGCTACTACGGTAGATAGTACACATGGATTTTGTACGCATCGTTACATTTGAGGAAATCAAAGAAAAGGGCAACCAAGAGCCTACATGGTAGGCAATCATCAAGGATATAGTTTACTAACAATGTGCTTGCTTGATAAGTCATTGAGATAGGTAGGAAAAAGTATTGAAGGAGGAAAGCTCCAGTATTTGAAAACGCTATATATTTTGAATGTTTACCTTGACATCAGACACTACTCGTATATTATACATATCATTTAATGCCAGTGGTTGACTGGTAGTGGAGAATCCCCGGATTGACGGCGCGGATCCGTGACGGGCAGACGGGCCCCTTCCATTCCATCTCCGATCATCGGATCTTTGCTAAACTCATAACCCACATCTCAATGTTTCCAATAACACGATAAAGACAGGATGCTCGGTTCGAAGCTCTCGAAACTCCTTACACAGGGCCCGCTGGCAAATATTTGCAAGCGCACGATCACAATGGGCACGAAGCAAAACGCCCTACCCGCCGCCTACTATCGCGGTGGAACGTCGCGGGCCGTGTTTTTCAAGCAAGAGGACCTCCCACAAGACCGCAAACGATGGGATTCAATCTTCCGAGGTGTCATCGGTAGTCCGGACCCTTACGGTCGTCAGCTCGATGGGCTGGGAGGTGGTATTTCAAGTCTTAGCAAGATCTGCGTCGTGGGCAAGTCCACCCACCGCGAAGCTGACGTCGACTACACATTCGTCTCACTCGGGATCAAGAATAACGATGTCGACTACTCGAGCAATTGCGGGAACATGATCAGCGCCGTCGGGCCATTTGCTGTCGATGCGGAGCTATTCCCCTATCTGGGGAGAACGCGGATTCGGCCTCGGTGCGTATCCACAACACCAATACCGGCAAAATCATCCATTCTTCATTCCCAGTTGTCGACGGGGAGGCTGCTGCAACTGGTGATTTCTCAATCGATGGCGTCGCGGGATCAGCTGCTCGCATCCAGCTAGACTTTATAAACCCGGCCGGCTCGGCGACGGGGTCTCTCCTACCAACTGGTAACCCGGTCGACACCATTGACGGTATCCCCGCGACCTGTCTCGACACAGCAAATCCATGTGTTTTTGTTCGCGCATCTGACCTTGGCGTCGAGGGTAACCTGACTCCAGATGAGATCACCGCGCATTTGGACCTGCTTTCACGCCTAGATTCCATTCGCCGCCAGGCCGGTGTCAAGATGGGCCTTGCAGAGACACTTGCAGCTGTCCCTGGGAGCATACCGAAGATCTGTCTCGTTGCCGCGCCTTCATCCTCTAATGCACGAGATGCTTCGCAGAACCAGACATCTGCTAACATTGATCTTTTGGCTCGTGCTCTCTCCGTAGGCCAGCCGCATAAAGCCGTTCCTATCACCGTCGCTCTAGCATTAGCTGCGGCTGCGCGAGTACCTAACAGTACAGTTGCAGATGTTGTCGCAGGCAAGAATCCTGTCGATGGTGCGGGCATCACGATCGGTCACGCTAGTGGTAATTTGTTGGTCGGCGCGAACTTTGATGATGACGGTGCATTGCTTTTTGCAACTGTGTTTCGTACGGCACGTCGGTTATTTGAAGGCCGCATATTTTGGAAGAACGATTCTACTATATGAAATGGCTTTGTATGGTGTCTATTCTAATGTGTATTTGTGTGAAATCAGGCGTATCACAGTATCCCCATACTTTTTTTCTCTGTGATAACAACACACCAATATTTTTCTAGTCAACGCCTATATATGTCCATCTCCCCCCAATGCAAATAGAAAAGGAGGGCCGTAATTTCACTTTTAATTCTTTCTTCCCAAATCCAGGTCTTTGACAAGCTTCATATCACCCTTACCATCATTCGATCCAAGTCCGAAAAATGGCTTTACAGCAACATCAATTGTCTCCTCAAATAACTTCCCAACAATCATCTCTTTGAGGTCTTCTCCAGTCTGGGCAAAGTCTGGGAAGGCATTCAGCTCCAGCAACCATACATCTCCGGAGGCATCGACAAGAAAGTCAACACCAAACAACTCAAAGGCGTTCGGCAAAGTCTGGAAATGCACCATCATGCCTCGAGCTGCCGCCTCGAAGACCTCGCCTGTCACAGCACAGATTTGCTCGAAGATCTTCTCCTTCCAGTCTGCTGACAGACCTGGGACATGATGATCAAGGTCCCAGAAGCGGCGAACACTACCTTCATTTGAGCTACCACCCTCCTGGAAGCATGTGTTTGTCAGATGGCGAGCCAGATCTTTGACCTCATCGTCCTCCTCATGGGGAGGGAAATAAGACTTCGCGGCGAAGAGAGCAAGCATTTCTTTGAAAACATAGACTTTCAGCGAGCCTGTTGCGAGAACGTAGGTTCGGATATGGAATTTGCGGTTGGAGGACGAAGGGAGAAGCAGCGGGGGATCAATGTAGGGCTGTGCCATGAAATGACGCAGCTGGGAAGTGACAATACCGGCATCATGTGCCTCGGTTGTATCTACCAGTGCTTCATTTGTCTCAGATCCACTCTCTTCATCGTCGTCGTCGGAGTCTTCTTCCCATTCCTCGAAGATTTCCCGTAATTGATCCTCGCTATTGAAGAGCCGAATACCTTGTCCTCGGTCACTCATGCCGGGCTTAAGAATCCACCACTCTTTTTGGGACTCGGGGCGCTCTTCGTTCTTCTCCATGCTTTCGCGTAGCTCATATGCCTCCAATAAAGCATCGTCGAGGAACTCGGCATAGTCCAGTTCAAAGTCAAATGCCGGTTTAAAATGGTGTCGCAGAATACTGTCCGGGTTTTTGGAGATCCAGTTCGCCACCGTGTTGGATAGGTAATGTTTGCGGATTAAGGCCTTTCGAATAATGTATGCGTTGGAAAGGGAGGTCGATGGTCGGCACATGATATGTTCGAAGTTCAAGCGTTCATACTCGCGGTATTGGAATACAGGAGCAGAAGAATCGGGCAGTTCTGAGATATCGGAAATTCGTTGAGAGCGAGCCTTGCCTCCAAGTCGGCGGGTCAATGCTTGGTCGACGAGGGCCTGCACATAGGGGTCGTCACAGTCGACGATGGAATACACTGTTGGTTGGCCATCCGATCTACAGGGACCGCTTCTATCAGAATCACTGCACAAAACACGAAGAGATGGCAAACAGCAAAATACAAAAGTATCAAATGCAAAGATGGGTAAAGGGGAGCATGAGGTCTATCAGCTAAGCCAGATATCTAAAGTGTATGGACCCCATGTATATCTGAAACGAAACATCCAAAGCCATCATGCCAGAATCTCCACTCACAACTTAATCTCGCCCTCGATGTTGGGTGCATGCATGAAACTCGCTTGAAGAGGCGTAACACTAATGAAAGAGAACATCGAGTTAGAGGTTTGTGTTGTGCTGAATTTGAGAAAAGTGAGTTGGACACTTACCTGGTCATCTGCTCCTTAACGGCCCATCCATCATTTCCAGGGGCATTCTCCTCAACACTCCGGTAAACATCTCCAAGGTTAGGGGCCCACTTGAAGTGCTTGTGCTTCAGCTTAGCCGTGCTATCGTCCTTCTGGGTCGAAACAGCTCCCTTGCCAGCCATCATCTCGCTTTCAATGCGTAATCGTTGTTCCTGTAGCTCAGGATCTTCCGAGGCACCAGGGTCAGTAGCTTCGAAACAGCTACCCGTGGACCATTTATTCTGCAGCATCTTTGTGTAGAGGACCTTATTCTGGCTTACACCAGGTTCTAACGGGACGTTGACGCTGTACAAATCAACATTGTCGCCCCAGTTGGCGTAGAGATACTCGATCAGCTTCACAGAATGTTTCGATGCCTCGGCGATGATAATTGGGTCATGGTTGCGAGAGCTGAAGGCATACGACAACGCGATGGAGCGCTTTCCACACACAGCACCTTCCATCGCGGCACCAATTGTTCCGCTTGACATGGCGAACAGCGCGGTGGTGTTGCGGCCATAGTTAGGCCCAGATACAACCATGTCAATGGGTCCACGGTCTTCAAAGTAATGGTACAGACCAACTTGAACGCAACTTGCGGGCGTCGAATCAATCAGGATCCATTCATCGCCGCCGTCATCTGGCTCACCATTGCTCCCCCGCGGGAGGTGGTGAACCGTGCCATCCTCTTGATGTAAAGTACCTGGACGGAAGTATGTCGGTTTCACTGATGCGCCCACGATGTGTGCCTTACCAATCCATGATCGCTGTTGGTGAGGAAGAACGACCGAGACAATGTGCCCCGCGGCCTGGAGCGAGTGCACGAGCGAATGCACGTACGGTGACGACTGATTCGACGGCGGACCGTCGTCGTTAGTGACCTAGATGGGGATTAATGATTTGATTATAACACGGAATGTATATATTTCCCTAGAAGAAGAGGAAAATCAGAGGAGAGACCGACCAGGATGTGCATGTTGATTGTAAATGAGGGGATGGAGGGGGAAAGGGAGAAATCGGAGATTTCCCCCCCGCGCGGCGCTCTTTATCGGAAAGAGTGGAAACCGCGTGGAACGTCACTCCTGGGGAAAATCACGATTGGCATTGGCATTGGCATTGGGATAATAATATCATGGGTATTACGTTAAAAAGACTGTGACTGCTACATTTTCATCCACTTTTCAAACACATCATGGAACCTTCACTGTTCCTCCTCGAGCGAATGCATTCGTCGTTTCTGTATTCCTCGGTCCTCTGCGCTCTCCATGCCCGATCCAACGCCTGAATCGTGGGTCTCAGGATAGCTCTGCAGCAGCTTACTGTCCACTTCTTCATCTTTCACCTTGGCAACTTCACTCGAAGTGCTGCCATCTTCTGTTTCAGTGTCTCCCTTCAACTCATCATCTGAATCCCCCCTTGAGTTCTTCTTTAGGCGTGCCTGACTGCCAGATCGAACTCACTATGAACCATGTCAAACTGGCTGAGCTCATCGAGATGGTCCAGAACATGGAACTGAATATCACGAAAGAGGTAATCTTCCAGCGGTACATGAACCACCTAAGACCGAGTTAGTTGTATTTCCTCGCAGTATTAATGTCCCGGAGGGATCTCACCGCATGCCGGTAAATCGAGCTCGGAACTCGACTTGCACAGAATAGATCTGCATCTTCCCATCGCTGTGGAGTTCGAGCCGAAGGCCTTCCGGTAGATTGCGCGCCCCTCGCGCAAATTCAATCTTCTCCATCATGGGTACCTCCAACGTTTGGGCTTCACGTCGCCAGCCCACCATGTACAAGGGTAGGCGCAGCACCCGCCGCGCAACATCCACGAGAGGAGAGGTGTAGGTTAGAATAGCCGGTCGTCGAGAGTGATGGATTGGATTCGGTTTATTTGATACAGCAGCTAGGCCAGTGCCGGATGGGGGAGCGAGGAGAGTGAGGTCGACCATGAAGTTGCCCACATCATGGTTGGAAGGAGTGGGAGGGAGTTCGAGCACGACGGCGACATCGTAGGGTTGTGAATGTACAAAATCGGGGTCGAGGGAAACAGTTCCCCACGGGTGACCGTCACTGTGTCAGAAAAATTTGGTTGTCAGTACGCGGGGTGAGGGAGAGCGAGAGCATAGGAGACCAGCATTACCCGAATTGTAGGTGGACTTGTTGGTCGATCCCGACCGTGGGAATGAATCTGAAGTAGAAGATTGCATATGCGAGTCCCGAAACACCTAACAGAAAAACCGTGGCACCGATGAACAACACAATGTTGAGGTAAATGCGGAGGGCGGTCCTGGAGAACAGCGCGCGAAATGGCGCCAGGAACGCGTCCTGCCTCACGTTAGAGTTGAAGGATAGGGGAACAAGTTCGTCACATACGAAGACAACGGCTTGCGAGGATGGACTCTCATAGTCCATTTCATCATCAGTGTACTCGGAGTCAGCCATGTTTCAAGGCGGGTAAGGAATGGTGAGGTGTTGCAAGCAGTTGGAGACATTCCAAGTTCCTCGGTAGGGTAGCTCAGGGTGATCTTATCGCTCGAAGTACTACGACCACCCCCCGCCATGGCATTTTTATAGACTACAGAGCAAACACCACTGAAACTTCAAACCAGTAACGGCCGAAATCCATATCTAATTCCTATCTAGATATATTACACCTAGTACCATGATAGGTAGGAAGGACAATCATCTTAGAAAATGCCAAAAGTATACCTAGCACGAATGAATGATAGATTGAACTAATGATTCCCCACCATGAATGCAGAAGACCTTCAACTCCAGCTTTTACAATCTTATCATTACAGGTCGCGCAGCTCTTGAAACGCGAAAATATCATAATATCTCAAGCCATGCGCAAATCGTGACACACGGATAGAAAAAGATGCTAGCAATCCCCACGCCCACCTTGGCCTTCACATGAAACGTGAGACATGAAAAAAAATAAAATAAAATAGAAGTGTAAAAGCAATGGTCCCCATGGAGAAGCGCAAGGAGGAGTGGAGTGCGGTGTGGCTGAACCGTCGGGAGAAAATTCGTGGTTGAGAGAGGAAGCAAAGATTACGCAAGGGGACGAGGGCTTTGCTGTTGGATGTGTTGCAGGAGAGCGTCAAAGAGACGTCCAATCTGTAAGAAGTCATGTTAGCACTGATTTGGGATGGGGGAGAGCAGAGAGACAGAAGGGAATAAAGACGTACCTCAGGGGCCGCTTGGATGAAAGGGAGGCGGAAGAAAGAGTAGCTGCGGTTCTGCAGAAGCTCTTGCAGGGTGATGATAAGACCCCATGGGTGCGGACGATGGACGATGAGTCGCTCCAGCAGCACGCGAATGATTTGCTGGCGGATGTCAGACTCATCCTGCTCAGAGTAGTCAACACCAAACAGACGCAGGATGGTGAAGCTAAAGAAGTAGGTGTGGCTGTTCGGGTATCGCAGCTGGTTGGCCATCGCGCTCAATAGGTAGTAACGAGTCTCAGGCTGCATTGATTGGGCAAGCTTCTCCAGAAGAGCGGCATGGTTGGAGTTCTCAAAGACGCTGCGGGTATTGCTCTTCAATGCGTGTTCGGAAACCGCTTGTTGGCCAATGTACAAAACAAGCGCGTTCACCAGAACAACATCAACATTGATGGGCTGGTAGAAAAGAGCAGTATCGCGGGGTTCATCGTTGACAACAGTGTCACAAATTTGTTGAACCACGGCTTCGGATGCATTGTCACTCTGAAGAACAGTGTCGATGACGTCCTTGAGGTTCGCCTGTTGCAGGGGGGGCAGCAACATTGCCTGCAATCTTGGGAATCTCCCGCATCTCCTCAATTCGCTCAACCTTCAAACCCTCACGGAAAGGATCGGGAAGCTTCTGGAAGGATGACGGGTAGGCACTGAGTACCAAGTTGCGAAGCTGGGCGCAATGAGCGGGGATCACATTGCAGAACTGGAAGTGGTTCTCGGCGACAAACTCCGGGAAGTCGTGGTGGAGGATTAACAAGATGCGGAGCACGCCCTTATACAAGTCCTTGGCGACATAAGAGATGTTGGCTGCCTTGAGCTGCTCGCCGATGTAGGAGAGCAAGACCTGCATGATCTCACAGTAAACAGCCCAACCGGCACGTTCGGGCATGTTGAGCATATCAGACATGAAGACACGGTGGGAGACTAGAGATAGCCAGCCGTAGACGAAGCTAGGAACATAACGGGGCTGAAGAGACAGGAACTTATTAGCCAGTGCAAAAATCATGCCCTGGTGTTCCTCGTGGAGCTGGAGACCCGCAACAGAGTATTCGCACAGAATGCTAGAGAACAAGCGGAAGAAAACACGTTGGTTGAACGCCTCACCCCGCATAACTTGGTGGTGGTTAAGAACCAGGACAAGAGATGAGAGAATGGAGCCAAAGTAAGCAGGCTTGCTGAGAGTGACAGCGCCATCATTCTCTCCTTGAGATTTGACCAACAGGATGACAAGCTTGGCGAGGGCGTCAACGTAGAGGAAAGCCTCGTCCAGGCTGCCATTGGGATTTTGAGACTCGTGCTCAAACATGGCGACAGAAATGTCAATGCTCAGGCGGAAGAATAATGCAGAGTCCTCTTGCAAGTTCATAACTTGGCGATTGTGCATGTCCTGGAGGAAAGAGAGATAAGTACGCTCATTGGCACCAGAAGCCTTGTAGATACCAATCCACTCGCTGAAGATGTACTCCATCTGGTCACGCTTGGACCTAGCCTGGTCACTGAGTAGTGGGTTGGCGACTTCGGGAATTCCACACTCGCGCAGCTTGCGAATGATCTCCAAGGCCGGTGCGACGCTGCCATCCTCAGAGAGCCATTGGCTCATGGCATCCAAACTACCAGAGAAGTCAGAGCGGAGGGCAGATGGCTCGTCGTTGAAGAGAACACGGCTCATCAGTGTGTCGAGCAACTCCAAAGCGCTGACATTCTTCTGCATGATGAGGCGAGTGAGAACCATATCCACTCGGCGGATGTCCAGAAGGCCTGCGTCGATGAGAGCAACAGTGACAGGAACATTAAACATGTGCTCGTCGTCAATCTCTGCAAGAAGCGCCCAGGTGTATCGTGCGATCACGGAAGACAAGTCACACAGCTTGGCGAGAAGGTGAACAAGGACCTCGATTTCTAAAGATCCTGAGGATTGGCCATATAGAGTTGTGCAGACCTTGAGGGAGGTCAACCGGGCCAACTCCTCGCCATTAGGAGAGTTCAGGATAGCGCGCAGAGCTTGATTGTATTCCTGGAGGACAGAGCTATCGCGACCAAGGTCCTTAACATGCTCTTCAGGAGCGTTGCGAGCGGATTGTTGAAGTTCCGAGATAAGAGTTTCGACTCGTTCCCTGGGGTTCTGGGCATCGAGGAACCCATTTGTGTGGACGGGGATCTGAGAGACAGCGTGCTGAGGCTGAGGGGTGCGATGAGGGACTGCAGGCTGTTCGGCCGGCGTTGAAAGGTTAGGGATAGCGGGGTAGGTGTCTTGGAGTACGTCTGGAAGAGGGCGACCAGAGTCGGTAGAAACATTCTGAGGGTGGGCAACAGCGGTACCACGCGATTGACGAGCGAACTCTTCGTAGATTGCCAGCTGCTCCTTATTAAAGCCCTCCGGGGGTTTGGCGGTAGGGTTCAGGAATGAAGAGCCCCCAACGATTCATTGACGGATCAATAAAGGGCTCGTTGGGACGAGTAGCGATGTGGCGTCTCCGAGCCTCCAGCTGAGCCTCAATGACCTTCTCGATCTCGGGAGAGACTTCTCCTCGGCAGCCTTCTCAACGATGCCACAGGCAGCATCCAGATTGTCGTTGACGCACATCAAGATCAACCCTTCGGGCATAGGTTGATCGGAGTACTCTTGTTGGATCATACGGATATAATTGGTCATGCTGACTTTGAGTGGCTCTTTGCAAGTGACCAAAGCCAGACTACCGGCAAGTTGGCGCACCATGACACCAGCGGCGTGGCGGAATTTCTCCTCATCGGGCTCCATGGCAAAGTCCCTAGAAACAAGCTGGACGGTAGAGATAGAGGCAATGGTCACAGAGCGCTCCACGACCGGAGTGATGATTTCCGCAATAGCACGTTCCACCGCAGTGTGCACAATCTGCCTCAGGACACTCTGGTCAACCATGCCGCTCGCTGACGGGGGCAAGACGAGGATCTTATCAAGGCTAGGCAGAGTCGACATGATAGCAGCAGGTGACAATCTTTCGTTTCGAATACCCTGGTTAAGGGTACTGAGACCCATATCCTCAAAAGCTTCCAGGCCCTCTGGGATGTTGGTGGTGGACAAAGTCTCCTCGACATGGGAGGTACGGTCACGAATACCATTAGAAGGTTCAATAGTCTTGTGATCCAGATCCAGATCCTTACACAGTACCTCAATCTCAAATTTAAGATTGAGTTTCAACTCAGCGAAATGGTACAACTCTAAAAGTAGTCCCAAAATGTCCATCAACCACGGGTTTGGAGGCTTGAAGACAGTAGATTTGGTCGCTTGAACCAGGACCTTGCAGGTAAAGGGAATCGTAACCATGAGGCGTGAGCTGTCGTAGCCTTCCAAGAGCAGGCCCTTGAAAAAGATGTTCTTGTGCTTGATAGGCTTGTCCTTGGCGATGGTCAGTGAGCCGAGCCAGGCGCCAAGGTTCTTGAGGTGGCCACGATCCTGAGATGAGTTCAAGGTAGCCTCCGAGTTCAAGAGCTTGGCGACACTGACGTAGGTTTCTCTGAGAACCTCAGTCCAAAGAATTCGGTCATCAATGCGGTCGAGAAGATCCAGGTATAGTTGTTGGAAGTTGGGCTGCAGCTTGGCACGCTCTTCGACCAAATAAGCAGCAAACCACTGGTGGTGCTGATCCCGCAACACTTCACGCAGATCCTGCAGTTTCTCCTCGATGTTTTGTTCTGAAACATTGTTCAAGACGAACAAAATCTTGTCTTGGATGTCCTCATTCGGATCCTCGTAGATATCGGACCGAATGGGAGCATCCACCTGCACGGCGCGGAACTTTCGTGATGTGCCATCGTTCACGACAGCGTCCTCCACGTTGCCGTTGGTGAGGAGGGGGCCGCCTAGATCGTCGAATTTGTTGCCATTCTCATGGCTGCCACCTTGCTCTCCAAGAACTTCCTCGGCTTTCTGGAAGATAGGTGTGCCAGCAAGGCTAGGGATTTGAAGAAGTAGATGACAGAAGCCAGCCCATTCGGGAAGACGACCGATCAACTGCTCGATGGCCTCCACGCCAAACTTGTACATCGGATTGTGGACTTCGTGTTCCCTGACAGCCTCCAGGATCATGCCTAGGCCAACCTTGAGAGTAATGCCGTCGACCAAGCGGAAATTGATGATTCCACCGAACATGACTGCAGTTTTGGTCAGAGCCTCGAGGGGGTATTCGTGATAACAGTGATATTCGTCGACAAGACCGTGGACCATGCAAGCGAAGAGGTCTTGCTCCTCGGGTTCGCGGGAAGACTTATACTTTCGCATCAACTCCAACATTTCACGAAGTGACAATTCTTCGTGATACATCTTGCCAAATAATTCCTGCATTTGCTTATCGATGGTCTCAGGCAAGGTGTTGCCATTTTCACCGTTCGCATCAATGATGTCGTCAAACCCTTCGCCGTAATTAATGAGTCGGGGGTAGGTTTGGATACAAATGCGTTGAACGGGGGTGAGGTTCTCGCGATCACCAACGTACTCCTCCAGTACTGACAAGAGAGTATATACGGTTTTCACTGAAAGACTAACCATCTGAGGAGCCGGCTGTTCCTTTCGTTGCACATGCAGCTCATCCTCGGCCTTGATTCTCAAGAACTTAGACAGCAGTCCGCCCATATCAATGGGTCCCTTCTGAGAAGCATTTTGAACCCAATGTTCGAGATCAAACGAGCTCTTGCGATGGGAGTAGCAGGCAAGATCGAGCGCGAGGCCGTTGGTGAACCCGAGCAGATATTCGAGCCAGCCATAGGCCGCTGCATGTTCATAAATCGCTGCAGTAGCAGTAGGGTCCTGAGTAAAAGCAGTGAACAGCTGCTCCGAAACCCACTGGCGGTCCTGGCGCCAGGCTCCATGAAGGGCCAGTTGATAGCCATCTTCTTGCTTAGAAATGAAAACAACGAAGGTTCGGAGAACGAAGCTCTGTTGGACACTAGACCATGGCTGTGGAATGGCGAGAGCGGAAACGAGGAAGACGGGGAGATCGTATTGCAGAACTGCTTTGATGAGAAGCTGACTTTCAGTAGCGGCCCATGAAGCTTGGGAGAACAGAGCAAGGTCGAAAATTGCCCTCATGGCATCCATGGAACGAAGGGGAGATTTAGAGGCGCGTTCGCCCTGCAGCTTCACAATCTCGGGCGCATCATCGAAGAAGTCGCTAGGAAATGTTGCACGAAGATTAGGGATCCGAGAAGCATCCGTTCGTGAGGCAACGAATGCTGTCAGGAACGACATTTGCGTGTCCCGGTGCTCCCACTCCCCGCCCCAGAGCTTCTGGATGTCCAAAGAACTATCGTCGGAGGCAACAGTGGTCAAAATGCTATAGAGCTTGGCAAATTGCTTCGGATCCACTCTCAGGCCCTCCCGATCAAAGTTCCGGAACACCAGAGCCCAACTAATCTGCTTGTCGGCGTAGGCACTCAGAAGCGTCTCAGGGGAGAACTGCTGCCAATACTGCGACAGGATCATGAATAGAAGAGCACTGGCAAGTTGTTCCTCGCTCCAGCTATCGGGCCCTGCTGCATTAATTACTTCGGTAAGCGACTCCGTGTTTGCAGTGGCGCGTGGGCCCTTGGAGTGTAGCTGTCTAACGAGAGTATAGCGCGGGTTGACAAAGTTGAACATCTGGAGAGCCGAGGAAATCTCCAAAGGCATATCCAAGCCCATCTTCTGGCATCGCAGGTTCACGGCGTAGACCAGTTTGGCCTTGACATCATCGGTGAAATTGCGGGGCGGGTAAAGGATGAATCGTTCAATCGTGATTCCAAGGAAAGAATTCTGGTAATCCTTGGTCGTTTCGGATGGGTTTGCCAAGCTTTGGAGGAAGGGTGTGGTTGAGTTCGAGAGGATGGCGTCGGCTAAAGAATGATTGATTAGTCGGGAGAAAGAGAAATCTTGTAAAAAGGAACGAACCTTTAGCACGAAGATCTGATTTATTAGTCAACTTAAAGGCCAAAGCGAGCGCAACCTTAACAATGGGATCGAGGCGGAAATGGTCCAGGAAGGTTGACAGGTCGAAGTCACGGAAGATGTCACCCTCTGAGGTGTCTACCGTTTCGGCAATCTTTTGTGCTTGCTCGATGTCTGTCGCAACTTTGTGCATTTCCTGGGTTAAAAGGGGGTAGTTGCCGGCATTCTCAACGGACTTGTTAACACCCGGGAAGATTTGAGGGGCATTGCCCGTAAGAAGACGGCGAAAGTATTTCGAAAAGACCTCCATTCCGTTGGATGTGACGAGCTGGTAAACAAGTCAGTACTCGGTAGGAAAAGCGATGAGCGGGGTCAAGATTTACCTTGTGTATCTGGGCAGCTTTGGTTTCCCACTTTTCTTTGCCCTCCTTCTCAGTGATAGAATCTAACAGGAGGAAGACCTGAGCGATCGAAATCTTGGTAAGAGACGATTGGCTCGAATGAGCAGCCGCCGATCCGGGCTTGTCAGAAGCGAAGCCCGTGGGTGAATTCACGGTTGTGCCGGACGACAGAGGAGAGAAAACGACACCTCTGGAAGATCCCGGCCCACCACCTCCTCCAGAACCTCCACCACCCGTGATGGAGCCTGTTGCGGAGGTGAAATGAGATCCCGCTGAAGGGGTATGTGCGCGGAACTTGGGGAGGAGAGCGACTGTGACTGCTGCGAACTCGATTGCAGCGAGGTGAACGGAGAGGGTGCAGGTTTGGGGCTGCCCCCAGAAAGGCCCCTTGTGGAGCTCAGAACGGCAGAAAAGGAGGAGGGAGTCGAAACCCCAGGGCCTGCGTCCAAGCCCCGGGAAGATGCAGAGGTGACTGCGGAGGAGAGGTTGGTCGCGAGAGGAGTCAACCCACGACGAATGCCGGACTGTGACGTGGACCGACCCCAGGCACCAAATTCAGGCCTGGTCGAAGAAGATTTATCGGTGCCAGAAGCAATCGACGATTGGGCGGAAGGGTGAGGGGGAGGGAAGGTCATCTAGGAGACGCGATCATTTGATCTGGAGGGTCCAAGGACAGATTTTTAGGCGGGCGCAGTGGACGAGACCGTTATAGCCGACCGGTGAAGAGGAGAGTCGTGCGCTATCGAGAGATAGAGGGGGTGATCGGAAATGAAGATGAGGGGGTTGTGTGGAAGGGGAATGGATGGCGATGCGATGGGAGAGGTTGGAGGATTCCCTTCAAGGTGAGTGTGGTCGGAAGAGTTTCTGCCTGAGGCTAAGTCGGGGGGGGTAGCTCGGGGGTTCGGGCAGCCTTGGGGAAGCATGGCTGCAACTACTGTACTACATAGTGGAAGGATCGAATGATTCTAGATGATCTTACGAGAGAAGAGTCAATCTTATTCAGTCTGACTAGAATTTATTTGATGTTCTGCATATTCCATTGGATTCTGAATCATCACTCCGAATGCAATATGCCAGTCGCGTGTCTTAGCTAGGGCCACATCGTCTTAGTCACATGATATATTAGTCATCCAGGACTCGCACGGATCACAGCTTCCCGAAATGGAATGGTAGCAGGGCGGACAACAGTCTGCCGCATAAATAACTTGAATACCATAGTCCTATACTATCGACACCGTTTGATAACTATATCTATTAGCCCCATTATGAGAAAATCTGCTGCCGGCGCCCACCTCGTATCCTCGATAAATATACCAGTTCATCGGATAGTTCTACTACGAGAGCTTTACTCGACCCTCGCGCCCACCAGAATTGATAACCCAACTCATTCAGTTGAACCCCCCAAGTGCATAGATATAAACAATTGCAGCGGTTCTCGTGAGCGCAGCTGTTCGAAAAATTGTCTTTTGCACATGGGCGAGCCAGCCAAGGATCGCGGCCGGATGTGGACTCTGCGCAAATTTAGAGAAGCACAATCGTAACAGCTCGATTGTCTCGTGGTTGCTATTCCAACTCTCAGTGTGGGGCTCAGCGATGAGATAGTTCAACTCATCCAGCTGTCTGAGGGCTGCATTCGTTTCCGGACCAAGCTTCCCCGTCTGCATCTGCCAGAAGTCGTAGTTTGAGAATATGCTGCAATGTTTAGTTTAAGCCTACTACCTAGGTAGGTACGACTAGTAGTAGATTTATGGGCTGGAATTGCCGGAAAGATGTGTATTCTTTCTAAATCATTTACGAGTGCCAAGGCCGAAATTAGATGAGAGTATCAAAACGAACGCGAACACGAACACGATCAATATATTCAATGATTTATATGCTGCCCAGGTGTCGTTTACTACTAGAATTAGTGCTAGTACTAGTACTAACTATATATACTACTAGTTCGAAGGGTAGGGATTTTCAATTACACGAGGGCCTATAACTGCTTCCAACCCAAAATTCTTCCCCAGTCCCATTTAGTACCACCTGGGTATTCTCGTCGCACATAATGTCATCCATGTACAGATTTCAGCCCGGGGACCAGGTCGAAGCCACAACTTACGGCTACTATCCATGGATCCAAATGCAGGCGCAAACTTTTTTTTCGCCATATTTTCGGCTTAGCAGGAATAGCCCAGCTTCTTTTGGCAATATATCATCGAACCTGGGCATTTCTCATTGCGCTGGGGATCGGAGCCTTCATGAAAATGGCAGTGTATATCGGACGGATCGTCTTGCATGACAATGCCTGGTCTACGAATGCCTTCCGCTTACAGATATTTTGTCTCATCCTCGCACCGACGTTCATTGCCGCGGGTATATATTTGATACTTAGGCATATTGTTATCGGTCTAGGTGCCCAGAATTCTCGATAAAAACCGAGACTTTTCACATGGATATCTATAGGATGTGATGTGATCTCCATTTTACCGCAAGCTGCTGCTGGAGGTGGCGCTGCGGATTCTGCTGGGTTCGATAAAGCATGGATGGATGCTGGGAACGCTGTTATCACTGTTGGTATAGCACTCCAGGTTGCGACGATGTCAGCGTGTGGTTTGTTAGCGGTTGACTTCTTTGCACTCTGGAGGGATTGCCATCGCCAGAGAAAAAGCGAGGGTGCGCCTTTCAGTGACAGTCGCAATAAACGAATACTGAACATGCCCATCGCCGAGATGGTGGCATATCTCATGGTTCTCGTCCGTTGCGTATATCGTTGGGTAGTACTAATTTTTCGATCTTACTAAATTACTCTTCTCACAAATGATATTTAGTCTTCCCGAAATGGCTGCTGGTTTGGGGAGTTCCTTGATGCGCAACGAGATGGAGTTCATGATTCTTGATGGCGCGAGTCTGGTCAATATATTGCCTTTGAATCCAGCGTTAACTAGTCTAGTACATATTATCGTTCTATCTCTATTGACCTTTGAGCATTTTCCACCCTGGAGGACGCCTTCGTACCCTGCGTACCGCGGGGCAAGTTGATGAACGGAATGCCTAAGATATTAAAGTTTCGATGGGTTTACTAATGCGGATTATTGCCCTAATATCATCTACCTTATATTGTGGGTTGAGACAGATGCTAGTAGTAATATCATCAGATGCTAGAACAGGACATGAGCCTATGAGCTCCTAGAAGAGACAAAATCGGTCGCACAGTAATAGATCGAAACCAAACATACCACACTACCCGGAGCCGCGCCGCTGCTCCGATTAACGCCAGAAAAATTGAACACTCAACAATCAACAAAGAAATTCCATATATACCCCCAACAGGAAGAGAAGCCTCGCAAAAAAAAAAGAGATAGGATCGTGTCATGTCGCAAGTTTCGCAAAGAATCGGCAGAATCAAATGAGAATAAAGAGATAATTCACACATTGGAGAAGAGAGACAATCGTGTGCACATAAACCGATGCTAGTTGTAAGGCCGTTTTAACGCCAACGCCAGAGGTCCCAGACCTAAAAACCAAGATGGAGAACAAGTAATTCGCTCAAACGACAGGGAAAATGCACTTAATCAGCGAAGGACAGACAATAGCATGGAGTAGCATATTGCGCCTTTGCTGTGTATGTCTGCTGAGCGCCACCTTTGCTATCGATATACGTAGTGGTTGGGGTTGGCTCATTTTCCTTGATATCGATGGTTTTATATGGAATAGGCGATGCGTGACCAACAGAGTCCACTTCCATTTGCTGACAATAGGGTGCGACTGCTCCTGGCTGGTCACGTCGTTCGTCGACTTTGATCTTTCGCGGATAGTTCGGAATCGAGACTTCCCGCTTGGACGCACTATTGGCAGCAGCAGTACTGGCGGCCATTTGATCGTTGGTGGAAGCAGTGGCATCTGTGGAAGTTCCCGAGGTTGTTTGGTTGACATAGATAAAGAATTCCATCTGCGTTTGATTCCACCAGCAGAACCACGGTTTATCGCCGGGCTGTGCGACTTCTTTGCGACTCAACAAGCTCAAGAACGCCTCGTCCCCCGCCCATGCCCGCGCGGATACAGAGGAGCTTGGTTGGAATTTTGAGTCGGGCACGACGACCAACTTGTCGAATTTGGCCTCGAAGAAGAGAGCAGGGCCCAGGTTGGTATCGCTGGTGTCAATTGCGAAGCCCAATTTAATTGCAGGTTGGGTCATATAAGGTGGCTGAGCCCCGTAGCTGAAACTTGAGGTCGGGGTGGGGTTAGGGAATATGATGGTGTGGTGGTGATCGCCATCATCGGTATTTTCAGAAACGGTGACTTCGAGGTGGCTCGGCTTGTCCATGCATTTCCAAGCACTCTTCATTGTATCGTCGTCGACGCACATTCCCGAAGAATTCTGATGTATCATTGGAACATAAAATGTGCCCGTTGGAACCGATTTGAGGTTGCTGGGCGTACCGGTCATCGTTGAATAGTCCTTCTGTGGCGTTGCAGTGACTGTCACGATGTGAGGACCACTCGATGAAGCCGCAGCAGCCTCTTTGTCAGCCTCCGCAGCACGCTTGGTACCCAAGACACCCCCGATCACACCGCCAATGGATCCTCCGATGAGCATCACAGTACAAATTAGTACGAGGGTCCAGACCGGAAGACCACAGCATACTGTCTTCTTGCCTTTTTGTTTGAGCTTCTCCTCGAACGCCATGATACCCGTTGCCGCTGCAGCCCTCTGGCCGGCACTGCTGCGGTTATTGTTCCCGCCATTCTGATCACTGCCGCCATTCCCAGAATTTCCAGTATAATCAGCAACAAGGGGTCGAGATGACGTCTCCGAGATGGGTGGTTGCTCCCTTGAGACCGAATTGAGCTGGTGATCCTCGGGTGTAGAGTTCATATCGGCCATGTTCTCTGGGGTTGGGGGTTTCGGAATGACCCCAGTCGGATATCTTGAATAGGGTGGTAGCGGTTCCGTGTGACCATCTGGCCCGATGATGTCTCCAACATCGTCATCACGACGACTCTGCGGCGGTTGGTAAGGTGGGTTGTGACCAGGGAATCCGACAGGGATCACATGATCGTCATCCATCCCTTCTTCGACAACGTTTTGAGTGTACATGGCGTAGGGATGTTGAGGAGCGGCTGTTTCGCCAAGAGGGCGATCGGGCTGACGAATGGTCGAAGTGCTTCCTACACTCGGGGAGCGGCTGACACCAACCTGAGGGTACATAGCATAGGGATGACTGGGCCCAGTGGCTCCAGTATAGGGGCTTAGGGCCCGGGGTATCGAAAAACGGGAAGAGACACTTTGGTTTCGCTGAGCGACAAAGGGGGAATTGTTGACAGAGTTGATGGAATTGCGATTGTTGGAAAATGCACCTACCCCCTTCTGAGGGAGGCTTGATCGGTGGGCCTCCTCAAAAGAGACGCGGGCGTCATCGGCGAATGGATTCTCATTCTCGGTGGTCGCAGTGCTAACGGCCTTCTGGGGGTGATGAGTTGAGCGAAGAGTAGTTGAGGAGGCGATGGAGGCGGGGCTAGGGGCACGTTCGATCTGATCGACATCGATCGGTTCTAATGAGTATTCATCGGAAAAGACATTGGGGTTGGAGACGCGTGAGTTGCGACTGAAGGAGTGGCGAGGCATCGACATCGAGTCGCGAGTCTGTCCTTGGGAAAGGCGTGGGTTCTGAGATGACCGTGATGCGGAGCGAGAATGGTGTCCAGACATTGTCTCCCCTAGTTACGGTAGCCCTATCGGGCCACCTCTTGAATCGGGTTTCAATCCGTTTCGTAAGTTAGCCCGGGGGAGGGGAGTTTGGGGCGATGAGTGGCGAGAAGAGACGATATGGTGGGGATGTGAGTAGTTCTATTGTTGTTGTTGAAGAAGGGAGGGGGGGGGGAGGTTGGGAGGAAGAAGTCGAAAGAGGGCGAAGAACGAGCGAAGGGCGAATAGTGTTGGGTGTTGATGATGGAGGTGGAGGTGGATGAGGAAGGGGAAGGTCGAATTGGATGATGTGAGAGCGAAGGGGGCCGGGGATTCTGGGTTTGAGACTTAGTGTGACGGCGGTAATACGTCGCGGGAGGGGGTGTCGCAGTGTTGCAGGCCACCCAAGGCCCTGTTCCGTACGTACCGCCTGAAACATTCAGTACGAGTACGAGCATTCAAGACTGTGCCTCTCTCTCCAGAAGTACAAGTACGAGTACAGTACGGAGTAGCTACCGAGTACATACATCCTCCATCTCTATTGATTACGAGTACTTCGTACTATCTGGGCTCTTCTACCTTTCATACATCAAACACTCCTCTTCCTTTCCACAAGACCCTACCCTGAAGACCCTGCCCATGAAGAATCCCCATCTGAGAGGGACCCTTTCACTGGGCATGATCGACTTGGGACCTCCTCCGTGTGCGCTACAGCCACTAGGGCGACCGGACTAGCGACTAGATCCTCCTTTGGCCTGCACGCGGTGGGTCTGGGCATCGCCACCACCCACCCCGGCTTGGGAAACAACGCAGTCTCTGATGTTGTCACCGAAAATGGTCTAGACATTGGATTGGTCTTGAATCTCAGCCTTGTCTTAAGGTGGCCTTTCTACTCCGTATGTATCTGCCATTTCGTGTGTTTATCTCTTCCGGACGGCTCATTATTATCTCATTCACCCTCAATGACTCTCCCCAAGCACTTTACAGGCCCCCAAACTGAACCCGAGGGACCGACACGAACCGACTCTCACTGTATGACGGTGGATCACAACTCTACACAGCCAACGGTTCTAACATCGCGTTCCGCTCGGCAAGTCATGGCCAAAACTTGGCTGCCAGCAAACCCACCGGCGTGTGAAAAACTCAATCTTGGCCAACTGGGGGGTTTTCCACCATCGACCTCTTACATGTAGCCCTGCTGGGCATGGCGGATATCTCGGATCTTGCATACATGAACACTGACACACAGAACACAGCCGGACTAATTGTTAGCCGTGCGGATTCTATACGAGTATACTACGGAGTAACGGAGTACTCAACTCGACTTATTTTTAGGACCTTGGATGTGGTCTAAGCTGAAACTGCGTAATAGGAAAGACAAGAAAACACAAATACTTCTTCTCTTGTTCGCGACCGATGCTCGGCTTGGGCAACCACCAAGCTCCAGATCGCGTTTCATCATTGCATCCCCTGATCCATGCATAACCTGATTGCGAAAATCGTTGTCGGTTAACTAGAAATCCTGACGGAGGACCCGTGGAACGAGTCAGAATAGCATCTGGAAAAAGACAGGGCCACCGCCAAGAATAGTTTAGGGCTTTCGGCTCCCTCCCGACATGGAGTTCGCGGACTTGTGTGTCTGGGCTGGATCCTGACCGAGTCCTGGCGCACATGCTCGCCGTCGTGAAACTTCGGGCGATGACGGCGTTTCAGCTCCTTTGCTGTTGCTGAGCGACTCAACATGCCTCAACGCGGGGTATGAATCAGGTGTGCGTAACGCAGGGCCCGCATCCAGGAACGGTTCCATATTTTTTTTTCTTTCGAATGGGCCTTGATCGACCTCACTGTCTTAGCCGACAGAGGCCTGGACCGATGTTTGTTGTCTGGACCATCTCCTCGTCACAGGTAGCCCTGGCGCTTAGATGTACCCAGTTGCCCAATACGATCCCCTGCTCACTTCGTTGGCCAGACCTCAGGACGCGAAGAAGTGTCCCGATTGAGTGACTCTTCTGGCTGCGTGCGTACGATGATGTGATGCCACAATGTGATGGGCCATGGCGCCTGCCCTCAAAGGATCGATTGGTCCACGTTCAGTAGTACCCAGCCCTATGTAAATCTTGGTTATTGGGTCTGAAAAATCGTTTCCAAATGGTCCAGCAGCTCAAATTCCAGTCAACCCAAATGCAAACGCCCGTCATTACCCAGGGTTCTCAGTAACGAAACAATTGTACTATCTAACGGTTGGTTTACCAGGAATTTTCTAGAAGCCCGTCCTAATCCCCTTTCCTTTTTACGTGCGTCCATTTGCAAGATATCAGTAGGGACTCCATCAACGAACCGTTGCAATACGATAAGAGTGACACTTGTCCAAGGTTGGCACGATGTAGCTCTTAATGTGCGGCGGGTTGCAAAAGGTACCTGAGAATGATCATATTCTACTTTCCCTTTGCTTCTGACTTGTCACCATCGGTATTGCATGGAGTAAACCTCGCGATCCAGGTGCTACGTTGATACCGTAGTAGGTAGCCAAGTAGAATAATGGGAACGAATCCTTGTAACCTTTGAAGGATCAAAAATACTTTGAAGCCCCTAAATCGTCATTCCGATGAATCAGATTATGGTCAACTAAGCGCGATCTTGTGAACTACAACCTTTCGCCTATAGGACATCAAGAAACTGTATAAACATGAACGATATCATAGAAGGAACAGCATCATTTGCGATCCTTTAAATGGGCTTTTAAACTGGACCAACGAAAGGCGATGATCATAAAGATCAAGCACACCTCGGATATTCACGACATCGAGCTAGAATCAGCGCTATGAGAGAGGGTTCTCCAACCTGTGGCTATCAACTAATCTAGCGGCCCCAGACGCCTCGAAGTCTTAGCTCGAACATCACCCTAGCGTGGAGTCTCCTCAAATCAACCTAGGAGTTCACGAAGGGAATGAATCTCCACTAAATACCGAGCTATGAGCAGCAGACTAGATGTAAGCAAACAGGAGCCGTCTTGCTACTGTATAATTGGACTGGATATGCAGTTGAGACTAATATTCTTACGAATACGCGTCGGGTGAATTAAGGTGGTATCCTACAGGGGGCTCGCCTCCACTATTAAGGTCCGAGGCTTTTTTTTATATTTTTATTTTCGTTCATTTTATTTTATTTTATTTATTTATTTAAAAAAGAACACGGTGTATTTCTGCGTCAAAAGGGATTGAGTATTTAGACAAATACATACGAACGGAACATGAGTACGTACATAGATAAAGGCTTTGGTATGTTTTCGCAAGAGAACGTGTCAGAGGCATGCGCAAGGGAGACAAGCAAAGCCTCGAAAGGGATTGGATGTTCGGCCCCGTTTTCCCCTCCTCTTCTCCAGCTCCTCTCCACTTCCCAATTGTTTCCCGAAGATAGCATCCCCATCCACCACTTCAGGATTGGCTTACATGGGTATATCTAACCTGGTCTCCAGCCATGAAAGGTCGAGTACTGTAACCACTGGCATAGAGTAACCCGCTGACCAAGGGCCGCACTTGTCCTAGCTATACACTCCCTTGATCCCGAGAGTAATGATGTTCTCAGTTTAGGGAAACCTGTCTAGAGTCATGAGACCCTGTTCCAAGCTGGGGTTCTGTGCCGCATCTGATACTTTCTATCTAAGGGCTCACTACTCAATTCTGCTACGTCGGAGCGCAGGTTGCCGTGGCCGGTTATTTTATCAGCCTCTGTGTCGATGCTGGACGGAGGTCGTCTGAAAGTTGTGAGTTAATGGCTTTTCAACTTTGTATGGCCCACGAGTTTCTAACTTGATAATCCTAACCGATTCTACTTGCCGTTACACAAGGCTTGTATCCTTTCATGCGATTCTTAGCTGGTGGCATAATGATGATGATGATGATGATGATTATGATTAAAGCTTTCGAGCCCCGCTATATGCTGACCGTTTATTTGACCCTTTGCATTGTGGTTTCTATCACTGCTATACCAACCCATGGGATCGCATCCATTGATATGATTATCCTTGTCTTGTGCTTTGAGTCGGTAAGTCATGGTCCACGAACCGTAGGAGCGATCGTTTCGACATTCCATACAGTGCTGTTTCGCAACCATTTTTACCCTGGGTCTTTGTGGCATCGGTCAAGTTCGGTGATTATTTGCTTGTTGCGGCAATCTCCGGTGGCATGGTCTTTACCCCAATGATGAGGGCTATTGTGGACAAGAAGGGTGCTGCCATCTGGGCTTGGTTATCCCCTTGATGGGATATATTCTTGTGATGGTCTCCCCTATTTACGTCAATATCTACAAAAGGTACACCGTGGATTTGAATGATGATAAAGAGCTTAACATCATCGTCCAGGCGAGCAAGGATTTGCAACTGGAAGAGGGTATACAAGACAGGCCTGCAGATTCCAATATCGAAACAGTAACCGGAAGTGAACTTGAATGATATATTAGTTATCATGGAATATATAGAGAACAATGAAGCTATTAGTGTATTCATGGAATGTCTACTAGTAGTACATAATTGGTTCAGGAATAAATATGCTGTTGTGATTAACTTCCTTTATATGATCTGCATTTCGGGATGGGCCAACTTCAGTGCTCGAGGATTTTGCTGGCTTGCTTCTTCAACCAGATTCGATCATCAGCCAAGCCAATAAAATAGAAATAACGAATATAATTTCCATTCGGTTTGATATACAGCACCGTATTCAATACGTGGCCTTCGCGGTATTGATACGAGTAGTAGTCGTTGCATATTGCGCCGAGCCTATCTTGCTGGAGTAGACGTCGATTTTCGCTGCATCGGGGAGTCGGGGGCACCTTCAAGAATCAAGAGCACCTAGGTCCTCTACTGGTAATAGAGATGACACTATTCGTACATACCTTGGACACTTTTACCGCCACACCGTTCACCGCTTCCCACCGGTCGTCACCGCCCGCCCATATTGACAGCCATTTGCTGATCCGGGCTCTAGCTCTCTTGCGCCTGTCCATCATTGTCCATTAGTTGACTGGCCCCCATTCTGCTGCATTCGCAGCACCTTTGCGATATGTCGGACGATACAAAGGGAAAGCCATTCCCTGGAGTCTCTGCCAAACTCTCCGCACTCCCAAAGAAATCGCTATTCGAACGTCAGAAAGCTGATGCTGAAGCTAAACGCGCCCGCGAAAAGGCCGAAACTGCCGCCGTGTACGAAGACTTTGTGAAGTCATTTGAAGATGATGTACCTGAAGGCCCCCGAGCTTCAGACGGACGGCCGAATACCTTTGGAGGAAGGGGTGGTGCATTCGGAGGAGGTCCTCCCCGACGACACTTCACCAACTCTGGACCACGCAGTAGTGGCCCAGGAAGCCTAGGTCCACCACCGCCGTCGCTGTCTCGGAAGAGACCTCATGAGGGGTATGTGGCACAGCCACGCGGCCGGGACACTGCTCAAGGGGTGTTGGGATATGACCATTCAGGGCATGTTTCATCTGGACCCTCGCTCGGATTCCGCAGCCCTTCGGATGATGAAGATGATCGGACTGCTGAAGCAAAGGAGGCCGAGAAGGCTGCCGCCAGACCTACACTATACCTCGCATCACTTCCTCCCGGGACATCGCCGTCTGTTCTCAAATCATTGATCACCTCCCCTCTTGTCGTCGGGAACGTCCACATCCTCCGCCCGCAAAACCAATCCCCAACAGAGCGAAAATCGGTGGCTGCAATCATTACCCTTGCTAGTGATTCGGCAGCCTCAGACATTGATAGCGCCGTGAGCTCGCTTCAAAACAAGTATCTTGGCCGGGGATACTATCTAACGCTCTCCCGTCATCTTTCATCGGCAGCAATTAGCTCAAATATGCCTTCAAATATCAACATGACAAACACCAGCTCACTCCCTTTTGGCGCAAAGAATATCCAACCCAACTTTGGAGGAGGAAACCTCAGCCGGGCACCACCGCCAGGCTCACATCGCGGGGGCTTTGCACCCCCGAGCTCATATGGACCAATTCCGGGCCGAGCTGTCCAAGCTACACAAGTCGAAGTGAAGGCGCCGACAGACGTCAAGCAATTACGTTTGATTCACAAAACCTTGGAGAATCTCCTTAATCATGGCCCCGAATTTGAGGCCCTGCTTATGAGCCGACCGGAAGTCCAGAGAGAGGAAAAATGGGCTTGGATTTGGGACGCAAGAAGTCCTGGTGGGGTTTATTATCGCTGGAAGTTATGGCAGCTCATCACAAACCCCCGATCTCACGGCAATCGAAAGTCAAAGAGTCAAAAGCCGTCGTCTGTTTTTGAGGATGGAGCCAGCTGGGTTCCCCCGGAAAGAGATATTAAATTCGAGTTCACAACACGTCTTGACGAAATTATCTCTGACGAAGACTACAACTCTTCCGACGAGGAGCAGTCGGATGGTGAAGATGAACGACGAAATCTTGGAGGAGCACCGCCTCCAGAGGGAGGGAATGGCCCAAATGATGGAACCGGGTACATGAACCCGTTACAAAAGGCCAAGCTCACTCATCTACTTGCGCGCCTACCGACAACCCATGCTAGACTCCGACGAGGCGATATCGCGCGGACTACTGCTTTTGCCATCGAACACGCCGGACTGGGTGCCGACGAAGTTGTTGATATGATTGTCCTGAATATTCTCAGCCCGCTGGCCTATACTGGTGCCAATCCTGACCGAGATTTAGAAAATGATGCAGCAAATCGGGAGAGTCACGCGAAAGATAATGATAATCCCTCTAAAGGAAAAATGGACCTCTCAGCGGCCAAATTGGTCGGGTTATACACCATCTCTGATATCCTCTCATCATCAGCCACCAGTGGGGTTCGCCATGCCTGGCGATATCGGCAGCTTTTCGAATTAGCCTTACGCTCGCACAAGGTCTTTGAACACCTTGGTCGGCTTGAGAAAGACCTTCATTGGGGACGACTCAAGGCAGAGAAATGGAAGCGGAGCGTAGGAACCCTACTTCACCTCTGGGAAGGGTGGTGTGTTTTTCCGCAGTCAAGTCACGAGCATTTTGTCCAGATGTTTGAGCAACCACCTCTCACCGACGAAGAGTTACAAAAAGAGAAGGAGAAGGCAGAAGCTGAACAAGCCAGTAACGCCTTTTCTAAGAAAAAGAACCGATGGAAGACGGTTGACGATGAAGACCCGGGATCCAGTTATTTCGATCAAAGCGGGCCATCCGAGATAGAAATCACAGCTCATCGGGCACCTGGCGGGGCATATCCTGCCGAAGACGAATCAATGAGCGACATCGACGGCGTTCCCATGGAGGACAGTGATTTGGAGATGCCCGACGAAGGAGAGCCGATGGAGGAAGAAAGCACGCAACGAGATAGCGACGTTGTGATGAAGCAACCACCAGAGCAGCCCGAAGATGTCACCGGGCAGCAAAATCCAGAACCAGAAAAACGAGAACCCGCCTCCCGACGTCCTCGAAGGCCACGGCCCAAAGCCGAGGACATGTTTGCGTCAGACTCGGAGTGAGTTGTTCGCGCAGGGTGTGGTAAGGTAGAGATAGCAACGAACGCAATGATACCAAGTCCTTTGCAGGATTATTTAAATGGCATCCTGCCCCAGTGCGTAGTAACAGATCTTTCCATTGCAATTACTTTCATCGTACTAGTAACTAATCAGATTGTACTAGAGTACTACTATACTGCTACTACTCGACTTGGGCAAGCAGCCAGGCAGCCAGGCAGCAACGGCAGAATTCGAGCCCCACAGAGGACATCGCCCCTCCCGCATCAACAAATACCTTTCTCAGCACTCTACCCTCCCAGCTTTCTATACAGTCATATCTCCTCTCACATTTTCTCAACCTCCTCTCTACAAAATGGCCGGTAAGTCTCACAATTTGTGAAGTCCCCATCTTCCACTTTGATCATTTTACCCCTCTATGCGCGTGGGGGGTAGATCTTTGCATCCCACCTCGCTGGCCAGCATGGATTGCGCCATGCAAGATACAGCAGCAACCAGATGGAAATGAAGACATACAGTTATATAAAAAGAAGCAGAATTGACTAACATAATTCTTCAATCTAGACTTCACCGCTGTCGCTCGTACGTGGCCCTCCATCCCCTATTGCCGATGCCCCCGCGCACAATCCCTGCCCCGCGCCGCTGAGAGAAGCCTTCTCCTCAAATGGCCAACGAAGCCGTCGTTCCCCGTTTGCGAGCCATAAATCTGACCAATGACTTTCAACCTTGCAGAACAGTTCGTTGAGTTCTACTACCAGACCTTCGACTCCAACCGCGGCGGTCTGGCTCCTCTCTACGTAAGATCTTATGTCCCGCCCCGTGCGCCGCCAACCTCCCAACGGCAATTGATCTATTGAGCTTTGGTTACTAATTACGATTATTCTAAATTAGCGTGATAACTCGATGCTCACCTTCGAGACCTCCTCCGTCCAGGGTACCGCCGGCATCGTCGAGAAGCTGACCGTTCGTCCTCCCCCATTCCATTCGGCTTGAAACTTCCGGAGTTCTCGCACCACCGACAGGAAGCAGATATACTAATAGCTATCTCCAATCAATAGAGCCTTCCCTTCCAGCAGGTGCGCCACCAGATTGCCACCTTTGACGCCCAGCCTTCTAGCGAGGGAGGCATCGTTGTCTTGGTTACCGGTGGTCTTCTTGTGCGTCAACTAAGTCCAATATCTCATCCACGAATCGCCCCAATACTGACGCTTTGAAACAGGTTGATGAGGAGCAGAAGCCCATGAGCTATACCCAGTGCTTCAACCTCCAACCCGATGGCCAGGGCAGCTTCTTCGTCCTGAACGACGTCTTCCGTCTGATCTACGCTGCCTAAGAAAGGGCGTGCGAACGAACAAGATTATTTTGCAACGACGCGATGACGGGGGGGGGGGGGGGCAGAGATTTTCTTTGCAGGGTGGGCGAGGGGACTTCAGCCTAGTTATTGGCATTTTTTAAACCCATACGGGATGCTCCTGGATAAGATACAAGCCCACTTTGGTTCGCACAAGTCGAACATATCAAATATTCTCATTTTGGGCCTCCACTGCTTCATTGTACTTTGTCTTTTATTTTCTATGCTATCTATTAGACGGGCTATAGAAAACGCGAGATTGTAAGATCTACCAGTACATCTACCAGATCCAAGTCGTAAGCTTACTACTGACTCTGCAGAAGCGGAGTCTCTTCAGACGGCCGCTCCGCATCTACCGATTCCCGTGCAGCAGGCGTCTCAGGCCGTTCAGAGGCGGTCCCATTGGACGGGGTGTCGGTTTCATCAGTCTGGTGCTTTCGTTTCCCGTTCGGGCCAAAGTATTCAAAATAGATAGCCATGGCCAACAGTGTTCCCTGTAGACATGCAGTCACCACCAACACGCCCCATATACTCCAGCCCTTCAGCCCTTCCCGTGCTGCCAAACTGGAGGCCCAGATCAAACTACCGGGGGTTTGAATGCACATCATCGGGATGCTGAGACTCCCTACGCAGCGAAGCCGAAAGGTAGTGTAGATCTGCGGGAAGTACTGAATAGACGCGAGGATAGCAGCGAGAATGCCGAGGAAGTTTGCCCAGGACTGCATGGCGGATGGATTCTGGAGGGCAAAGGCGACGGAGAGGATGACTGTAACCAGGGCATGGAGGATGCAGATAGCACTTATGGACAAGGCGGTGCGATAGGTGTGGCCGTTGGTCGAGGACACGGGGCTGACAGGGTCGGTCGGGGAGGTCGCGCGAGGGAAATAGATTACAAAGAGAAGAAGACTGCGGGCAGTAAGTGAGTGATCAGAGTTGCTCGGCATTGGTAGCAAAGTGAGCTTACATGGAGAAAAAGCAAAGCCACTGCATGCCCACCTGGAACACGCCCAGTAACCCTGCGAAACATGCCATCCCGCTAATCTGCTGGCAACACCCGATATCCTGCGACGTCTTAGGGAAGACTAGGATATTCGCAAATGCCGACGTGCCTGAAGTTGTTCCCAGTAGAATGAAGTAGGGCGATATGCCAAAGGAGCTTTTGCGTGATATGATACGGGCATGCTGGGGAAGGTAGGAGAAGAGGATACCAAAAATGATCAAGCTGGGGGTCCGTCGTTAGTATATAGGATTCTTTCGAGAGATAGTCGACAGAGGGACATTACACAGAAAGAATGGGTTGGAAAATGCCAGGCGAGGCCAGCTCACGGCAGTGTGGTGTGAGGGGATCCATGGGGTGTAGTGTAGGTCGTTAAGGATCGCAGGTCGGGGGTGGAGTGAGAGTTATGGAGCTTCTCGGGATGACGTCGCAGGCTACCACAAGGTGGCGGCCGCCCTTTGTGACAGGGTTGGCCGGATATTCAAGCTCTTCTTATGCTGGGTCTTCCCACTTCACATGGGGAACTCTTGTGTACTCCACAGACAAGTAGGTGTACCTTTTGGTTTATCTGCAGGAGTGCCCGACTGAGAAGATTGAGGGAACAGGGGGAAGCAAGCGTGCCTGGTCAGGGTGGCCCCGCATCGAACTAGCGCCGAGCCAAATTCACACTCCTACAAGTAGGTGGTTGATCCAACAGACTGAACTGTAACTTGATTTGGAGGATAAAACTACTTATTATTGACACGCCAACATCAAAGTAAGCCCCCAAAATAAAATAAAAGTCCCGAAGAAAGCCTCAAGAGAAAAATCAGAAATCATATCGTCGTGATCAAAGAAAAGTCAATGATCGAATGCGCATGCCATATCACATTTCCACTTTCCTATTCATCTAGCTTTTTACAGCTCTCCGCGCAGTCGCTGCGTCTCATCCGAGACCTTCTCGCGGACCTTTTCAGCGGCTTCCTGGCCCTGCGCACGACCACCAGAAGCTCCAATCTTGACTTGGTCCAGAGCCCAGTGCAAAGTATCCATGAACTTGGCGTAAATTGTCTCAGATGGGTTGGTGGTTCCATATCTGAAGTATGTGGCGTGGCGTCGGGCTGCTGCGCGGAGCTCATTGATGCTCGAGCCCTGGTAGACTGGAATTCCATATGAGTCAAGATACTGTTTGATATCGGAGTGCGACCACTGGTCAAAGGTGGTTTCCTTGACGGAGCCGGTGGCTTGGGCAATTGATGAGGTGGCAGATGCGTAATGCTGGCCGCCAGCCTTGGATGCCTTTGCGTATGAGTCCTTGGCGTGCTTGATCAGTTCCTCGCGGGAGGCATCGGCTTTCTTTGCGGCCTTAGCATTCATCGCAGAGAGATATTTCCTAGAGAGTCATGTTAGAGCAACTCTAATCAAGGTGGGTAAGATCCCTTACAGTAGATGTTCCTTGTCCCAAGTATCAAAGTTGTATTGGTTGAATCCACCGGCGGCCTTGTGGGCGTTGGCGCGAACCTTCGCAATAAGCTCATCACGCTTGCCATGTTGGGGAACAGGAACGCCTCGGGCATCCAGGAAGGCCTTGAGGCGGGAATCCGACCACAACTTAATTGCAGCGTTGAACTCATGCTCAGCCTTCAGCTTCACATCATCGGTAGCACGGGCATATTCGTTTCCAGCTCTGGTAGTAGCGGCACCAACTGTATCCGCGGCAGCAGCAGAAGCACTGGCAGCTTTGTCGACGAGGAAGGCGCGGTGCTTACGGGAAAGGGCGATGAGTTCATTGCGCTTAGAACCTTGGGGTACCTTGATATTGTGTTCATCAAGGAATTCCTTCAACTTAGAATCAGACCAGGCATTGAAAAGCTCATCGCTCAGTGATGCCTGAGCAGCTTGAGCAGATGCGGCAGCCGATGCTGAGATGGATTTGGCCTGAAGGCTAGCCAGGCGAGAGTTGCGGCGCACGGAAGCAATAAGCTTGTCGCGGCTCGTAGGCTGGGGAGCAGGCCATCCGCGCTCATCAAGCCACCCCTTGAGGTCAGACTCGGTCCATTGTTCGTACAGCCAGTTACCGGGGTAAGCTGCGGTCTCGCCGGCCTTCTTTGCGACTAGTTCGTAGTTCTCGCGTGCGGCCTTGACCAGTACGTCGTGCTTGCGGGGCTGGGGTGCAGGAATGCCGTGACGATCGAGGAATGCCTTCAACTGCGAATCCGACCAACTGCCATCCAAGTTAATTACAGTTCACATTGTCACGAAAGGTGGAAAAGCATCTTACGTATCAAAGACCCATTCCTTCGCGTAATAAAATTCGTCAGAGACTTGATCCGCAGCATGACCGAGGGGCTTTTGAACTCGGCTATCCCAGTTGGTTTTCACAAGATTTTCGAGATCCCTGCGGTCGGCAGGGCTAGGGTAGGGGATATCTGTTTGGACTATGTCAATGTTTCTTGCCAGGTAAGTTGGAAGTACGATAACTGGTCATCCCTACCATGATCTGAGAGCCATCGCTCCAGCTCAGTTTCGTGCCATTTGTTGTAGACTAGGGCGATGTCAGTACCCATCGATCGGTGTGTATCTTGACGTGACGCACCAGCTTTGCTCCACCAACTCGAAGCTGCAACAACTTCGGTGGTGGCGAGTAAAAACACCAGACCTGAGGCCAGGTGGAATCTCATGTTGATGGTTGTTGGACTTGAGCTATTATCAAAGTAGCTGGAGGTGGAAGCTAGGTTAGTATAGCGTAACTGTGGGTCGGGTAGTCCAAAGTGAGGTTTGACGTACTATCAACAGGTGAGGAAGGGAAAAACCTAAGGCCAGGCGCACGAAGGTTTTAAATATGAGCGCTCAGATCGTGATGAAAGGGGCAACAATTGGAGTTGGAACAGAACAGGGTGTAGACAGGGAAAAAGCATTGAGCAGGGATGATCGCGCAGTGACGTAGTGGGAACAATTTGGCTGGTTGGCTTGGCGGGGCCCAGGTCTGGTACATGATTCATCAGGCTGGGCTCTTTCAAGTTCCCATTCTTCCCCAAATTTGCATTCGCGTCATCGCTTTTTGTTTTCTGCTTCGCCTTCCTTTGTTAGATATCACCACCGCCTTCAGCCCGAATCCGCCCTTGCATTGTGGTGGTTCTGTGTCTTGCGTTTCGAAAGTAGAGACAGAATCGATCGAGTATATAGGCTTGATGTATCGGGATTTCTAATAATTCGGTACAAATTTACCATCTATACACTCTCATAAGTCTTATCTTAACAGAGGCCTTATATCTTGGTTTTCACGAGTCTGAGCCGGAGTTGTCTTGTCTTGTCTTCTCGTCTACCGATCGAAGCACCAAATGATATACATCGCCAACCGACCAATCAGCATTCAGAACACCACAGCGGCTCTGAGGAACGCCGCTTTCGGTCATCATTGTAACCTCCATGCCTTCTAGATTGAGCAATCACTATGATTTAAAGTTTCTGGTGTGGACTTTTACTCAATTTGCAGTGGCATAAGCTGTGGACCTGTGGTAGGTTACATGATCAACCATCTTGACGACTGCGGTGATTACTACTCCGTGAGATGGATGCTGTATATATACTAGTATTGCTCGAAGTGCCCTTACAGTTCGAGTTCCACTTGGTAAAGCACTGGCAGTCATGCTTCAAAATACTTCAAGTTCGCGACCCGATGATTTCATGAGCAAGAAGCTCGTAGCTTTCTGCTTATTTTCTATTGGATTCACTGTCTGGCTTTTATTTGGAGCACCACCGCCAAACAACTTGAACGTTCCCGATATTGAAGCAGATCAGCAGCAACAATCTATCTACAAGGGTCGACATGCTATCAGTACCTTCTTAACTTCAAAGGCTGATGAAGCCGAAACCGAAATTGATGACGAGGATGGATACTTTGTGAGCACCCGAATTCTGGTCTACCAGCTGCTTCATTCGCCGAGCACGAAGCTACGGGACCCAGTACCTATCATTGTTTTGGTCACTCCGGAGGTCCGCGAGAACAAACGTCATAGATTGCGAGAAGATGGAGCGATTGTCATTGAGGTGGACCATGTAGCCCACAGCATGCCAGTGACGCTCTCACGGTGGTCGGAAATGGCGACAAAGTTGCGCCTCTTCGATCCAACCGTACTCCCCATACGAGACGGTTCTTTTTCTCGAGGCGGATGTCGTTCTTACGCGGCCCATCGATCGTATTTTTCTGGATCCAAGTACCGAGCCGGTTGAGACAGACAAGACGATCATTGATAACCCGGAGCTGGGTAAGCCGCCGGCAAAATATGTGATGGCCGCATCGGCCGAGTCGTTCCAACGTGAACATGAATACCCATTCTTGGATCGCGAGAACACGGTGCGACATTTCAATGGTGGAGTCTTCATCTATTCGCCTTCATCAGAGCTCTTTAAGTTCTACACCAACCTCTTGAACCTCCCTGAATTATACTATACCGGCGTGCCGGATCAAGATCTCCTCAACCATGCGCATCGCTGGGGAGGACCGATGCCATGGAGACGACTCCACTGGTCCTGGTATATCAACTGGTCCAACGACAATGATTTGAATGGGAAAATGGCGCTTTTGAATGCAAATTGGTGGGGATCGGGCATGAGGACCCCTGCTGTTGAGCAATTTGCTCTTGCCCGCCGCTGGGAGATGGAGGGCTTCTGGATGGGCAAGGCGCACTCCAGTTCCTCTAAGAAATAACACCCCGCAGCTACCCCAATCCGGGTCTTTGTATGATTGAATATCTGCATCAAAATCATACTAGTATCGTACTTTACCTATCTACCAGTAGATGACTGGGTAGGATACCCAGGTACGCTAGGGCAGGGTAGTATAACCAATGTTTATATCTGCTACAGTGCCGACATACTAGGCAGAAGCGTGTTTCTAAACCGAAATAAGAGTTGCCCCAGGGTGTTCCCCAAAGCTCTCCAATGGTGAATCCCTTCACTTCCTTCACTTCTTTCCAACCTTTCCGCACCTGCCACTTCATATTCTATCACTCTTCACTTCACCCACTTTTACCGACTTTCATTCCGTTCAGATATTCTAAGGATTCCCATTTCAACTTGAGCACTATCATGGATACTGAAAATGCAAGTCGTCCACCGTCTTCAGCTATCTTGAGGCAGATGTTTATTTCTAACCTCACTTTCATTCCAGTCTTCCTCCGTCGCTCTCCAGGCTCAAGCAGCCGAGCTCGATCCACCCATTTATCGTCTGCCGAACGAAATCCTTCTCCACCTCGCCGACACGATGAATAACAGCGACATCGCTGTATTGGCCAGAGCAAGCAGATTTTTTTATGCGCTTCTCAACCCCGTGTTGTATGCTAAAGATGCTCGATCTGGTTCCCGCGCTCTGGTCTTTGCCGCTGAAAATGGCCTCATGAGGACTGCACAACTTTCACTTTACAAAGGAGCCAATGCAGATGCTAAAGAAGGCTACCCTTTAGTGAAGGCCCTGGAGAATCGAAACATTGATATGCTTCGGTTGCTTCTAGATGCCGGGGCGGATCCGAATGGTCGTTACTGGAGAAATACATCTGCTCTGCTGTGGTTTCTCAGACCCAAAGACCGGATGTTGTTCAATATACCAGCGCTCCATGAAGATCGAACCCAAAAAAATGGGTCAGATCTCGCCAGAAGACGCTGCATGGAGCACCGTCGCAAATTATCAAAGGCACCTCTGCTTACATTCATGCTGAATCACGAAAGTAGCCACAGAATTGATGTGACGACTCCGGGTCCCCGTGGCTCTACTCCGTTACACTACGCTGCTTACTTTGATTACCATGAAGTTGCGGAGCGCTTGATTCAACTGGGAGCTGATGTTGACGCGACTGATTATGATCTGAAAACACCACTTTTCAACGCTGTTTTAAACCATTCGATCAGAACAGCCGAGGTCTTGTTGAATCACGGCGCGATTGTCGATGTTCGGCCCGGGATTGATAGCTCCACCCCCCTTCATCATACAATAAGCTACGGGATACCCAACAATAGGATGGCAGCGCTTCTGCTAGAATCGGGCGCAGATATCTTAACCCCCGATAGACTCGGGAACACCCCGTTGCATGAAGCTGCGTCCTCAGGTGATTTTCATACTGCACATCGATTGCTTGAGAGGCATGTGGAAATAGAGCCATTGAACCATCAAGGCGAAACCCCGATTCAAATTGCAGCGACCAGAAAACACATGACAATAGTTCAGTTGTTACTGCAGCATGATCCCGATCCTGTCTGCCGAGGTTTATTCCAGAATCTCGACCTAAAAAACTATGGTCAACCACAAGCGTTGCCTCTCTTAGCCCAGAAGCAACTTAACGGACAACTTCTAGCTGCTATTACTTGAGCTGTTTTTCATGGTATCATGGTTTAAGGAATTGTGCAATAAGAGATAAAATATCATTGTTCAGGTTGTTATTAACTCTCAAGTTTATACTTTCTTTTGATGAAAGGGCTGTTCCCAATAGATATGATCGTTAGGGTATTCTGTAGTGTGTGGCCTCGGGACTAGCGTAGTGGGTATCAAAGAAACAACTAGTAGCGAGAGATGGGCCCCTGGCCAAATTTATATAAAGGGTTCCAAAATACGAGTCACAATAAATTTTTTTTAATAAATACAGTATTCCAGGCCAGATTAAGATCAGTATTTTTTAGATACAGTATTCAGGCACCTATAATTACATTGCCCGGAGCCATTACTAGCAGTATTTATACTATTTACTAGTACAAAGCGAACTTGAACGGAATTATAACACACCATAATGCCTAAAAAAAGGAGAAAAGAAAGGAAGAGCGCGCATTTAGATAGCAAACTTGAAGCAATATGTGCTCCTTGGAGGCAAGAACCAAGATGTTTGCAAAAGAGAGGGTGTTTCTAAGGTTGTAGAGCAACTTGAATGAAGAATGCTTGTCACAAGGTGAGAAAATCACAATATATCTATATAAGGCAACCGAAGCATAAAATGATTTACTAAGTTCTAAAATAAGTCTGGAAAGTCTGTATGTTGATAAAAATATGGTTGTATGGCAACAGTATTCAATGGTACTCCAGACTTAATTTCGCCGGCGGCAACATGGCCCAGTAACTCAGGATTGGATAAAAATATGGCGGTAGGTACTAAGAGCCCTGAAGTACTACTACTAGTAATAGCCCTGGAGGGTAGCGGTTTAGATGGCAGGATAGAATGACCGTCCAAGTGAATTGTCAATATGGTCATAATTATTCTCCGAAATGCCAACAATACAATAATACTTGGAGATAACACATATTTTAGTCCTAAAATGAGGAGGCAGCTCAGTCTATTTACAATTGGAGCCGTAGATGAAATACACTATCCATGCTACCGTATTAAGACCCGGAAAAAACTCGAAGTGGGCTTTCTGCAAGTTAAAAAGGCGTAGGCCACTTGTCATATCGAAACCTTCTTCCTTCCCGCTGTCAATCGCTCAAAAAGCCATTCATATCGATAATGCTCATATAGATCTTGTCGATTAAGACTTGGGTGCTTCAGAATCACCCTCAGCCACGAGCTTACCAACCACCAGATACTTTTCGGAGAAGCGGTCTTCCCACGACTGGAGGTTCTCCAGCTGATCGGCATCCAGATCCTTGAGGTCATCCAATGGAGCTGACAGGTCCTCTGTCAGCATCTCAACATCGAAGCTCTGGTGAGCCAAGCCACGCGAGGCGTCGCGGCCGGCGAAGTTCTCGTAAGGGCCGCCCTTTATAACACCGAGCTTGTTAGCAAGTATGTGGTGGAGGGTCTTGATCACATTGAGATCGACGGAGAATGAAATCCACCTACCGGTCCATAGAAGTTTCGGCCAGGGGACACGTCGAATACGCGACCTCGCACGGCTAGGTATACTGGGCGATCATTCTCGCCGTTGAACTCAATCAAGGTCTTGGGAGTGTAGGTGCGGAAAACAACGGGGGGCGGGCCGCGCGGAAGGCTGATGGCTTGCTTTGGGCGGAAATGGTAGTATACCAGAACGACGAAGAGCGAGAGGAGGATGAGGTTGATAGGTGAGGCGACCGACATGCTGTTGGCGGAAGATTAGTACGGGATTCTTTATCCTTGGGGAGATTGACGGATCAACGGGATGACGGACACTTCGGCCGGTGGTACAGAATCCTCTGGATTAGGGCATAATTAGCAGAACTTCAGAAGAAATGGATGCTGAGATGAGACGTAATTACCAACAGAGGCCATGATGGATGGAATGGCAGGAATGTGATATGATGGTAGGGGGTTTTTTTGACAAGACGGGAGAACCGATCGGATTCTGCGGAGGAGCTGCAAAGCGGGGAGGCCGATGTCATTGTTCACGTGATACCGCTTATATGTATACAGATTTGTCGTTGTACTACAGTACAACTACTACTAGTACATTGAATCACTTGAATCACTAATTATCACTAATTATACATGACTGGCTACTGCTTATTGAAACATATGCTCACCGGGACCATGTCCATGTTATTAATAGCCCCTCCAGACTGGCGCCCAAAGTCCCCCCCTCTCATATGAAACGAACTTGCCAACACAGCCCAGTCCCTGAAAGCTCCATGTTTCAACTCCACTCGTCAATCGCCCCCATTTTAATTTGTCGCTACCCACTTAGGGTAGCCTAATAATGCCATGGTGGTTTTTGAAGAAGCGCCTTGTTTTTTTTCCCTTGTCCTTTCTGACAAGTCTGAGTCTGACTGTCTGACAACCTAACAGAGCCCGACACAATAGGCCAAAGTATCTGACTGGCTTGGGTTCAGCTGGTTGGTCGCACCCGCTCTTTGATTCCCGTGGTAAACAAAAGCGTGGTGTAGTGCCAGGCTTCCTTGCTCGTCACCCGCCTTCATTCAGCCTCCTCTCTTCGATTCAGAGAGTACGAGTATCACATCACAGACCGCAATTCCTTGATCTGCAGCAGTCTCTCATCGATTCACCACCACACAGCAGATCAACATGTGGCCTAAAGGACCATTTAGTCGATCGCGACGGCCGGTTGGCAACAACCCCACACTGGATGATATGACGAACGTCTCGGCTTCTGCGGATCCCTCGCTGGTCAACAAGTACTCGTACGCAAAGGACCTGCCCGCCTTGCCAAGGTAAGCGCGCAAACCATCAGTCTGACCTATCCATTTATCCTAATGCCCGTCTTTCGTCTTCTTCGCAGCGCGTCAAGTTCCTCGTTGCCCCAACAGTCCGCAACAACCCTGCCACTCCCGCAGGGTGGTCTTGACGACAAGAGACACTCCGCCGTCTCCCCAGTAGAATCACCAGAAATTGGATCTACAGACAGACGTGATAGTGAAAGCAGCTTCTGCGTCTCGCCGATCAACGAGACGGATCAACCTATTCAACATAACCGCAATAACTCTCGGACCTCTGTCAATGCGCCGCTCCCCCCAACTCGATGCTTCCCCCTTGGCTCCGGAACCCGCACAGCCTATGCCAAAGGCTGTGCAATTCGCGACTCACGAAGATCAAATCCAACCTGTGCGCTGGGACGATTACTTAGGAGAACCGACCGACAGCAACAATGGCAAAACAAGTCAGGTGAACCCGCGTAACACTACTTTTCACAAGCCCTCCGGATCACACGCATCCAATTTCCTCCACGGGGTTCGAGAGCAACTCCAAACCAAGAAAAAGCTCGCACAGGCTCGCAACCGGATCAGCAGTTTTTCCAAAAACGAACCTCCTACGCAGAAGGACGCGCGAGGCAGATCATCGTCACGCGTGCTCCCTTTATCAGAGCATTCCGGTAACCACTCTGGCACGAGAGACGCAAGTCCCCAATTAAGCAATGCGCTGGGATTCATGCCGACCACCGTAACGACGATCACTGGTGGTGGTCCCCCCAAAACGTTGCCAGAGAGACCAGCCACGGAGTATGCCCACTCGAGCAAATCCCGAGCATATCCGGAACAATCCGAGCAGTTAGAGCAACGAAATCGAGACGAAAGTAGTTTTGTCGACACCATACCCGAGAATATGATGAGGCCAGCCAGCCGTGGCGCCAGAATTCAGCCCACCATGAATACTTACGGTCCAAACGACAGCCCGGGTGATAGCCCGCGCGAAAGCTTTCAGCTCGACCCAAAGTCTACGGATGACGTTCCGATTATGTCTAGACGACGACCAGTCCCTATCAATATTCCAGGCATGCCGGTCTCTAAAAAGCCTGTACGGAAACCCACTCCCTCGGAGGTAACCCAGGAGCCGACATTGACTGTTCAGAATCCGATGAAGGATGAGCCGAAGGATGCAGTGGGCCGGATCGAGTCTCTGGAGGCCAAACGGGATGAACTCGCGAAACGCAGACACAACCTGGAAACTGTCATCCATGAGTTAACCCGGGTGATCCAGCCCGGTTCCTTTGTATATGACGTGGCCGCGAAGGCCGAAGTGAAGAAGAGTGTGCAAAGCATCGAGAATGAGATTGCGGAAATCAAGCGCGAGGAGCACGAGCTTGGCTTGAAGGTCGCGCGAGCGTGGAGACGGTTGGATGAGAAGGAGAATAATGGTGATGGCAGTAATCTTTGGATCAAGCGCGTCACGAGTTGAATGTCAACCGAGGAAATGAGAGGCGTAGTGCTTCCAAGGATTCCTTGCGGTGATTAATCCCTATTTCCTTTATTATTCTGATTTGGATACCCCGCGTGCTATTTGGTGATGCTCAATTCCTCAGCGTTCCGTTTCCGTTCTTTAGCAAGGGTTCCTGTTTCGTTGTTATTGTTTCTTTCTAATATTCAAACAATCTCCTCAATCTATAAATTTGGTCTTTTGGCCCTTTTTTCCTCCCAAGGAGAGTATTCAAAAATGGTTGGTATTGATTGATGGCTTATGTATATGCAGAAGTACATTCAGGGCACTGCTCATGGTATTGATTGCTAAAGTAGAGGAATGCCACCCTCTCGAATCGCTCGTAGGTATGGCTCGTTGAGGTCGTGAAAGGGACGGAGGCGCCCCTGGAAAAGTGGCGGGCAAACATGCGAATGTAGGTGTCCAGGTTCCATTGTCCGATCAACTTATTTCTTGCCTGACTTCTTGATGCCCTGCTGGCCGGTGTTCAGAGGACCCTTCTTGCCCTTGGCGGATTCCATCATGTCCTTCTTGGCCTTGGCGTCTGTCATATCTCACGTTAGAGAGAGGTATCAAAGCATTTTGAAATGAGGGAAAAACTTACCGGCCTTGAGCTTCTCGCGATAGGCAATTTCATCCTCGTCCAGTTCCTTCTTGTCCTTCTTGGCGGCCTTGAGAGGCTTGACTTTGCCACCTAGGGAAGAAAACGAACGTTAGTCTTGTTATGTTAAAAATGAAAGAGAGTAACGGAGGAGGTAAAAAAGGGACGCATTCCGCATACCTTCTCTGCTTGCGCCACCCATTTTGAGTTGTAAAAATAGATTGAAAGGAAAGAGGTTTGATCGAAAAGAGAGGGTTGAGGGGTTGTCAGCGGCGAGGGCAAACGAAAAAAACGCTTATCGGGAGGGGCCACCAGACCGCTTTCCTGATTGGAATGGTACGGGAATTCCCCGTGACTTCCGCTGCTGCTTTCTCCTCTTCTCAGCAACATCATAGGATTGACCTCGACTGATATTCTTTGCATTCGTCAACTTGCCAGTATTGGGCCTCACATGTGTTTGGATTGATCAAAGTTTTGAGGCTTTGGTGCGAAGGCAGGCCCCTCAAGCCGGTTGGACTTTCAAATACCTAACAATTGGTTTTATCTCTGGAGCTCGCGCTAACTGAGCTCTGATTACTGAAGCCTCCTCCAAAGGCCGAAGAAGACATTTCACCAAGAGGAAAGAAAGAAAGAAAAAACAGCAGGGAACCACGGTTTCATTCAGTGGTAAATTGTTTGCCCAGCGATAGTCCATCAACATGGCATTGCATCATCGGTCGCGGTCTCCGTCGACCCCTTCTGAGGGTGAGATCATTGAATCAGGTTCTGAGATGAAGGCAACTGCCTCACAACCTCCTTTAAATGGCACCAGCGTTGACCGTCCCCTCAGAGATAGCACTTCATCGGCGCTCAGATCTCCCTCGTCCCTAAGAGGCAGTACATCACCACGCCGACAGAAATCCTGGTCACGATCACGGTCGCGCTCAAGATCCCGATCGCCGTATCGCGACAACAGAGGCTACAAGCGCAGACGCAACGACGAATATGATGATTACGAAACTAGTCGCGCTCGACAAGAGTCTACCCGCCGTCATGGGTCGAGATATGACGAAAGAACCCAGGATCGAGCCGTACCTCCCCGTCGCCCGAAATCGTACTATGACTACGACCGCGAGGAGGGTTACGGTGGCGGATTGCGGTATACCGACGACCATGATCGCGATTCGCGAAAAGAGAAGCGACCTCGCCCCCGGAGCCGATCTCCTTATCGCGAAGTCCGGAAGCCTAAGCAATACGACGAATCATATTCGAAAGCAAACGGGGTATTGCCTCCAACGGATACCAAGAGGCGCAGGCCGCCTTTTGAACAGTTGACGAGTGAGAGAAAGGCTCCTGCTAGTGCTCGAGACTCTAAGCTTGATGCTGAAAAACGAGAGAATCAGGTGCAACAGGTTCTGCCCAGGCGAGCCCATTTTGCTGACGAGTATGTTTTATTCAACACATGCCTCAAGAATCGCGTAACTAATAATTATTACAGATCGGAGACGCCTGAAACGGCAGAAGAGCCCCAGCCAGCTGAGCCAGTCGACGAAGCCGCTGCTTTGGAAGCCCGTCGGAAACGGCGCGAGGCGATTCGAGCGAAATATCGGAGTCAAGCAACGCCCTTGCATCTGAAAGCTGTTCATGCTGATGTGGATACGGATTCATCTACACCTGGCGCAGAGCCCGCCAGCGCATTAGACAATTCAGGTAGGCTTCGCGACCCGAGACAAAATGGTACAAAGCCAACTAACCTCTCCGCTGTAACCGTAGGCTCACCGCAATTGTCTCCGTCTCAGACACCTAATGATATAGCTGGAGACTCTTTCCCTGGCTTTAACATCGGCAGGGACGCTGACCTCGCCAATCCTGGAACCCCGGTGGATGGTTCTGAAATAGACGAGCCTTCCGCTGCAGATTACGATCCAACATTCGACATGAAAGAAGAGACACAAAAGCACAGGGGAGTTCAGAGCTCTAAAGACGACCTATCATCCGCTGCCTATGACGAGACAATAGCCACAAAGCAGGACATTCTGATCCCCGAACGCCGCCCCTGAGCAACCAGCACCACCACCACCAAAGGCCAAGGATCCTTACGACATGTTTGCTGAGGACGACGACGATGACATGTTTGCCGAAGACCCGAAAGATGACCATCCTTCTCATGCATCGGCGATGGCTGTCCCGCAGCCCCAGGAACTAGACATAAGCATGATGGACAACTGGGATGATCCCGAAGGGTACTACAACGTGCGGCTTGGTGAGTTGATCAACGGTCGTTATCATGTCACCCAAACGCTCGGCAAGGGGATGTTCTCTGCTGTCGTACGGGCCACCGACTCCAAGACCAACAAGCTGGTTGCTATCAAGATCATTCGCCAGAATGATACCATGCGCAAAGCCGGTATGAAAGAGATTGATATCCTAGAGCAATTGCATGAGGCCGACCCAGAAGACAAGAAGCATGTCATCAAATTCGAGCGCTACTTCGAACACAAGGGCCATTTGTGCATGGTGTTTGAGAATCTAAGTCTGAATCTCCGCGAAGTTCTCAAGAAATTCGGACGCGATGTCGGATTGAATCTAGGTGCCATCCGTGCCTATGCTCAGCAGATTTTCCTAGGACTCAGCCTCATGCGCAAATGTAACATCTTACATGCAGATCTGAAGCCAGATAACCTGCTTGTCAGTGAGCAGCTCAACGTCCTGAAAGTGTGCGATCTGGGATCTGCATCGTCCGCCTCGGACAATGAGATTACTCCCTACCTCGTCAGTCGTTTCTACCGTGCTCCAGAGATTATCCTCGGCATTCCTTACGATTATGCAATTGACGTCTGGTCCATCGGATGCACCCTTTTCGAGCTTTACACCGGGAAAATCCTCTTCACTGGTCGCAACAACAATCAAATGCTCCGTTCCATCATGGAGTGTCGCGGAAAGTACCCGCCTAAACTCCTGCGACGAGGATCTCTCGCCCACCTCCACTTCGATGACATGCTGAACTTCCACGGCACGGAGGAAGACAAGATCACCGGCCGTCTTGTCACAAAGATTGTGGATTTCAAGAAACCGACTCGTGATATCAAAACCCGGCTCATGGGCAAGGGCACGCGCGGAATGTCAGATGTCGAGGTGAAAGACTTGCAATCATTTGTGGATTTCCTGGACCGTTGTCTCAGTCTGAACCCTGAGAAACGCTGCACCCCGACCGAGGCGTTGAAACACCCTTTCTTAACCCGCAAATAGTGACATGGTCGATTTTGCATAGTATCTCCATATTGATATCATCTTCATACCTGGCGCGTGGAATATTCCAAGCTTCTCCTTTGCCTGTGGAAACTAAGCCTGGTTAACTCAGATTTAGATCAACCGTAACCTAGCACCCTACCCCAGTATATTTACCTCTTGATTGTACTACAGGCTATTTCTTCAAATAGATGAGAACTATATATTCATAGACTTGGAAGGCTCTAGCCACTACTAGTATTCAAGTTACAACTTCCAATTTTCAAAAACTAGGTAAGACTAGTATCCAACTTAAGGTCTAGGGCTATCCCGAGTCACCTGGGCATTCCACTTTAACCCATTCATTCTACCCTTGGGCCTGTAGAATGAATGTGGACGTATCGACGGATTGAGGAAGAAATGTACTAGCAGTAGTACGGACTCGGAGTATTCAAGCAAGCAAATCGCATCATGCATGTATGTACTCCGTAGTAGTGAACGTTTTGCGAGGTCGAGATCGACCTCCCTTGCATTTCACATTTCACTACTGCAAACCTTGCGCTAAACTACACGCAGATTTTAGGCTGAATCGGGTGATACCTCTATAATTTCAAGTTGAACACAAACAACCACTAGTATGGACTGATGGACCTAATGATCTCTTGACGCAACGCTGTCACGGTCATCAGGATGCACAAGTTCCTCGAGGCAATCATTCTAAAAGGGGCTATGCGGCTCTGGGAGATTGGGGCCAAAACCAAAACATTTGGAGGGCTACTCGTACACGTTGCTTTTGCTGGGACCAAATTATTGATCGCTTTACCACTCTTGCGTGGGGCCAGCGAGCCACCTGTCGCAATGCTGCATAGTCGACAGATCAGCTGATAGCAAGGCATCCTCTGTGAGTCCATTTCAACCAGTTCAGCCTCCACCCACCCCCAGCTTCAGCCCGACGCCCCACTCGCCTCTCCACCGCCGCTCCTGGAATAGTGCATACGTACATCGTACATAGCCTGTTTCCGTACCCTGTACGGGGAAGTCCATAGAATCACAGTGAAGGTGAAGATAATTATGGACTACGACATCATCGTCGTTTATCCTTGTCGGTGGCGGCTTCCAAGACAATGCCGAACCTATGGGGAGAGCTACTGCAAGAAACCATCGCATCTGCATCTGCATTCGGGTTCGGGTGGATGTGATGCCATCCTAGACATCGTCGAAGTCATTCCGGAATCCGAGATCTCTGAACCCAATAATCAGACGTGGCGACTACGTATTCTCTACTGGAAGGAGCACCCTCGGTATTCCGTATGGACAGCAGCTTTGAGCTCGGAGCTATGGACTCCTCAAGGGCGATCATTGGGAAGAAGAGAGATTACCATGAAATCCCCGGATCCACGGCTCACTCTAGCAATTCAAAGCGTACACTGTACGGAGTACGAAGTCTGTGTAGGTAAACACGACTACGGAGTATTACTCCGGAGTTCAGTTCGCATTCGACAAGGGTTCTAGATGGGCGGTTCTGGCATCAATGATCCATGGTACAAGTCTGACAGCTGATCGCTGGGAGAAGGAGAGGGCCCCGGCTTGACGCATCACAAACGGTTATCTCCTTTACCCCTTTCGTCGGTCGGCATTGCCTTGAGAGAATTCCTTGAAAGGGACCAGTAAGAGGAGGCAAAAGCCAAACCATCGTGTGAGAAGCATGCAGTTCCTCAATGCTTTTTCCAGATTGCTCGAGACGTGGGCAAATAGGAAGAAGACGGGATGGGGACGAAAGGCATCCATTGGAGTGGATGGCAGCCGATTGGCCTATCTGGCAATAAATTAACTGGGTGGCCAACCTGTTGGTCACCAGCTGGATAGGAATACGGAGTCTCCTCCCCCTCCTCAGATACATATGTATATAGTACATATTTGCGTGCTGTGGACTATGCCGGATGGAGAATGGAGCAGCGCGGCCGCATGGTTATCTGGGACGCCTTGGAAAAGAATCCCATAGGATGGAGGGCGGGATCGGGACGATGAGAGTTTTCTCGAAGGCGAGCAGTCGTCGATTTTGAGTTCCGACTCTATCACAGTCATTGCCATTGCCACCTTTCTGCGAGTCTTTTCTCATCAGTGGCAAAAGTATCCGCGAAAAACCAGACCGAGTTAATATGATGATGCTGTAAGTTTTTGGATGATGTCGAGATGTGTTTATTATGTGGGTCACGCCAGAAGTAATCTGCGTGGCCGCATCCCTGCGGCATTCCGCCACATGCAGGATAGGGAGGATCAGCATAGTAATACTGTACAGTAATCATGGGGAGGTGGAAAGGCTAGAGTGAAGGGGCGATGAATAGGGTCGACTAGGGGGGATTGGCTGAGATCTGAATGGAGATTACATACGGAGTAGTACATATGTACATACTGCGTGTGTAGAACTAGTACCTACGAGGATCCTGTCCGTAGTGGGATGTACTCGGTGCACTATGTACATACACACCGTAGTGTACTCCGTAGCTTGAATATGTAGTTTTGGATGCTGCTACAATAGCACAGGACTAGTGGAAGCAGAGTACGGAGTATGGAGTATGGAGTATGGAGTATGGAGTCAATACTCCATACTCTGTACATGCAGATGTGATGTAGAAGATGGCGGTGAAGGTGAAGGTGAAGGTGAAGGTGAAGGTGAAGTATAGGAGTACAGCACAAGCTACGGAGTACAAGCTACAGTATGGAGTATGGAGTACTACTCGTACTACTTGTACAGTATGCAGAGCTACGAAGTCTCGGAAGCAAGCGACCTGCAGTGCCAATCCTGGGGTACGGCAGGTGCGGGTGCGGGAAGAGGAAGGAGCGATGTGATGCATCCATCACCTGACTGTACTGCGTACTGCGTACTGCGTAGACTGGAACAGGGCAGACATCAACCTTCTCTGCCTTGGCGGGAGTCTCAGACTCAGACTCCAACTCCAACTGGACCCCAGAGTCAGAGTCAGACTAACGAGTAAGAGTCACAGAGCACAGAGTCAAAAACAGACACCAAGTCACACAGGCCGCTCCTGGGCTGTGCGTCGGCCCTTCCCTTTCTTCACCCAATCAATCTCCATCTCTGCTGCCAGGGTCTCGACATCTCAGGCCCGTGCGAAGGTCTAACGATCTCCACACTATTCTCGAAAACGAACGCCTTGAGCAAATGGTTGGCCAGAGCGCCCCTCCCTCTTCGCCTCACTTCCAGACTCTTCCCAGAATCCCGGTTCTTTCACCCAGGCTCTCACGCGGTGGGGAACAAAGTTGCGTGCGGAAAGACCCCAACTCGCGGTGTAGAACGGGGGGGGCGTGGGAAGAACGGAAGGACGGAAGGACGGAAGAGAATGATCCAGTCACGCTGGTGGTCTGGGAGGTTCGATGGCCTGCATTCAACATTCAACACTCCATCGCCCCTTGGAACCATGGACGGGTGAAACAAGACAGGGCAGAAACATCGCCTCCATTCCATTCCTAACTCGTATCCACACATCATCCTGCGGGGCTGGGAGGAAAGGGGGGGCTGGATCCTCGTTGGATCCGATGAGGTGGCGGGACCACCAACAGAAAGGCGCCAGCAGAGGCCAGCAGCAGGCCAGCAGCCGGCCCACTCCCAGTGGCCAGTGGTGTGCCCACCGGCAGACCACCCTCCTAAACTGTATTGCCACACGGCCAACGGCCCCTATTTTCGAGGAGGCTTCTGCAACGCCAGACGATCGTTATGTGCGACCCCCCCGGCTCCACCCAATCACCGCCTGCAGGTGGCGCCTGCATAGCTGCACCCGGGGCAGCCCTGATTGGCCTGTAGGTCGCATTGCCTGCACACCGCTTGTCGAAGCGTCGAAAGCCACGGTGGCCTGGCCCGCAGCTTGTCCACATGGGCTATGCCCACGAACTGGACGCATCATCGATTATTTTTATCTATGGGGCCCCCCCCCAACCATAACAATTCGATTCTTAGCCTTGTGCTACTTCTCTCCTTTCCCATCCGGTTGTTGCTATTCGTTTTTTTCTGGATTTGATTTCTATATACCGCTTTCCATCTGGACCGAAATTTCTCCCTGTCAACAGAAATATTCTCCTTAGGACCAGTCGGACTTCCCCCGTGGAATGGATTCCTGCCTCTGAATGCCGTGGACTTTGGATCTCTAAAAAGCCAGGACCTATCCCACCTCCCCTCCCCCCCTCATCACAACTCTATATTCCCGCCCCCGGGAGTAAAGAGAGGACAACTCATTCCTTTACACGACTTGGATCCATTTATATTCTCTTCTTTCGCCCTCTTATCCTTGTGACGGCGAACATGTATCCTACTATGCTTCCCACGCCGCCGCCATCGCCATCACCCCGTTGTTATGCTCCCGAGGACCGCTTAGGATTTATTTTGGCCAACCGGCTTGAACTGACTGGCATTCTGGGTGTGGGTGCGTACGGTGTTGTCTACACTGCCGTCGATATCCACACCAATATCCGTTATGCCGTCAAGGCGCTCAACAAAAATGGTCTGGATCCCCGCCAGCTGAAATACCAGCAACGCGAAATCCGCCTCCATCATATGGCGAGTCAACATCCTAATGTGGTTTCCTTGGTTCGCATTATGGATTCCCTGGACTGCACCTATGTCGTGATGGAGTTCTGCCCGGAGGGTGATCTGTTCTCCAGCATCACCGACAAGGGAAACTTCGTCGGAAATGACCCCTTGGTCAAGCGCGTGTTCTTGCAACTGCTAGATGCCGTGCAGTTCTGCCACAACCTTGGAATCTACCACCGCGATCTCAAGCCCGAGAACGTACTCGTCACGGACCAGGCCATGACCGTCAAACTTGCCGACTTTGGCCTCGCAACCACGGACTACTTTACTTCGGACTTCGGATGCGGCTCTACCTTCTACATGTCACCTGGTAAGTTATAGATCCGTCATCTCCTTTGACAGCTTCCCCTTCCCCCTCCCAGTGAGACAGCCCCTCCTAATATATCCGAAACACAGAATGTCAGCAAACCAACCCTCG